ATATGAAAAATATATATTTCTACAACCATTTTAGATAAGGTTATCTACCGTCGCCCCAAAAACTATGTCGTTTTGATTAATGAAGGGTATTTCTGTAATTTTAGGTGAATTAATGAAGGGTGTTTCAGTAAAATGCATATGATAAAAAAATAAACAAAATTACATAAACACCCTTCATTAATTAAAATGACGTAGTTTTTGAGTAGCTGTAGATAACTTTATCTAAAGTGGCTGTAGATAACTATATATACCGGGAAGGATCCGTTTACAAATTTTTTTACAAATTATAGTAAGTATAATCGGTCATACTCTCTTGATTGAAGTATGACCGGTCATACATAGTTTTTAAGAGTTTGTAAATAAAAGTTTATAAATATAACCTTCCCTTATATATATATATATATATATATATATATATATATATATATATATATCTGCAGTTACTGCAGATAAGTTATCTACAGTTAGCCCAATACGACGTCATTTTGGGTCAGAAATCATGGTGTTTTTGTAATTTTAATTTATTTCAGGGTTATTCTAGTCTTTATAATTATAATTTTTTAATCTTTCAATCCCAAAACGACGTCGTTTAGGGAGTAAATGCAGATAACTTATCTGCAGTAACTGCAAAAATATTTTTCTGATATATATATATATATAGAGAGGTAGGATCCTTTAACACCGGTGTCAAATTTGAAATTTGACACCTCATCTAAGAGCCGTTAGATAAAAAAAGATCAACGACTCTGATTTGTAAGCATGTGACACCATTAATCTTTTTTGATCTAGCGGCTCTTAGATGAGTTGTCTAACTTCAAATTTGACACCGGAGTCAAAGGATCCTACCTCATATATATATATATATATATATATATGTAAGGTTTACATTTTCTGTACGTGCAACAATCAAATATTTGCCATATATATACTCGAAAGCATTAAATGCAGGGAATCATATTCATACAAAGGATGAAAGCATGGAATCATAACCATACTCCTGTCGTTGCTGTACGTAAAGCGGCTGCAAAAATGATTTTACCTATATATATATATATATATATATATGGGATAGGTTATTTTACCTACTCCTATTTTGCCTACCCCTTTCAATATCGTTAGATTACAATCCCATCCGACGGTAGACATTTGCGAAATAAAATAAACTCTTCTTTCTCCTCACCTCTCGCACCCTTTCTCTCTCTTTCCCTTTCTCTCTTCCTTGCGATGAAGATCGAAAATTCCGGTAACGCAAAATCAATTCCTCCAAAAGGAAAAACACATATTCAATAAAAAAAGAAAGAACAAAAAACAGAACACGATCGACGACCATCAAACGTTCTTATTCCTTAGGGTTCATAGAAAGCCGTCGCTTTCGATAAAATGATGGAGTGCTAGGGTGCTTATGCTTATACCTTTATAGAATTTCGAAATAACATAATTCATGCGGATTCAGTAATTCATGTCTCTGCCAAACAATTTGAATAATGGTATGATAAGCAAACAAACAATTCAATCTAAAACTATTCTATATACCTTTAAAACTCAATAGTTTGTTTCGCTTCCGGTAAGATTCTGAACGTGGTATTTTTTTTAATGTATATAGAATTGTTTGCAGTTTGAATTGTTTGTTTGCTTATCATACCATATTTTTTTTCTTCAATTTTTTATTAATAAATCATGCGGTTGTGAGTGCTTCTGGGTTTTGTATTGTGGTATTTGGTATTGGAATTTCATGTTTAATTATTTTTTTGTGCAAATTTTTCTCTTTTTTTTTGTTTGGATTGTGGTTTTGCTTTGAATTTTTGTAAAAAATTTGCTTGAATTTCTTTACAGGAAAACGTATTACTGAATTCGATCATGAACCAAAAACATATCAGAAATATAGGAGGCCAGGATTATATTAAATTACTCAATTGATTTTTGCCTTACCGGAATTTTCAATCTTCGTCTCCAGGAAGAGAGAAAGGGTGCGGCAGGAGGTGGGGAGAAAGAATGAGAAAGAAGGATTTATTTTATTTCGCAAATGTCTACCGTCGGAGGGGATTATAATCTAACGATATTGAAAGGGGTAGGCAAGGGTAGATAAAATAAGAGTAGGTAAAATAACCTATCCCTATATATATATATATATATATATATATATATATGTATGGTTTTAATATTTCTACAGTGAAAATAGATAAGTTATCTACATTCGCTCCCAAAACGACGTCGTTTTAAGTTGAAAAATTAAAAATTATAATGAAAAAGATTATTATAACCCTGAAATACATTATAATTACAAAAATAACATGATTTTCGCCTCAAAACGACGTCGTTTTGAGCTCAATGTAAATAAGTTATCTACATTGACTGTAGAAAAAACGAACCCTATATATATAGGGGAAAATATTTCTGCAGCCACTTTAGATAAGGTTGTCTACAGCTACCCCTTTTTAACTAAGTACGACCGGTCGTACATTAAACGTGCATTTTCTCTCTCCGCCACGTCAGCCGACAGTGTCTGAGGAGAGAGAAAAAAAGAGCAGCTTTATTGTTTTATAACTAAGTATGACCAGTCGTACTTAGTTAAAAAATGGTAGTTGTAGATAACCTTATCTAAAGTGGCTGTAGAAATACTTCCCATGTATATATATATATATATACATATGTATATATATATATATATATATATATGGACATGATCCGTTTACAAACTTTTTTTTTCAATTACACTAATGTAGGACCGGTCGTACACTGTGTGATTAATGTAGGATCGGTCCTACATAGTGTAGTTTGTAAGAGTTTTTAAACAAAAAAATTTGTAAATATAACCTGCCCATATATATATATATATATATATATATATATATATATATAGGGAAATGATCCACTTACTACCAAAAAAGTTTACAACTCTTACAACTAATTTAATCACCGTTGATTTCCGTCAATCTCACGGTTATAATTTATTGGTGATTAATAACATTTATTTTGTCACACTTATTAATTAATTATTAATTTCCAATAAATTATAATCGTTAGATTGACGGAAATCAACGGTGATTAAATTGGTTGTAAGAGTGGTAAAAAGATATACTTACCACCAAAAAAGTTTACCACTCTTAGAACTAATTTAATCACCGTTGATTTTCCGTCAATCTAACGGTTATAATTTATTGAAAATTAATAACATTTATTTTGTTACACTTATTAATTAATTATTAATTTTTAATAAATTATAACTGTTAGATTGACGGAAATCAATAGTGATTAAATTGGTTGTAAGAGTGATAAACTTTTCTGGTGGTAAATATATCTTTCCCTATATATATATATATATATATATATATGTATCGTTGTTAGCCACGAGGAAACAGTGGAAAACCTTCATATATTGAGCAAGAAGTCTAGATTCTTTCAATCTTTCTTGTTCTAGCTGCACTGATGTGATTATTTTACTCTTCATTCCAAGAAGAGTAGTTATGTTTTCTTTGTACTTTCATCTCCTTTTCCATAGTACATTGAACCCGAAAAGAAGAATTTTAGCTTAAAGTTGAAGATGGACCTAGGAACACTATATAAACTCCCAAAAACTGACTCAGCCTTCCTTCTAGGTCTCGTGGACTTGGCTTTTTCTTAAGTACTCAAGCATTTAATAATTTGTTAAGGACGCTCCTCTTGAGGATTCTCCATGAGATCAGCTAAAGGGCACTCCTTTCAAATTGATTTAGTATATTTAAATGAATTAATTAATTTCTTTAGGAAGTGGTTTACGGTTTGAAATTGAGTACTCAAAATAGGAAGACCCATATTGGTTCAATAAATTTTTTAAATTCTTCAAATGTAATCCATAAATGCTAAATAGATTGATATTTCTTATGTTATAAGAGATAATTTTAATTCCTATACACATAAAAATATGTATGATCTTTTTTTTTTTCTCTTCTTATATTGCCTATATAAACCCCCATACAATTTTATCTTTGTATAAAAGATAAAACTAATAAGAAATATTAATCTCAATAGTAAAGGTACGGTCGTACGGATAAAACTTGAATAATGAAGTAATTCTTTCAAAAATGACTACTATTTTTAAGCTCCTAAAAGTGTCTTTATCTCTCGTCATAAAGGCTGTTTAAGTAAATAGTGCCCTTGATGTTGAATGGTACAAATGTATAATTAACTGTAAAGTATATAAATATTGGGAAATAGTTATTTTATGTAATATAAAATAATTGTCTTATATTACATATTTATGAAATTTTGTGTCCGTTTTTTCTTTTTCTTTTTTAAAAATCATGGACCCCACAACTTTATTTCACTCATATAAAATACCTATCTTATATGACATAAGATTAATAACTCCCATAAATAAAAGTGTATCTCTTTTATTTAAAATATATTATAATTTCTTTTGGTAGAAAAATATATTATAATTTTAATCTCGTTAAAATTTAAAAATCAATACACTTTTATTTGTGCATTTTACAAATAGAAAACTTTTTCCTAAGTTGGAAACCAAATCATCCAGTACCTATCGCTGAGTCTAATATAATAAATCTGTTTAAAAATTGATAATTTACTCGTAAATGTCAGCCCTAGTCAGCCGTGATTTAAATTAATCAAAACCATTTGAATTTATCTTTGAAAACAAAGAATGGTGAGCGAGAAAGAAAGCTCTGACTTACACTAATCACTCACATGTGAAGCCTAGGAAATAGAGTTTGAACCTTTTTCTTTTGTTGGTTTTCGCATGCATGTGACGTAAAAAAACCAAATACTGATTATAATATTCGTTAAGAGAATTGAGATTTTCAATATTGAGAATCCCGAAGGTATCAATCTTCTATAAATTGGAGGCATGCACTAACCCATATAGCCAGACTTAAGCTAATCCGAAAAATGAAGAGGGTTTGGCTCATAATAAAAAAGCTAGCTAATGCTAGTTATTCCGAAAAAGAAATCAGATAGAAAACTGAAATAACCCAAACCCCATAAAGAGAGACACTACTGGGTCCATGGATCCACCAAAGAAACCTAACAAGATCAGGGACATTGTTAGACTTCAACAGATCCTTAAGAAATGGAGAAGGATAGCCAACTCTTCAAAAACAAGCAGAAGTAACAACAACAGCAACAGCAGTAGAAGCATAAACTTTCTGAAAAGAACACTTTCTATGTCTGAACGTGAGGGAGGAATATCAAGCAATGTTGTTCCCAAAGGCTATCTAGCTGTTTGTGTTGGGGAAAACCTTAGCAGGTTCGTTATACCAACAGAGTATTTGGGTCATCAGGCCTTTCACTTATTACTCAGAGAAGCTGAAGAAGAATTTGGCTTTGAACAAACCGGTGTTCTGAGGATTCCATGTGAAGTGTCGGTGTTTGAGAGTATCTTGAAGATAGTGGAAGGAAAGGACAAGTTCTCTATTCAGAAATGTAGATTTAGCATTGAAAAGATGATCGGATACTGCTCCTCAAACCAGCTTGATTATTCTCATTATCCTCAAAGTCCAATGTGCAAATAGTCTAGTAGGATCTTGACATTTTTATCTATTTTCTTTACTTTCTTTTTCTATTGCTACTTATGGAATCCAGTCCATGTATGAGAATGAAAGCGAACTCAATTATATGTAAGATAACCTGTTTGGGAATTATGAAGCAAAGAATAGAAATTTCATTATCCAAATCCTAAGGTAATAAATATCTAGATAAAACCATCCTCAAAGTTACAAATCCATGTACTACTATTGTCTGTATCTATTATACTAGAACTGAAAGTTTTGGTGCTTTACCATTCAAATCACAACCTCTTACAATCAAGAAAAACAGGCATTACCAAGCAATATATCATATATATCCATCTAGTAGGAAACTAATGATCATGCACATGCGGTATTATACAGAAGTTATTTAAAATCCCCTTCCCTTCAAAGTGACTTCAAATAGAAGTTTATGAAGTACAATTATTGAATCAAGAAAAAAACACTTAATTAACTGGAAGGCATTAATCGAAATCTTTGAGCTGAAGGTCAATTAAACGCCAAGAGTGGAGTAAAGTTCCAAAAAAGATATATACATGTTCTAAACTAAGTAATACATGCTTTCATCCACCAAAAAAAAAAGTAATACATGCTTTAAATAGGGAAGAGTGTCACTGTCTTTTGTCCATCTTGAACCCCCCCCCCCCCCCCCCAGGAACAAACTTTGCCTAATATTGATAAGAAACTTGTCAAAACGGAGAAATGCAACTTTCAATTTGTTATGATTGAAAAGGCAACTCAGAGGTGTATACTGTATAGCTTAGCCTCCTTGTACGAGATAATTCTTTCTTAACGGTGATTTCTTATTAACTTCAATAGTCTAAAGGTAATATATGAGAATAGAATGTGAGGTTGAGGTTAAATCTTTGAGATCTCAGAATGCCCACATACGAGTCTCCAAGTGACAACTAGATACTAATTAACATACGGATAATCTACGGAATTGTCCCATCTTAGAAGCCATGTCATTTATTCAATGTTTTCCTTGGATTCTTCTCCCATGATCCTTTCTCTTGTAAAATCGTGGAGATTTCAAGTTGCAATGCCAGTAATCCAGTATCCTCTGCACTAGGTAAACACGTGTCCTAATGGTGCAGTTATGCTTAATAATATTAAATTACAGTCACTTGCCTTCAAGTCGTGTTTGTTTAAAATTTCTAAATGACATATTATATTCGAGTTTAAGTAAGAAAATTTAACATTATTATTCAACGATGCGTTGCTAGATTTTTTACTGAATTTAACAATATGTGAGTTGTGAAACTCTTTAAATGATGAAACAGTGTAAACCTTTTTACATTCATAGTCCATACAAATTAAACTCTATTCCTCAAACTACTATATGCAGCTGGCATGCCATCAATTATTTCAGCAGCTAAAAACACATGTAAACAGTGAAGCTTGAGAAATCAGCCCTTGTTATCCATGGTATATCACAAGTAAAAACTTAAACTACTGCAACATATGGAATCTTCGGTTAAGTTCAAGAAGACTTCGGTTAAGTATAATGTAAAACATGGTCAAATAATCCCGGGCATAATTAATATGTATTCTGCCTTCATCAATTTAGCAGCAAAACACATTATTTAAAGGTTACTGGCGTTTTAGTTTTTCAAAGAACTGTATTTTTACTGCATGCAAATCAAACACATTGGCATTTAAAATCTAATAGATTCCAATCAAACAAGGAACAATAGTAGAGAAGTCAAATTGTTGAGATTCAGAGAGAAGAAACAGAGTATGTGGAAAACTGAATTCATTGATTATTCAATCTGAATACAACTTCCGTACCAGTTTTACATATATAGCTATCAATTTACACAGCTAAGATAAACAAAACTAACTAACTGAAAATCGTTTACATAACTTCCTAACTAACTCATATGGATCCAGCTATACAGCTTACGTGGCCTCTTTTCTATCGTGATTGGTTGCTTTAATAAGATGATTATTAAAAGCAACTGAATTGGGCTTGGTTTGCTGTATTTCATTGGGCCACTTTATGTTGGGTAATACCCCCCCACAAGTGGGACGAAGCAAATTGATGAGGCCCAACTTGGAGATGATGGGAAGAAAAGACTTCGATGGCAATGGCTTCGTAAATATGTCTGCAAGTTGAGCAGCAGAAGACACAGGAAGAAGGTGAAGAAGACCAGAGTGTATTTTCTCTCGGGTGACATGGCAATCGATTTCGATATGCTTAGAACGCTCATGAAAAGCTGGATTGTGAGCTAGGTATATGGCTGATTTATTATCGCAATAAACCGAAGCAGGTTTAAGCCATGGGAGGTGCAAATCATGGAATAAGTGTTGGAGCCATTGAAGCTCACAAGTCAGAGTGGCGAGAGCTCTGTACTCTGCTTCAGAGGAAGAACGCGAAACAGTTGTTTGCTTCTTGGAACGCCATGCAACTAATGAAGAGCCAACAAAAATACAGAGACCCGTAACTGATCGACGAGTATCGGGACAAGATGCCGAGTCTGAGTTGCTTAAAGCTCGAACCTGAATGTCTGTGTGTGCAGAGAAGAACAGACCAGAGGCTGGGGAACCTTTAATGTATCTCAGGATACGAGTTGCAGCAGTAGCATGAGTTTGTAATGGGTGAGCTATGAATTGGCTCAACTGTTGTACTGCAAAACTGATATCAGGACGTGTTGTAGTCAGGTAGAGAAGTCTACCAACTAAGCGACAATAAGCAGTTGCATCTTCAAGAGGAACACCATTGGTTCGACTGAGAGACAAGTTAGAATCCATGGGAGTGATGCATGGCTTTGCAGCTAAAAGACCTGCATCAGAGAATTTCAAGAGCGTATTTACGTTGATTGAGGTGAATCCCATGTTTTGATCGGGATACCTCTAGACCCAAGAAGTATCTCAATGCTCCCAGGTCTTTAATACGAAATTTGTTGTGAAGAAACTCTTTTACACGTTGAGTTTCACGTGAAGAATTTCCAGACAGAACAATGTCGTCCACATAAACCAGAAGGACCGTAAAATCAGATCCTTGTTGTAAAGAAAACATTGAATGATCCGCTTGGGCTTGCACATATCCAAGGGACAAAAGAGCCGAAGACAATTTACTGTACCATTGACGACTAGCCTGTCGTAGTCCATAAAGAGACTTATTTAAACGACAAACCTGATTTGCTACAGTGAGTACAAGTCCTTTTGGAGGTTCCATATAAACTTCTTCGTGAAGATCATCGTGGAGAAAAGCATTGTCCACGTCGAGTTTTTCTAGAAGCCAACCCTTTGAAGCAGCAACAGAGAGAAGAACACGAAGGGATGTGAGCTTTGCAACAGGAGAGAACGTATCAAAGAAGTCCACACCTTCCAATTGTGTAAAACCTTTAGCAACCAATCTTGCTTTGTATCTTTCAATGTCTCCATTTGACTTATACTTAACTTTGTAGACCCATTTACATCCAATGGGTATCTTACCTGGTGGCAAGTCAACTATCGTCCATGTATTGTTAAGAGCCAAGGCAGAGAGCTCCTTGTCCATAGCAATTTTCCACTGATCACTTTTAATTGCTTGGTTGTATGTACGAGGTTCTTCATGAGTGGTGACAAAGAGACAGAAGTGCTTATATGATGGAGTACAACAATTATAAGATAAAACATGAGATAAAGGATGATGAATATGATGTGTTGTGGAATTACCTGATGATGAATGATCCTGCTGTATTGCAGATAGGCTACAGTGATAGTCTTGTAAATACCGAGGGGGTTGATGTGAACGAGCAGAATGACGTACAAGAGGGACAGGTTCATTTTGGTCTATAGGTGATGTTGGATGGGTATGATATGGTGTATCTGGGTTATTTTGATTTATAGGTGGGTTTAGTTGGTATGGTTGTAAAGTGTCATGGTATGGAGGAATATCTGAAGGAAAAATAGGGGAATTGTTGTCAATATGTATGGGAATATCTGAGAGGTTGGATGTAGGGGATTGAAATGGAAATATAGTTTCATGAAATGCAACATTTCTAGAAAGGAAAAGCTCATTAGATTTCAAATCATATAAAAGATACCCCTTTGTGCCATTTCTAAAACCCAGAAACACTGCCTTTCTTGCACGTGGTGAAAATTTTGTTCTATGAGCCAAAAGAGTTGAAGCATAAGCAAGGCACCCGAATACTCTCAAATGAATGAGTAAAGGTGGCTCATTATATAGTCTCTCATATGGCGACTTATTGGCAAGCATTGGAGAGCAAGTGCGATTTATCACATGCACTGCGTGAATTACTGCATAACACCATAGAGGGGAGCTGAGCTTGGAAAAATAGAGCACGTGCCACATTCATGATGTGTTGATGTTTACGTTCAACAACCCCATTTTGTTGTGGGGTTTCTACTCATGTTCTTTGATGAGCTATTCCTCTTGAGCATAAAATTGATTCATGATGAATTCTGACCCATTATCAGATCTTACAATTTTGACATGAGCATCAAATTGATTCTTAACAAATCTGATAAAGTGTTGCAGATGTGTACGAGTTTCAGCCTTAGTTTGCATAAGAAAAATCCAGGTAAAACGAGAGAAGTCATCAACTATGGTAAGAAAATACTGGTGACCATGAACAGATTTAACTGAATAAGGGCCCTGTATGTCTACATGCAACAAATGAAAAATCTGAGTAGACTTTGTAACACTGGAATGGAAAGGCAACTTATGCTGTTTAGCTATATGACATACATCACATGGATTAATATGGGCAGAAGGTATAAAAGGGAATTTAGTGGCCATAAGGTGTAAGACATCTTTTGATATGTGCCCCCTATCTTTGATGCCAAAGAAGAGGAGTATCTTTATTTTGAACTGCATTGCAGATGGAACTGTAGGCTTTGGACTTCTCGGTTTCTTGTACTATCACATATAGCCCATCCTTGCGTTTAGCAGAACCAATCGTTGTCTGGCAATCTTGGTTTTTCTGTTGAATAATACAAGAAGTATCATTGAAAGTGATAATGCAAGGAATGAAGTTAAACAATTTGGTAACTGACATCAGGTTAATATGGAATTCAGGTACATAGAGTACATCACGAAGTGTAAGTAAAGTGGAAATACTAAGTGTACCAGAAATAGTTGCATTTATTTTAGAACCATTTGGAAGAGAGATAGGTATAGGTTTAATTTTGTGATAAGATGAGAAACTTGATAGGGAGTGTGTGATGTGATCTGTTGCTCCTGTGTCAACCACCCAATCAAAACCTGTTATACCTGATGGATTAGTGTCATTGTGCAAATGAGAAAGAAAAGCAGCATTAGCAAGATGTGGCTGTGACACATTTTCTGATGAATTGGATTTCTGCAGTAAATTCAATATCTGTTGATATTGATCTTGAATAAGGCTTATGGATGATGTTTCTTGTTGCACCTCAGCTGTAGTTGCATTAACAGCTGAAGAACCTCCATTCTTTTTGTAACCTGGTGGAAAGCCATGTAGAGCATAACACGTCTCCACATTATGATTATTTCTATTGCAGTGTGTGCAAAATTTCGTGCCATTGAATCCCCTTCCTCCATTACTACGACCACGTCCTCTGTAGTTTCTGTTGCCATTGAAAGCACCTCTTCTGGATTGATCTCCAAACACAGCTAGAGCTTGAGGATTGCTTGAAAAATTTGTGCCATTCTCAGATTGAAACTGCTTTTCTTGTTGTATCACCAAAGAAAAAGCTTTTGTCACATTTGGAAGCGGCTCAAGGAGCATTAGCTGCGATCGTACATGAGCATATTGCTCATTCAAACCTCTCAAAAATATGATAGTGTGATCATTCTCACGATATAGACGCATCTGTGTTACAGAACCACAAGCACACGGGACAGCAGGATTGGGAAGCGGTCTCAAATTCTCCAATTCCTCCCACATAATTTTGAGTTGAGTGACATACTTACTTACAGACTTTTCTCCTTGACAGAGTTTGTAAAGATCTTCTTGAAGATCACAAACACGAAAAATATCTGCCTGAGAAAAGCGATCCTGCAAATATCTCCATACATCTGATGCCTTCTCAATCCATAGTATAGACTGAGCAATTGTCTATGTAATGGATCTGTGAATCCATCCTACAATCATAGTATTGCATCGATCCCAAGCTGCAAATTCAGGATCATGCTCAGGTGGAGGAATAATGGTTCCATTAATAATACCAAGCTTACTCTTGGATCTTAAAGCCATAGTCATTGCACGAGACCAGGAGTGATAATTGGCTCCATTGAGGAGAGGAGTAACAAGAACTTCAGATGGACTTTCATTGTAGTGTAAAAAGAACGGATGAGTTGGATTTGTCAAGAACTCAGGAAGAGGATTCTGATTAACCATAGCAAATTCGCTATCAAGAAGAACTAATCAACGAAGAAAGAAATGCTACAAGAAATCGATTCAAGAACAACTATGATCCACTGAAGCAGATACCAGAGCTCTTTTAGAGCTCTGATACCATGTAAAGAACCATTTCAACCCAAAACCTTAAGGTGTTGGGTGAGGGCCTTTTTAATGATTTATATTATTCTCTAACATTATTTAAAGGTTACCGGCGTTTTAGTTTTTTAAAGAACTGTATTTTTACTGCATGCAAATCAAACACATTGGCATTCAAAATATAATAGATTCCAATCAAACAAGGAACAATAGTAGAGAAGTCAAATAGCTATCTTTAGATCCAAATTCAAGTATGTGATGTTAGTCGTTCTACTTGGAAGCATCCAAAGTCGTGTTCTACTTGGAAGCAATAATAGTCAGATTACCAAGGAGACCACGTGTTGCCTCCATTTTTAAAGAGTCATAATCATTAGAATTAATTGCAACTTTTGAGGGAATGAAAATAGGTGTTAGTTTTGATCTTGTTCAACTCCTTGTTAAGAAGACGTAGATGAGCTGATAAGGCATTTCAAAGGAATTAGCTTGTCGTCCATTACTTAACTGGGGAGAACCTGTCCTCCAGTGGTGTGACACGATAGACCTTGGCCTCTCTCTAGTCACCTAACTAGCAACCCTTAATTTTTAAGAAGGTTGCCCTCAGGATTTTTACTAGGATCAGGTTTTCTTTATTACAGCACTACTTTATAGCAATCTTCAACTTTTCACAGGCTCAACTGTGAAGTTAAAACATGGAACTCCAAAACCAAAACACAGCTAACCTAAGCAAGACTTACACAAATGGAAGCTATAAGCTGTGGACCAAACTATACATGTGATTGATAAGTTAGCCACACAATGAAGCTCTGTTTTACTACCAAAAATAACTGTTCTACAAGTACATATTCGAGTTGATAGATTAAATTTGCAAAAGATTTCCCTTTTTATGTAATTTAGTGGGTTTCCTTTTGAATAAGGTCTTCAGTAGTCTATTTTATGACCAATTCAAACAGTCTATATATAGTGTTATGAGAGCATCTGCTTTTCTTTCTTCCAGGTTTTTCTCATACTCAGAAGGGATTAATTAGATTCCACCCCCCTCCCAGGACGGTTCGGCAGAGGCAAGAATAGTTTCCATGAACCCCGGTTTTTGACTTGGTTATATATTTTGTCACACTTAGAAAGTACAATATAGAAGAGCAAAGGGAAAAATAAAGAAAATGGAAAAACCAAAAAGTAAGAAAAAGTGAAGAACATTTACAAGAGGCATTTTTAACACTAAATGGTGGATGTAATCACGTCGTAATGTTTTACCCAATCTTAACACAATGTAAGGGACTGCAATATAAATGTAACCTAGCTAAAGCAGTGCAATTACCTGTATTTCATAGCCAGAATTTAATTTATGAACCTAAATAATATGTTCTGTTGCTGAAGTATAAGGGAAAAAATGGAGAGGTTTAAAGATTTCTGCAGTAAGGTAAAGCTCGGATAGCATTATAGCAACCCGAACTATCACAAAATAAAAAGGAATGGAGTTACCAAGACAGATCAGCTGTAAGAACAATCTGCAAATCCTAGTACACGCAACATTAACTTTAATACCCAGAATATCTGTGACCTTTAACTTTGACCACTTACTAAAACTTCATCTGGTTTCATATTTGGCAATAGCATTTCAAATTTCTGGACAGATAACTCATTCCATTTATTTAGAAGTGAAAGTATAGAAAGTGAGTCAATTGAATAGGAATTTTGGTTAAACTTGACTGAACAAGTGCACTCCTAGATGAAAATTCTCTCAACTTTCTAATTATGAGCAATTGTCTTGTTTTCGAAATTTTGGGAATAAGCATTTGCCACATATTAAAAGTTTGAGTGAGGTAATTGCAAAATTAAAACCGCTGAGAGTTACTTGCCAAAGAACGAATGTTGACGGAGTTACTTGAAAAAAAAAATCACTCCCCGTTAAACCCGACTAACGACTGTGGGGTGGAGGTAATCCTTGTGCGCAACCTTACCCTTGCATAATTGCAAAGAGGTTGTTTCCTGGATTCGAACCCATGATCTTTCGGTCATAAAAGAACAACTTTACCACTGCTTAGCTTTACCAAAGAACGAATGTTGACGGAGTTACTTACATTATAAATTTTGAAAATCACAATTTCTAGATACAATAACTAATACATATTCAGACAATCTTTTTCTCTCAATTTGTATCATCATTTATCATAAGACAGACTGACTTAACAGTATTACAAAATTCGGAAAGGCTGGGGATTGCATAACAGAGATTACCATGTTGTTACAACTTAGAGATTAACTCCTCTTTAGCTCTAACAGTGCAAAATCTCATCATTAATTGATCCTTTTTCAAAACAACTATCATGCTTAAACATTAACATAGAAGAGGGACTCTGGCACTACTACTTCCAACCTCAGCTCGTGATCTAAAATTTAAATTAAAGAGTAAAACAAAAAATAAAAACTGAAGTTATATATAAGTTAACACTAAAATCTGAATCAGGAATGCATGACAAGCATAAAAATTTACAATTTTTTTAATCACATCAGTTACATCCATAAGAAATACAAAAAAGGGAGACACAAAGAATCAGAGAACCATCTCTTTCTTCAAATTTTAATTTGACAAGTAAATAGAATTGATTCCTCTCAAAGTAAGCTTCACAAAGAACTAAAAATTGTACATGTAGGAGACAAAAAGAAGCAGGGGCAACAAAAGAAAAACCTGCATAAGCACATTGCTGAATGCACCTTTCTTGGTGACTTGCACAACCATATTGGCATTGGCATTGTAGGAGTGCTGAGAGGCTCAAAAAGAAAGTTGGTCAACTCTCACTGTCATTGAAATTTGGAAAAGTGACACATTTGAAAACCTTACACCTTGAACACAAGACATATCCAACCTGCAGGCAGCAAAAGAAAGAACAAAGAGAAAAAACAGTTATACATAAGGGTTGCAATAGTTGACAATGAAATTGAGTTATTAATAGAGAAGTGGAAGTGGTTACGGCTCTGCAAGTGGGACATCGACGGTAGAGACGTTTGTTTTCAGCTTTGACATTTGTCTTTTGGCCTTTACAAAAGTCACAGAGTAACCATCCTTTTCCATTGCAAGGTTCACACATGATAGTTGCATCTACATCTGCATCATCAAACTTGAACACAGATGAATCATATTAGGAACAAGGCTACGACTTCAAATCAAACACAACAACAACCAAAAAAGAAAAAAAAAATATGATTGAGGTACCTGTTGGTGAATAGGAGCGCAATAGAGAGGCTTAATGTAAAAAACGCGCCTATGTCTATGACTATGGCTGAGAGTGAGAGTTGAAGGAAAGGAACAGAGAGAGGGAGAGGCTGCAAATGCAGAGGACATGGTGGCCATTTCCCTATGTGAGTGAGAATTAGAAATAGAATCCCTTATTCTTCAATCTCGTTATCCGAATTATCAACAATTCTAACCTTGCTTTTCCCAATAATAACACGCTTGCCATTTCCATAATTTAAAATCCACTTCCACCTCCTTGAAGCTGTTTTGTTAACTCCGCCGTCATGAGTTCGGCGGCGGTACCCTCCGCTGATGGTCCTCCTCGGCAATAAATTCTAATGGCTCTGAGCCTAATTAATCATCATTCATAATCTTCTCAAATCACAAGGGAGGTTTATTAATGTTCAAATACTACGAGTAGCGTCCCTTATGAGTAAGGTTCGGAATGATAACATAGGTCACAGTTTTTTGGTTTAAGTGATTAGATCGATTCAAGTTGTAATACTATAATGTTGGAAGACCCATTCTTTCTTAATTCATGAGAGAGTGAGAGTCATCGGCTTCTTTACAAGTTATTAGTTCATTTCGTGCAAGTGAGCACGTTGGCAAGCAATACAGTAATGACATAAAAATATTAGTTTACAATAATAGAATAGGATATTGTAACCAATATTGTTAAAATTGAAATTTTAAATAAAATTCAAATGGGATGAAAAAATCGTAAAACGTAAAATTGTTATGTAAAAAAATAGTAAAAAAAACGTTTGGAATATTGATAAAATTGTTTTCATGAAAAAAATCATAAAAACATAAAATTGTAATGATAAATCGAGATTTTAACAATTATGATTGAGATTTTAACAACTATGATTGTAACAACTAATTAGTGTTATTACCTATCAATTTTACCGTTAGATCGATTATGTTGATCCGACGGTTATATTTATTTTCATTCTCTATATTTAATGTGAAAGCATTAAATATGAAAAATCATAACCATACAAAGATGAAAATAAATATAAAGTATTAAATATGAGAATCATAATCTTACATAGATGAAAATAAATATAACTGTTGGATCAACATAATCAATCTAACGGTGAAATTAATTGATAGTAACAATATCATTCCCCTTTACTCAAATAATAAAATATTTTATATTATCTTCCTAACACTCTTCCTAACACAGGGAGTCTTTTGTACTTAAACTTGTCAACAATACAAAAGTCAATCTACCTTGTGTTGGAATTTTTGCTTTATTTTATTTTAATTAAAAAAATAAAGAGAGCAATTATTGAACTCTAAATGATTTTAAGGGATTAATATTTTTCATATTAATTTATCTCATACACACACATAAAAGTGTGTAGGGTCATGTGGGATCATGTGAAGAGAAAAGAGAAAAAATATATATGAGTCTCATATACTTTTACATGTGTATAAGAGATAAAATTATTTCCTATAACATAAAAAAACATTTTAATCATAATAAGGTTTGTGACACCATACTAACAATGATTTGTAAATAACTTAAGTGATTCTATAGTGACCCATTTTTTTTATTTAAGACTTTATAATAATTAATTATAAAAAAAAATTGCAACTATGAAAAAATATATAAATTAAATTATAATCAAATTCTAATTTATTACAAATCAAATCAAGAAATATAAGAATACATAATACAAGATAAATAAACAAATAAAAAAATAAATAAGCATTTAACTACAAAGAAAGCAATGAATTAACTTATTTATATCGCTTACTATTTCATTACAAGATAATAAATTCATATAAGGAATAATGAGGCTAGTTACCATGCATAATTAACCATACAAAGCATAATTGGCTAAAGGATGGAGATATAAATAGAACATCAAGTTTTAAACCCAAAGACCATGTGAAATAAGGAAATTCAAGGGTCTAATACAGTGATGAAGGCAATGAAGGGGTTAGAGGCAAATCGACAATTTCAAATTCATGCAAATTTTTGTCTCAGACCAATTCGAACTTAAAGAAAGGTAGTGTAGCATAAGTTTTCATTTCCTCAAGTTTAGCCTTCAAGCTTTCATCCTTATTATTATTCCTCATATATGTAGAAAACTTTGAAAGTTTTTTTAATTCTGATTACATATTAACCCCCTATCATATTATCCCGTTTAAATTTGTGTGAATTTTACTTCATTTTTCCTCTTTCACAATTTTTTGACTCTAGCATTGATGGTAAACTGTTGTGGATTTAGAGCTAGGTCTGTATCATTCTAGACGTATAATATGTTAATATAAAGGGGCTCAAAGAAGTAGTGATAGAGACCAAAGCTCAAGGAAAGTCACCACAGGTGCTGTTGCAAAAAGGGCTATGAAGATGGGGTGATGTGTAGGCTACGATGGCTCCAAAATCCAATAGAACAACAGCTCATAAATGTGATAGAAATCAGATGCTTCCTCTGTTAGATACGAGAGATTTATATAAGGGAGTGAATATTCCTTAATGATGAGAAAAAAAGAAAAGATAAGTCAAATCATTAGTCATGCCTCCACTATTGCAATGAGGCGTGCCTCACCATCGTGGGTGTACGATGATGAGCTGTGCAAGGTGAAGGAAATCCCCTATGGTGAGATTTCAATGCTCAACCATGGGAGTGCTTTTTTGATGCATCAGATGTATCATATATTTGTCTAAAAAAAGTGACAATTTGAGATATATAAGAAATACTTAAAAAGATATGAATGAAATGGGAAGAAAACTTTCTCTTTTTGAAAAAAAAAAAACATTAGGCATTCTGTGTATAGAAATTTTTTCCACCCATGGAGTGTCATCTAGTAGGACATTTATTGGGGCTTTTGACATCTGACCTATTACATTGGACCTACGAAGGCCAGCTAGAACAAATAGCATAATTACTCATGCTTAATTTTGATTAATTAAATCAAAATTAACGGGCCAAACACGTAAAAATTAAATCCATTTTGATTAATTACACATAATTACCCATGCTAGAACAAATCAAGATTAATTAAATCAATTTTGATGAATAATAACGGGCCAAACACGTAAAAATTAGTTGGTACTTGAATTCATGCTTAATTTATAATGTGGAGCATTAGTTAAGACTTTGACTATTGGTCGGCATGCTTGAAAAGACTTTTATTATAAAGAAAATACACTAATATTGATAGTTACGCTTGTAGTTGGAAATTTAAAGATGAATTGAATAGTTTAGGGAGAAAGGAGTGAAGCATAGATGTAGAGACCCCTAAACATTATTTAGTCTTTAAGTTAATAACTCAAACATGTTCCCCCTATTTTACTTAGGGTAAAGTGTGTGTCATTCTAAAGGATATAAAGTTGTGTCATTTTAAGAGAGAGAAAGAGATAGATAAAGGAGGAGAGAGTTGACAAAAAAATAAAGGTGTGGGTCCCACCTCTTTATGAAAGTGAAATGATATAAGTTGTGTCATTTAAAAGGATATACATTTTTTCCTTTTACTTATCAAACAAAACAATAAATATTAGCATTGATAAGCATATAAGCTTTGCTCCAACAAGAAGGAAGAAAACAAATATGATGAAGTGCACTTGCATTAATAAAAAGAATCTCGTGTTCAATAATATTTAATTATTTATTATTGATTGGATTAAGAGTAAATATCATTTTTGGTCCTCAGCAAATTTTACGATACTCGTTTTAGTCCCTAGCAAATAAAGAGGCCTATTGTGGTCCTTAAGAAATTCAAAATGAACCCATTTAGTTGAAATTGAGGTCCCTCATAAATTCTAAAAAGACCCATATTAGTCCCTAGAAAGACTAAAAGTGGATCCATTTTGAATTTCTTAGGGATGACGATGAATCTTTTTATTTGCTAGGGACTCGAGTGGACATCATGAAAATAAAAAAAATATTTACTCTTGCATTAAATTATTGGGCCGTACGTGTTGAGCCCAAACGCGGGAAACGTGTGGTCCCTTCCGCAAAGGTTTTGAAGGAAGAAAGCGGCAGAAAACCCCAAAACACGAACATCCCTTACAATCCCTACGTGAGTGATGATGATCATGCTCTCAGCATTCACAGAATATTTGATATCAATTTCACAACAATGACGAAGCGCAAGGATTTTGACCATGACTTCCCTTCAATTTCCCCCGCAACAAAATCCAGGAGACTGGTAACTGATTCTCCCCCTCTCTCATCCCTTTTTTTTTTTTAACTATTTCAGGTTCGATCAGTATATAGTTACGAATTATTTATTGTTTTCTTGGTTTAAATGAAAATTTTAGGACGGCGAGTTATGTGGTACGATGATGGAGGAAGACCTAAATGCAATGCTGAAGCAACCTTGGACCATAGATGAGGGTTCTGCTTCTGATTCTGCTTCTGCATATGTGCCAAACACGGACGAGAGAGCCCTCGTGGTTTATGACCCTACCAAAACCCCTCTTCTGAAGTCCCCAAGCACGCCCCAGTTCTCTATCGTTGTCAAGGCTGACTTGATTCCCGGTTTAAAGGGTAAATCATTCTCAATTATCTCTGGCTTTTTATTTTATTACAGGTTTGATATTGTCTTGTCCTTGGTCTATAATTTTGTGTGTATTTGATTTTGGATATATATATATATATAAGTTGTGTGTGTGTTTCGGGGAAGTTGGGTTGGGTATTGAAAATTGAAATATGTTTATGGCTTCATTGAGTTAATGATTTCGCATGACCATGATGATAATGCTCTCATCGTCGACTCAATTTTGGCTGGAAAGTAGAATTCTCAAATTTTGAATAGGTTGAAAATTTTCAAGCTTGATAATCATACATGAGATTTTATTCTATCTGATCATTCGCAACTTTTGAGAACAATCAAATCCCATGGATTGCTATTCATTAGATCTCTTCACGAAACTTATAAATATAACTAAGAGCTCTGGAGTGTTTTTGAATTTCCCTGGAGAGGATATCCAAATTATTATAGAGTTTTATAAAACATTGCTATGGAAATCAGAATCATCAAGAGCAATGGTCATTCACTGATAAGATGGTAAATGCATGGGAAATGTTGTAGAGAACTGTTATGGGTCATCCTAGATGCAGTATGTATGTGTATGTTTCTGTGATCTTTATATATCACCATTTGAAATTTCCCTGGAACCCACTCCCAATAAGAGTAATAGGTTTCTACAGACAAAATTTTGTATGCGTGAAGTGATTTTAATTTTTCTCAATATAATATTTGGTTTCTTGAATGAACTGATGGCTTGGTACAATTTTGATTACTAGTGGCATCTCATAACAGCTGCTGTTCTTCCTTGTAATTACACTGTTATGGTGAATATTGGCCATGTGAATTAATTATTAGCTATTTACAACATTCATGCTTGAAGAGCTGGGGTTTTGTTCTATTGCCTTTTTAAGTAGATTTTTTCTAGGCTGCTCATATTAAATTAGGAATTGAAAATAACTGATAAGCCTTTGGCATCGAAACTATGATCATCAGCATCGTGTTCTTTTCTAACCAACTATTCAACAAGACAAAGTTTCCACACTTCCCTGTTTTATTTATTTTTTGGGGGGTGTGGGGGGCGGGGGGATGAGGTTATTTATCTGCCTGGATATTTTTTGAACAATTCTTGCCATCTTTTGCAGATTATCTCTTGTCATGGGGTACTGTAAAGCTAGACAACCCTGTGGAAGATGAAGTGAGGAGGGAGAAGAGTTCTGAAGTAACAAAAGACTCTTTGGCTGTTGTCCCGTGGGTTGCATTCCATTCTCCTATGGCATGTGAAGAAATAGCACCAGAAGCAGGTCAACCTTTAGAGGTAGAAGAAGGTGAAATGATGGAGATGGATGAACCCTGTGTCAATAACAACTATGAGAAGGCTATGGAAATTGGTGATAAGGTGGAGGCAGCTGGACCTTCATCACCATGGCAACAACAACACTGTATGATGCCTAATCTGTTGCAGAACAATTCCACTCCAATCCATTGGTGTTAACACTCCTAACTCCCATTTTGTGTATTTGTTTCTGGTAGTTTTACGTTGCTTCAGGTTACCATTCCCTCCAATGGTATTTTATGTACATAATTATAGGAAGTTTTGGAGAACTATCGAACAAACTGCTAAAATTTCACGTAGGGCGGGTTTATATTTGTTGAGGACGCCTTGTGTATATAACTTGCTAATTTGCACCTCTCAAATACTTGCTATATATTATCTGGAAAAAGACTTTCTATATAATTGTCTTAGATCTAATATTTCGGTTAATAATTTCACATGACCATGATGATAATGCTCTCACCTTTAACTCAATCTAGGCCGGAAAGTAGAATTCTAATTGATAGGTTATTATGGGATGGAATACTTCTCAATTTTTGAGTAGGTTGGAATTTTTTGAGCTTGATAATCGTAGGGTTTTATTCTGTCATATCTTTTATAAATATAATATGAGCTCTGAAGTGTTTTTTGAATTCCCCTGGAGAGGATATCCGAATTATTAAAGTGTTTTACAAGATACTGCTATGGAAATCAGAATGATCAAGGGCAATGGCCATTTATGGAATAGAAGATAAATGCATGGGAAATGTCGTAGGGAACTGTTATGAGTCAGCCTGGATGCAGTATGTATGTGTATGTTTCTGAATTTCTTTGATCTTTATTTATATCACAACTTCATGAAATTTCCCAGCAACCCACTACCAGTGAGTCACAAAATTTTGTACTCGTGAAGTGGTTCTAGCTCTCCTTAATGTTATATTTGTAATCTACCAGTGGCATCTCATGACAAGTACAAGGAATTTAACTTAAAAAAGGCAACAGGACATAGATATCTGCTCTTCAAGCATGAAAGTTGGAAATAGGCGATCGTTGGCCAATTTACAGCATTCCCCATAATCATACTAAATTAGGAATTGAAAATAACTGATAAGCCTTTGGGACCAAAACGACTTATCTGTCATCTACTTGTTCTTTATTTTTTTATTAGTACAATACTTGTTCTTTTTTAAACTAACTATTCAACAACACCAAAGTTCTCTCATTGCCTTTTTTTTTTAAGATCAAACTCCCGTTTGTTAAACAGAAATGTAAAGCAAAAATCATGTCTGATTATTTTCATCTAGAATTAAGTTTGTTTTGAAATACACAGATCACAAAAAGTGAAAAAAATGTAATTTTTCGTTTTTTTTTTTTTTTTTTTTTTTTATCGTTAATATAAGTGACTTCTGTCTTCGAGGTGATTGATGCTTGAATACAAACACGATTTACAGCAACCCGTATAAATAAATAATAAGCAAAAGTGAATAACTTCTTTGGAAGCAAAAATTGGATTAAGTTTTTTATTTTCAGTTTTTAATAAAAATATGATATGTGTAGTTGTTTTTCATTATCCCATATTTTTTATGTGTGTTATTTTTCATCATCATTGGATATATTTTATATATTATAAAAATACAACGCCCAAATCAAAAGCCTTTCACAATGAAGCAAAGCTTTAGTCAAAGAAGATCTTTTAGCTTTTCCTTGAATCGTTGGGTTTAGACATTACTTCGGGGATCTTTAATCGTTTCCAAAAATGGCAGTATCATACCATTTTTTCTTTCTTTCAAAGAATTATATAAATTGAAGGTTGATTCCCTCGTATACACTTTGGATCGAAATAGTTTTACCAATTCCTCCTAAAAGTAAATTGATTTTTTTGGAAACCTTGATCGAATTGGATCCTTTTTCTTTCTCTATCAAAAATATAGAATGCAACTTCATCTCTGTCACAAAGCTCACCTCATCAAGCTTCTCAACATTAAAAACTACATGACATCAAGTTGCCCCTTCTACATCTCTTTGAATACTTCATCTCCAAATATACCTCACCACTTGCAAGCTGCTCGTATCTCCACAATAAATACATACATGTTAACACAAAGGTAGACATTTTCTTCTACATAAAAAAACCTGCTTGAATCAAATCTGACTTGAGCGTCGAGTGTCTTGCAGGTACACTCCCCTTGTTCCATTGAAGACCCATGGGTTAAAGCTGCTCCAACTGCAAGATGCTCTGATCCAAGGCGATTACAGACCATTTGTGTAGAGAAAGATAACATGATCGGTCCAATTGTAAAATCGGTTCTGATCACCATATTTTTTGAGGTTTTTATAATTTAGGTGTGTAAAAAAAAGTTACATATTATTAGAAAACTCTATATACCATAACCATACATATAAAAAACTTATATTGCTGTAACTTAATGATTTGTATCATTTAATGTCCGGATGTCACGAGAAGTTGATCTTTTTATGTTTGTTTTGTTGTTTTGCAAGAATTGGACTTGTCATTATTTATGTTTTTTTGGTCTATTATAAAATGAGAAGGAACATAAAAGAAAGAAGAAGAGAATCTAAATTTCATGAAAGGGAACAATATAAAAACGACTACAGAAGAACTCATTATTATTCTTCTAAAGTCTATTAAATGCAGTTATTTTTCTTACTCTCATTACATAAAGAGAAAGAATCCACGAGAATTCAAATTTCTTTAACAATACCAATATTCTCAATTAATGTGAAATAAAAGTATAATTAACTTAATTATATTATGATCAAAACAATTAGTTAATATAATCAATATGTAATGGAATCATCCACGCTGTAGAATCATCCAACTTTGTCATGTCTTCATCATAATTTGGTGAGGCAGTAATTAAGAGGCGATAGCAGACACTAGTCAGATAAAGGGTACAGGTGTTGCTTAATCTGCAACTCAATTTCATGCAAAATAGCCACGACACAATAAGCACCCTCAACTGTTGCCGCGTAATCTGTCACAAGCTCCACCTATAATGCTATATACTACTTCTCTCTTTCACTCTCATCTCATTAAACTCTCAACAACAATTCTTAGTTTGTACCTTTTGAAACCAACCACTCACACACACCATGTCTGATCAACCAAGAACAACAACAGGTTCCTATGGTTCCTATGATAACAATCCCAACATGAATAGTAGTAATAATAACTCAACCTCACGCCAAACAGTTAAGTTCTTAACTGCTGCCACTATTGGTGTCTCACTCTTGCTCTTGTCTGGTTTAATCCTCACTGGGACTGTTATAGGGTTAATCATTGCAACCCCTCTTCTTGTTCTGTTTAGTCCTATCCTTGTACCTGCTGCTATAGTCATAGCACTTGCTGCTGGTGGCTTTTTGTTCTCCGGTGGTTGTGGTGTGGCGGCGATAGCTGCATTGTCATGGATATATAACTATGTTTCTGGGAACAATCCTGCAGGTTCTGATACACTTGATTATGCTAAAGGGGTGATTACGGGTAAGGCTAGGGATGCGAAGGAAAGGGCCAAGGATTATGGAAGTTATGCTCAGGGTAGAGCTCAAGAGGCCACACAAGGGTCTTACTAATCATGCATGCGCATATGAATAGGGAAAGTTTGAGGTTAAAGGTGGCACTTGTCCCCTTTTGGATTTGCATGTTCATGTTCATGTTCATGTTCAGAACTTGTCACGTCTTGCTGTTTGTACTATCTTGTTTGCAATGTTCTATCTATGTTGTTCTGTTTTAAATCGTTCACCTTATAATTTGTGTAAGCATCATGTAATAATAAAAATCTCTTTTGTAGCTCCAATATTTGCTTGTGTTAAGAGGTATGTTTTGGATTGTTTAATTTCCTACCCTATTGCTCCTTTTTATCTTTATGTTTTTATATATTGTTGGGTTGGGAGGACAGAGAAGATAAGCAAAAATGAGACACAACAGATCATCAACTACCTCTGCATCTAAACAGGAATTAGAAAACTGGCAAAATTACCACCGAATAAGTTGGGTAATAAAAAAAGAAAAAAAAAACTAGCAAAATTATTAGCAACCACAAGTGACTTTCAAAATTCCATCTTCAAATGCCACAGTAGCAGAAATGTTATTTAAATCCGGTGCTATTTTGAAACAAGAATTGGATAACCATAAATACTAGTAATTTGTGCTCTCTCTGTATCCTGAACCTTTTGGGGGGGGGGGGGGGGGGGGGGGGGGGGGCGTCTTTGATTGCATATTCACCAGTTTCCCATGGCTTAAATTAGTCATTTTCTTTATGGTTGCTGGTGTGTGTTTATCTAGAAGTAATTGATTATATTTTCATCACGTTTCCGAGTTAATTTTGAAGGGAATTTATATTTATAAATTTTTTTGTTTACAAAAACTTTTGAAGTTAATCATATAATTCCAACTTTCTCTGGTTATAATACCAAAATATCAATTTGTGTTATTTTTTATTTTCGTGTAATATGATTTTATATGAACTGTGTGTTCCGAGGTGTGAAGTAAGAGAAAAAAAAAAATTTCATTTTCTTTTGCAAGAACGGATCTCAAGAAGAGTGAGGTTACGTTTGGAGGCTTTTTTTTTTTTTTTTTTTTTTTTACCATTGTAGCCTTTATTTCATAATTAATTATCAAATTGACCTTAATTATAAATTATTTCAAAAATTTAACTTATTTAAAAAATATAACATCTATCTATAAGTTTGACTATCAAACCTACCCGGTATCTCGGCTACGCGGGTAAACATTCATCTTTATTTCCTTCTTTCTATAAGCATTGCTCCATATAAGCACAAGGAAGGTAAGATGCTCAAATGTGGGTTTCTTTTCATTTTAGATTATCATATGAATGATCTTTTAGATTATAACTAGTCTTAAGAGGGACACCTGTTTTACAAGCTTATGAAACAGTGTTGATTGACTCAATTATTTTGTTTTGATTCATAAAATGGGTTATTAGTTAGAAATGAAAAGAAAAAGAATGTCATGATCAATAATTTTATTCTTTTGTTACTTTACAAATTTGAAGGTGCAGGTGCAGGTGCATGTCTATCCCATAGTACAGCTATACACGTTTAGATTGGCTTGTTGCTTATTTTTAAGCATTGAAGACTCTATCCTTGTGTCAAAGCTTTCCTCAAAATTTGATGAATTTCTGAAAGAGATGATTGGATTCCCCATCAATTTGCCTGGAACAACGTTTTATAGGGCAATGAAAGCTGCAAATGAAATAAGGAAAGAAATTAAAATGATTCTGAAGGATTCTGAAAAACGTTTCCCAGATGAATGTTTACCGGGTAGCCCCTTATAAATAATTCAACTATTTTTTTAGATTTTTAAAATATACCAAGGTATCCCCTTGACTACTCGAATAGGATAAAATTTTCAAAAAATACTCGGATAGAGGGGGGATACCTGGGTAGGCTTGCTGGTCAACGGTCAAACATGAGCAGATTGATGTTATGTTTTTAAACAAGGTTAAATTTTTGAAATAATTTATAACGAAGGTCAATTTGATAATTAATTATTAAATAAGGAGCAATGGTCAAAAAGCCTACGTTGGCATCATTTATGAATGATAAAAAATAATAAATGATAAATATTATAAAAGATATTAAAGAAAAGAATTATGTATAACACAAAGTATTTGTTAAATTTCGATTGAAGTTATTTTTTATCAAATAATACATAACGAATGATAGTTTTATGCTACTATAATTAAATATATTTTCTAATAAAAATAAAAATTAAAATTAAGTGTATCCCTTTTTTTTAATTTTTGTGTATTAAAAAATGTGAATTTAAAAGAGAGAGAATTCTAGTAGAACAAATTTATATTTGATGTTTTATCTTCCTTTTTAAAATATTTCAAATTTTTTTGGCGATTGTATTATTAAAAATAAAAAATAGATATATCTGCGTAGGTTTTATATTGTGATAATATATATGTTTTTCTAATTTTTATTTTATTATTTTTGAAAAGCTGAACCAAAATAAACTAAGGTGAAGTAACTCAGAGGGAAGAAACGAAGTAGATATACGAATAGTTATGGTGTGTGATAAAAGAAAGAGAATTATTTGAGAAGTACAAATGAGAATTAATAATAAAATAATTAATAAGAAACAACTTTTGTAAAGTTTAAATAAGGATGAATTTGAAAACATCATAAAAACAAAAAGGCGGAGAAGTGTAAATAGGCATATTAAACTATCAATAGCCTTACACGTACAAATATGCTGGTTGTCATATATCATTATTAATAGTTGCGGGTTATTATACATGCATATTTGCGTGTTGTGTGCACAACATTGATTTAAATCAAAACTAACTAATTACTCATGTGAGTTATACGCCATGAATTTGTTCTGACAAATGTTATGATATGATACCTTTCATGTTCCATGAACTGTTGCCTGAATTATTAGTCTTGAATTGTACTTATTGATATTCTGTACTATCAACAGTGTATATATCTATACAAACAGTACAACTCTAATCCATGAGAAGAGTCTATAGCAGGAGTTTTTTTTACCTTGTGGTTGGTTGTGCCTGGTACTTATTAGACCATTCTGCTTTGTTTCTTAATTTCTCTGATTGAAAGTGTTCTTGAGTTAATGTACAACTCTAATACATTATTTAATAATTTGTTGCTTTTATGATCCAAGTTTGTGGTGCTTCAGACTCCTAGGACCTTCGAGTAAACATTGAAAAAGACTATGCCTATACATCTGACATTATTGCAGCATCTGGCTACGAAACTTTCATGGCTCAAAGCTGGACAAAAGGAAATAGTTCTACTTGTTGCATTGTTTTGTAATTTTAGGAAAAAGTTATATATGGTAATGTTAGTGAAGCTGATAGATTCCCAAGTCTATGTGAAGACAAATAGAGGTTAGGTGGAAATGAATATGCATTGGGGGGAGGGGGGGATGGAGGAGGCAGGTAAAATTGTGTAGAGAGTGAATTTAAGATATAAGAAATCATTCATATCTCTTTTGGATGGATTGGTGACATCTTTTTTATAAAATAATAACACATGTCTCTGTTATACATATTCAGTCTTGATGACTTGAGGTGATACTCTTTTCTATTTCATCTTCTCTCTAAAACTTTTGAACAAAAGCTTATGGTGAGAAGGGGTCCATAAATGAGGCTTCATAATATAATCTGAATTTGCTATGTACATTTTATTTCAGCTTAAGTAGAGTTACAAAAAAGCCACAGGTTATTTGCGCCGCTGTGTTTCCCAAAAAAGTTAATTTCAGTTATGGGGCTCATTGAGCGGCTGATTATGGATTACATTGAAATACCCTTATAAAGTAGGACTAACATTTTTGGTCTGTTAATATAACTAAAATGAAGTTACATTGAGTTGCACATCTGGCCATTATAAGCCTTTGCACCATAAAAGGAAACAAGAATATGAAACAATCAAAGTCTGGCTCTTGAATGCTTAGTTTGCGTATGTAATATTCTAAATATGAAGTTTTCTTCGTTTTTGGGTGTTGCCATTTGCACACTTCTTTCTTAACATGGCCAATCAGACTTTACTCTTATCTTACCTGTTCTGTATTAAATCAGCTGCAACTTTTACAACTATAGAGAGTTATAAAATGTCTCCAAAAAAAAAGTGTTATAAAATGTGCAACAATATGGTAAGCAGTACATGAAACCCTATAAGACCACTGAATCCGGTGCTCATTAGCTGAGCTTTTGTTTACATTATATTGATTACTGTGCTAATCAAGAATAACCATTATTAAGCTTGGCATCATCCAGATACTATAGTTTCTTAAGCTCAGATCTTAAAGTCCCAAACTCCACCTAATTCACCCATCAATATCAGTTGGATAACTCTTTCTATTTTACAACCCAACATCCATCCATTATTAAGCTTTGACGAAAATGCTTCGAATGTAGTGCTTTGCATGGATTTGTCATGGTTCAAGAGATACAAAGTGCACCCCCAAATTCTGTAGGGCGTAAACCCTTTCCCTTCCCCACAAAAAAGGCCTCCAAGATTAGTATAAGGCATTGGGAGATTTTTATTATTTTTAGTATAAGGCCCCCAAAACAGGCATGAAACATTAGTATTTAGACTCTACAAAATAATAAAATATCGGAATACATAAATACATTACTGAAACCTTATCATTGTGAAAAAGATAGCGTTGAGATGCTTATTAAATCATCAAATGAATAATTCAAAGAGAAACTAATAATTATTAAGAGTGAATAGTATGATTCATAATTGAACCATACAACACTGCACAATCCACATAATGCAGACTCTTTACAAACTGAAAACATCAAGGCTCAAGTGGCTTATCGTCTTCTTGCTTATAGAAGGATTCATAAGTCTGAACTCTTGGCTTCGGTTCTGGCAATTCCAACTCTTGCATAAAGCCATCAGTCATCTTGACGAAATCATTCATGTGAACTTGTTTCCATTCCTTTCAAGTCAAAAAATCAGAAAGAAAATAAGAAAAACTAGAATAGGGAGGGATGCATTAGACGATAATCATATTAGCCGCGAGGGCTTTAAGATTTAACCATAAAGGAAGATGTTTTAACATTGATATAATGAAATGGCCTCCATTAAGTTAATTCCCTCCTTAACCCTAAGATCAAACTTAATGCTGTGTGACTACTAATGAGCCAAGAAGAGACTTGAAGAACAGGATAACCTCCTTTTATGCATCCCTTTAAAATCAATCATAAAATTAACCTTGATGAAACCTCAAACAAGTTTCAAGCACTTACATAGTCATAACTCTTTAGTTAACTGGTTTCAAAATCTTCACCAAAACAAAACATGAGGAAAGTGAAGGGAAACAATAAAAGGGGAGGTGCTTGATAAAATGCCATCCACCTTTTAATTTGTATGCACACAAAAAAATGCCCTTTAATTGTTCCTCAAGGAACTTGAATCGTTATGTCTGCCTGATTACTAAAATATAGACAAAACAGTCACATCTGATATAGAAATCTCCTCTCCCCCCTAACTACCCTGCGGCAGAATTTCTCATTAATCAGTAATATTATGCCCAACTTAACCCCTTTCCCTTTACCCAAAGTGCTTTGCAATGCAATTTACAGCCAACAAAGGCTTAAGTCACATTTAGCTGGCATAGTGAATAAGTTTTCCCAACACATAAAAGAAGGAAACAGAATAAATATATTTGAAGATCATTACATGATTCTCTTTTGTCCCGAAAACATGTTGCGAATTATATTAATTTTGAATTTGGCAAATGAAAAATAAGAAAGATGGCATGTTTACCTCAAAATCCCACTCTGCATATAAGTCTTGATCATTTGGGTTGCTCCAAACATAAGCGTGAACTTTTAACTTTTCAGAAGTGTCCTGTGTAAATAATTTTAGCTTTCTTATTAGGATTCTTCTGAAAGCACAGAATATTTAAAGATCATATAATGTATTTTATATTATGCCTTTGGGAAAATGTAACATGTGCCTCATTTATCAAGAGAATTTTTATTTGAACATCAAATTAGCTTTAAATGTTTCTAACAACGGTAAACTGAATAAATGCCACTTCTTCGATGCTCAATATCTTCTTGGATACATAGAAAGTCAAATAAAATACACTTGAGTTAGACTTACCATCAATAAAACCTCAACATCACTTCTAGTATATTCAATATCCTCGAATTCATCTAAAACATCTAGTTCCAATCCTGAGATGCCAAGAAGGACCTGAACAAAAAGGAAAAACAAAAGGAAGAGAAACGGTTTATCAGCTTCAATGACAGGGTAGGATTGTGATAAGCCCTTTTAGATTTGTTATAAATAACCTTAAAAAACAGGGAACCACTGCACAAAAAAACTTCGAAAGATAGATATACACATGCATGGGTATTTCAATTCTCAGGGGCAGCCAAAAAAAAAAAAAACGACAACAATATGGATGATGTTAAGGTGGTTAAAAATTCAGGGACAGACCCTGCCAGCAACTTTCTTATTCTCCACAGGCAGAATAGCGGGATAAACGCGACCTTTGATCTTAAACCTATGACTGCAACTCAAATACGAGTACGAGGTTAGAAAAGTCAAACGGCAAAAGCATGAAAAACAGTAATAACATATTATTTTTTATCTTTTAATTGTTGGCGACCCATTGTGTGTGTATATAGAAATGAAAAACACTGAAAAAATGGATTTTGATTGGGATGAGAGGGAAATTGATGAGAGAAATGGAAAGGAGACTAACAAGCCATGGAGGGTAGCAGTTGCTGATGAAGGGACGCGCTTCAAGAGGACACGGACAACATCATCGGACAAGAGGCTACCATAAACGAACACGTTGTGGGTATCGCCACTCACTCCCACTCCCATTCCACAATTCACCTTCACGCTCATCTTCTTTCCTACACCTCACTCTCACTCTCTGCCTCTGCTTCCCACTATCTCGCTCTTATAATTATTGTTATTGCCAAAATGACGTGTTGACTTGGGCTACTTCTGAGTTAAGAGATTGAGTCACACTCAGCTTTTGTTATTTTGTTTTACTAGAAGATAAATTGTGAACGTGGATATTTATGGTTACCAAAATCCGTGTCTGCTTATGATATCATATCGTTATTATTACTATAAAAAAGTGTTTATCATTTTAAATGACACAATTTATATTCTTTCACTCCTATAAAGAAGTGAGATCCACATTTTTATTTTTTTTGTCAACTCTCTTTCATACTTTATTTATCTCTTTTTCTCTCTTAAAATGACACAACTTTACATCTTTTAAAATAACACATATTTTACCCTTATTATTAATAGAATATTTATACTATTAAATTTTTCTAGTATCATTCCATTATGATTTTAATTATTATTAGATTCATTTTTGTTTCTCTTTTCCTTCAATTTTTTCTCTAATTCAATAATAATTAGAATAAAAATAGAGTGGTAAAAAAATATTTGGTAATATAAATATCCTTTCTCCTCCTCCGATTTCTTACTCGGAAGGAAGAAAAAAAAACTAACGATTGACATTCTTCGGAAGAGGAATCTTTCGAGAGTATTAACATTTATCACTATAATTTTTTTTGAAATCTTCGTCCCAAGTATGAGCACTATCGCACTTGTGAAACCTTTCTAATAATTGTCTTCCTCAATTTAAATTTTAACGGTCTTTTAAAAATATGACTCATTTGCTAACACACCCAACTCTAGTTAGTATTTTTACTAGAATGTTCCAAGTAATTTTTTTTGCGGAATTTAACAGACGTAAGATATAAACTTTTAACTAAATGAAACTCACTTTAACCAATTTCTTAATCAGCTAATTCACTTTTAATCAAACATTCTATAAACTTTGCAACCAAAATAACAATTCATATCAAAACATTTGAAAATTTTAGCAAATGTTACAAATAATCTGTTGTTACACAACTTTCATAGAAAAATCAAAAATAAACTCTTAAGAAACTAACCACTTTCACAAAAACCCAAATAAATCCAGACTCAAGGTTTGATTTCTCCAGCCTAACTCATCGACTGAGTCATTTTTTAATGCATGAAGTTGAAACTTAAAAAAAAAAAAATCGTACGTCTAACTACCAAGACCAAAAAGAAAAAGTAAACGAGTTGATAATTGCTTTGTATGCATCACCAATTCACCACAGTACAAGTTACTTCGGGGCCATATGATAGAAATAAAGGCATCCATGGTACAAAACATGAGGATATAACGTGAGCGAAAACAATATCCAACCAAACAATGTAATTGATTACACAAATCGATAAACTAGTACAGAGAAAAGGATGACAACAGAATATAATCTAGCAGGGCAAGATTCTTAACCACAGCAACTTCATATGCTCATTGGCTCTGGTGAACCAAGAATATCAAGCAATGAGTTATGAGGCTCCAGTTCCTCATGCCATAATGGAAGTTGATCGCCAGGGTAGAAATTCCTGGTCACTCCCTCTGAGTTTATCTACAAGGAATTCAAAGTCAGATGATTTGAAACTGTTGTGCATATTTAAAATAAAACACAAGTCCCTGATTAAGATGCCTTACTATGACTGTTCGGACCACCCCACCACTTGCACCGTCACGAGCAATAGCTAGCGAAACTGCCTTTTTTACTAAATCCTGCCATACAATATCAAATAGACTGTCAGCAACAAGGATTGGGACATAATTTCACCCAAACAAAATATCATCCTCAATCTACTAAAAAAATCATCCTTAAGGGAGCATTTCGTAAAGAATAAATTTTTTTATGTCCAGAAATCATAATTACCAGGAATATGGTGAGAAAATCACTTTTCGTAAATATTACCAAAAAAACTATTTGGTAGGCGGAAATATTAACGGGATTTTGTTCCAAAAAAAGTGTAAAATTTTCTCAACACTTGGGATTTCAAAAATACCACCCCTTAAGTGGTATTCTTGGATGACATTTTGAAATAAAATTGTACATAAAACAAAATCCTGGAAAAATTTCCAGAAATCTTGTACCAATTGTTGGTAAATAGGATTACCACTATCACTTTCCCGGGAATCTCAAAAAATTCCTCCTACCAAACACCCCCTAAATTTATTAATAGCTTCTAAATTATTAGCCACTGTCCATATCTGAAGCATAATATTGCCATAACAAGAAAAACCAGGCCAGGTCCCCAAAAAATTAACATCCACAACAATCTGTTTGGCACTTAAAATCATTATTTTTTAAAATTGGAAAGGCAGTAGCAAGAATCAAGACCCATACCTCAGCTTCATCCTTGGTCATTCCTTCTTTCCAGGCTTGGTCAAAAAACCCATACAAGTAACTGGAGCCAGATCCTGCACAAGACAACTCATGCAAACCATAGCTTCATAAACAAAAGCCATGCATCCTAAGAAAAAAGCTAACAGGCTAGCAATGAAAGATTTAAAAATAATAATAAGATGTATAACAAGAGAAAACCCATATAAAAATTCGCAACAAGCAATGCTCCAGGCTATTTCCAAATTGACATATTAAGACCAGTAAAGTGATAGAACCATATCATCAGAGACTTAACAAATACAAAATCAACCGTCTCCAATGGAAAAATCCACTATTCTACAAGCCTTAGCAACACTACAAAAGATACATATTGAGAAGCGAAGAAATTTATCATGTTTCCATAATAAGTGGAGTAAACCCTCAATTCGGTGGCCCAAAGATTAGGGTATCCCCACATTAGTCCTGCTTAGGTATTTGTCACCAACTTAGTCTCTCAAAGAATGAAGTGTAAGCGTTTTAGTTTTCCAAACATTTTTCATCAAATTGATCCTTCGAAGATAAAAAAAGTCACCAAATTTGTCAATATGAAAAACTAAATGGTGACACAAAAGGATGAATTTGGAGAATTTTATATCCGAGGGACTAATTTGGTGGGAAAAAAATTGGAGGACTAAAATGGAGACACTTTAATGAAGTGACACCCTAATCTTTGAAGAACAAATTTGAGGGTTTATTCAGAAAACTATTATAAAGAAATTTCAGATAATTTTCCTCTTTACTTTTCTTCTTTTCCTCCACATCAGACCAAAAGAGGAGAGCAGCCTATTAGGGTGCGCCCGAGCCTTTTATCTTCTATTTCTACAAGTCTCTATAGTCTATAGATAACCTAGATTAACTTTTGCAGAGGGTTCACCCTGCATCGCTAATTCTTAGGAAGTAAAATGACTCCACACGGATTCAAATTTTGATATCAAGGTACAATCTGGGCAAGTGATACAAGCAATACATTCATGCAGGAACAGACATGTATAAACTGAATGTGCATGCAGAAATCATAAAGGAAATTGTAATTATGAACATATATCATAGGTAAAATACCTCCAATAGCAAAAGGTTGCTGTACTATTGTTCCACCCAGAGGAACTCCATAAATTTGACCACCTTCATATTTGTCCCAACCACCAATAATTAACCCAGTCTCCAAGAAATTCTGTAAATGAAAGTCGATTTACAACAAAACCAAATACACACGCATACACACATATATGATAACTGACTATATGAATAAATAAAAAACAGAGACTAAAACTAGGAGGATCCATCAGGCTAACACAATGTCATTAAGCCTGTTTTTTTTTTCACGCTTCTCCGGTTGCCCCAGATGCACATTGCTTTTGTAAATAGCAATCAAACCAATAACCATAAAATAAAATAAAAAACAACAGCTAACTTTAAATGGACTAATTTTCAATGTTTAAACCATCAGCTGACGTGAATTCAGCACAATTCAAATTTCTCAGTTCCTAGAATTAAATGCAACAGTGACATGGAAAAAAACCTATCATTCAATTTCTATCACTAATGTCCCAAGCCATACAATAGTTGCAAATTCTTAACCTAATTATAAGCAAGGCAGAAGAATATCATATTAATAGACACATGTTACAAGACTACGAAAAGCACAGGATAAAATAATTTTTCTTCTCTGCTTTATAAGAATAGCAACAAAGAATAAAACTTGGAATAAATATCGTCAATGGAGTAGACTGAATAATATCCTTCAACAAAAATGGAAGTAATAGATAAGATAATTCATTTAAAATCTACTGTAAACTCCAATTTCTTGATTTTGTAGGAAGATAGTATAATCTTAAACTAGTGTTTGGGATCAGCAACTAGAATCACTGATGGAAACTCAACCGTGCCAATCTAATTGACAAATAAAATCCCTTAAAGTCGAACCTTGTTGTTATATGATAGAAGACGGACAAGGTTTGCAGCAACTTTGACCGTTGCAGGTTGTCCAAGCTGTATCCTATACACATACAAAACTAACAGTAAGTTGAACATCATTGTAAATACAAACATATCGTAGTCTGAAACTTCATTTAACAAAAAAGAATATCCTAATAGTACGTATAGGATGAGGAAAGTCACTTACGTGTGTTGATGGAGGAAGTAGCGCACATAGTCAGAGACAATCTGAGAATCTGCAGCCTGCAAAAAAAAAAAAAAAACGCAAATCAGCATTTTGAGGACCTAAAACAGTATCAGTGCATGAGAAATTCCATAATCATCTGCAGCAGCATAATAAAACGAGCATGCTCAGTATCATTGCTAGAACAAACAAAAAAGAATATGATATTATTATGACTTTAACTTAGAACCTTCACCAAAATGTTACACACACACATTGAAAAGATTCCTTTCAGCGAGGGAGGATATATAAAAAGGAGAAACCTATGCACTGAGAACAAAAAAGAAGAAGCAAGATCTACATTATGAGGAGGGAAACTGCATAATTACATCAAATACACTAGGTAAATATCCAAATAACAGAAAAAGGAAATCAAACCCAAGCTAATAATAGTTATACAAGTAAAACAAATTGATCTTCACACAAGAGTGATAGGATAGAAATAATAATTACCGATCCAGAGCGACACACATAGACATTATCAGTGAGCTGTGTAATTTTGTCTGATGCTCTGTTAGCAATATATACTCCTGAAAATTTTCAAACATCACTCCCAACATGAACAAAAAAGGAAAGAAAAAAAAAAACCCTAAGTTAATTTTCGTTTGTTTTCTGAAGGCAGAGATTGTGTAAGAGAAAAAAGGTGTAGTGAATGAGTGTACCGGTGCTGGTTCGTGAATCAGCTCCGAGAACGACACCGCCGTTATAAGTAACGCCGATGATAGTAGTCCCCATGGAATGGGGAGCGCTGAGATCGACCTTGTGATCCATGATTCCGATTACCCAAAGAAAAAGAAAAGAGGCTAAAATAAATGATTCAATACCCTAACACAAGGTGCCAAACCAAAAGATGGAACGAAGGCAACGAGGAAACTCAACTCTAGCTTCTCTTAGTCTCGTTCCATACAATTTATTTTCTACGGAAAATAGACTTGCTGCACAAGCTTTTCTTTTCCGAAAAAAAAAAAAAGGAAAGGGATAAAAATGTTATGTTAATCAATTATACTAAGATTTCTGTCAAGACATAAATTTATTTTCACTGAACTCAAAGCGACTTGTTTTGGAACGAAAATTAAGGTGTTTTTGTAATTATAATATATTGCAGGGTTATATTAGTCTTTGTTATTAGAATTTTTTAATCTTATACCTAAAACGACGTCATTTTGAACTCAATGGAAATAATTTTATCTCCGGTGACTAGAGAAATATTTTTTCCATTATATTATATGTGTTTAATTTTGTTGTATTCATGGTATTAACTTTTCTTATACTATCATAAATAATATAGATTTTTACCGAACACCCTTGCCATAGATAATAAGAAATATGGGCCCCTTAATCAAATGTTTGAGTTCAAGATTTGAGAATGGAAAAAATAATTTGGTAAAATTGCTCCTTTTAATAGGGTCCAATAAATAGGGATAGCAAAAATGAGCAACCGGTCGGATTGGTTCGGACGATATGTGGAGCAATTAGACATAAATGGATACCGACTCCTCAGAATTTGGTGTAACCCACATAAAATGAATCAGGTTGGTTGAAAAAAATAAACTGACGAACCGAGCCCGCTTGAAAAAATTAAGCCAATTTACGGGTCAAATCGTGAGTTATCCTTTTATTTATTTATAAAAAGAATATAAAAGAATAATAAGGGGTTCAAAGAAAATAGAAACATTTTTCTACGTAAGTTTATGTTTAGCAATTTTAGTTATCTTATATCATACTTATTTTTTTTAAGCTTTAATATTTTTTATCTTACTTCAATTATTATGTTTTTTTATTTATTTTAGGCTATTTTTGTTCCATTTTTTCAAGCCAATCCGGTTTGGGTAGGGTTAAGTTGAGTTTTCTAACTCGTTTTTCTTAGCCAACTTTAATCCAATTTTTTTTTTTGGGTTGGGTCGGGTCGAGCCGTTTTGTCATCCCTTCTAATAAGTGCTCGAACTGAATGTAGTTCGAAATATGAAGTGATTGAAAAACTAAAAATAATATAAATTTCTTTACACTATATGAAAAAATAAGTCAAAGATAAAATGCATTTATCCATAAAAAGACACAAATTCCATAATTAAAAAGAAAATGCCTAAAGAAACCACATAACCATTAGCAGGCATAAAGCAAATTTACCATTAATTTTTTTTTTTAAGGTTTTAATATTTCAACTTTGAATGTAAATAAATTATTTATATTTACACCCAAAATAATGTTATTTTGAGTTAAAAAATTAAAATTTTATAATAAAAAAGATTATTATAATCCTAAAATAAATTATAATTATAAAAATATCTTATTTTTGTCCCAAAATAACATTAGTTTAGGCTCAATATAAATATATATTTTTTTGGTAAGCAATAGGGGAAAAAACCCCAAAAAACAAACTCAAGTCAGAACAACCCTACGCAAATTACAAACTAAAGAAAAATCTGCCAGATACAATGGCAAAATACCAGGAGGAGGGGAACTAAAATTACACATATTATTATCTACGTCATGATCAAGTGGATATTTAGATAACCAATCAGCACAGCTATTACTTTCCCTGTAGATATGAACAAGTTGAACATCTCAATCTTTTTGTAACCATGCTCGAATGCGAGCCAGTAGCCACCAGACGGGAGACTCTCGAGCTGCTCTCCCCTCTTTGGTGAGCAAAGTGATAACAGAGCTAGGATCAATTTCTAAGATGTAACGTCTCCAACCCCCATTCCAGGCAGCTTGAAGACCTTTTAGAACACCCCATAATTCAGCTGAACAATGCCCAATGTGATATGCCAATCCATGAAGCCAAACACCAGAAGCATCTCTTAAAATAGCCCCACAAGCAGCCCCATCACCATTACTTCTAGCTGTCCCATCAATATTTATTTTTATCCAACCAAAATCTGGAGGGTCCCATCTAACAGAAATGAATCCAAGAGAATTTTTGGCTCTCATACTATGATGATTCCCCCAAGCTACAGAAAATTCCTTTACTTTTGATTCAATAAAATTAATATTGTAGGCAAAGTAATTCAATTCATTTCCATGAACAATTTCATTTCTCCACCACCAAGCATTCCAAATAGTAACAATAAAAATCAAAGACCAAGAAACATTAAATCGAACCTGAGTTTTATTCTGCAAGTTTCCCAAAAGCCAAACATCTAGATCAGCATCGAAGAATTCATCATTCTCAGGGTGCCCAATCAACTCCTGCCAGAGTCTTTTAGTATTACAGCACAACAGTCTCTAGTCATATGCAAAATAGTTTCATCATCTAAACTACACAAAGGTCAAGTAGCAACAACCATATTTCTCTTAGCGAACAAGCTCCTAGTTAAAAGCCTATGATGAGTCATTTTCCACACAAACAAGCTAATCCGATTAGGAATCTTCAACTTCCAAATTAAAGACCAAATATTGTGACCATGAATACCTTCGTCCGTGTGATTCATTAAAGGAAAAAACTATTCTTATGTCACATGACATAAGTTTTCTCTCCTACACACCCTTCGATAACTGTGTCACTTTTTTCTTTTCTTTTCTTTTCAGTTGGTGGAGCTCACTAATTTGTTTCTATGACATGAGATAATTATCTCCTTTAACATGAGATTAATAAAACCTTTCATTAAAGCATTATAAATATTTTTGACTGTGACCCCACTAGCACCCCGCAGCTTCCAAACAATTCTATCAACACCATTTGATTCATGAGGAGGAATATGACTCCTAATGACTTGGATAATTTCTGAAGGGAGAAAACAAATAATTTATTTACATTAACTGCAGAAAAAAATAAATTTTTTTAATACTATAAACATGTACTTTATTTTCGATCTAAATTGCATACTGGATCATTCTTGTATACTTTCGAGCAAAATAAAATTTAAAAAAATTTCGTTTAACTATCCACTCAACGTACGAGTTTAGCTTAATGAATAAATATTAAAAAAATTATATATATCTAATAGAAGATTAATTCTAAATTACATAACTTATACAACGCTAATCTGCACTCTATCATTCTTATACAAATAATTCTTAATCAAAAAAGTTTAAAATAATTTTATTTAAGTTTCCACACAGTACAAGAGTTTAGTTTAATGAAAAACTATATTAGTAGATGTGTCATGTACAATGAAATTAATATATCATAAATAATAAAAATGAATTGTTTTAAAACTTTTTCAAAGAAAATATGATAAAATTTATGATTTATTTGACATTATTTTTTTGAGTCAAAATATAGAGGAGGGATATTCTTACTACCAAAATCTTCTACTACCAACTCACTACCTATCTAATTACTATTGGATCAATATTTTCTCTTTTTTCAAACTTTTTTTAGCATTCTCTCTCTTTGATTCAATGGTGATTAGATAGGTAATAAGTTAGTAGTAAAAAATTTTGGTAGTAAAAATATCCTTCCTCCAAAATATATACATGTTCTTTAATAATTAATTTATATCATTTACAAATTTAAATAAAATAAAATATTAAAACAAAAAAAATATACAGTGGATTATACTCGTTTGATGTCTAAGTAAAAAACGAATTCGGAAGTCCATGAACAAAGTCCAGTGCATCAAAGGGAAATTATTACGCAGATTGGCTTGTTAACTTTCATCTCACTCGTCGTGAGGATGTGGATTATAAGGTGTTTTCTGCTCTTCCTAGCCTTAGTGTCCTTTTCCTAGCTGTTCTCTCGGCTGTGAGAAGATCTCGTACTATTGGGATTTCTTATATTTTAGCAAATAATAGTATTTTAGTTGGCGCGAGGAAGTTGAGAGATGTGTTTGATCTTCTCCATTATTATTTTTGTGAGAGATTTAAAGTCTTAATTCTGGATCCGTCTCAAACTCTGAATTAGTTTATAGAAACCTATAGGGAGTAGGGGTGTTTGCGATCTGTATTGGATCAGTTTTGGAAACAAAAATTATCCGATAGAATTCCTTCGATTTGATCATGTAATCATCCATTCGGTTTGAATTTTTTTCAAATCCGATCTGATCCAATCCAATTTTTTACAGTTTGGATTAGATCGGTTTTCGGTTTTTTGAAAATCCTAAAATTTGTTTCATGATTATTATACAAATAATATCTTTTGTATATATTGACTTTGTAAAAGAAAAAATTGAAATACAAAAGCATCGGTAAACGATAATATAGTTTTTTTTTGTTGACAATGAGATATGAAGTTCTACACAGATGAAATTTTGTTGATGAGATGTGACTAAGTTTTTTCTTGGATTTAATTGTTGGGTTAATGGATCTTGGGTTTAAAAATTTTTGAATTATGATTGGGGAAATACCCAAGTAAGTAGAGGAAAATTAATATATTTGATCGGTTTGGATTGGATCGGTTTTCATCAACCAATCCTAAAACCGATCCAATCCAATTAAAATTTGCAGTTTTTTTTCGGTTTTCGATTTTTCGGTTTTCGGTTATCGATTTTTCGTTTCGATCACCGCTATTTGAATCGGTTTGGATCGGTTGATAAACACCACTAATAGGAAGTGGATCCTCTCATGTTCAAAAAGACATGATATGGTCATGTGAGCAATCATAACCATACAAAAATAGATCAATAGTAATAAAAGACGAGAGAGAGAAAATATTAAAATAGGTAGTTATTAAATCATAACCATTGATTTACCTTTTTGTGATTATGATTGTTCTATATAACCATGTCATATATTTTCTTTAACATGAGATGATCCATTTCCAAACCTATGAGATTATCGGGGGTAATCTCAAAAAAAAAAAAAAGATTTCTTATGTTTTGTGCTTTTGGACCATTGCCTAAGTAAAAAATGAATGCTAATGATTAATAAATGGGAAAAAGAAGTATCATTTTAAAGAACATAAACTTGTGTTTTTTTAGTGATTTACACAAAGTGTGACTTGCTTGTTTTCTCACTCTCCTCAGTCATATCGCTGATGTCCACAGTGAAAAAAAAAAATTTTCAAATTTACACAAAGTACGTAAGTCACTAAGTTGTGTCCTTTTAAATGACACACACTAAACCCTTATTAAATTTTTTGAATTAGAATTGATATAATTACAGGATTCATTTATGCATTTTAATGTCTATTTTATATTTTGTCATTATGCTCAAATGGTACAAAATAAACCATTTGATTCAAATGACCGTTTGTTTTCTCGTCTCTCTTTATTTTAGTTTTTTTTTGCCATTATTAAATAATTAAAAGAAACTTTTAAACATCATTTAAAATGAAAATACGTTACTTTGTTTTATGAAATAGTAATTGTATATTTATTTTGACACAAATTAGATGCAATTGCATCTAAAAATATTATTCAATAATTAAACATAAAGAAGTTAAAACTAAATCCAAGTATAAAATTGCAAATATTAAAAGCAAATATATACAAAAGTAATACTAATAAAAACAAAAGAATTCAACTTCGAGCATAAATAACAAAAGATTCGATTACCAAAAAAAAAAAAAAAAAAAGATTCAAGAAAAACCACACATGAAAATCATTAGTTTGGTTTTAAGATTTTTCAAAGGGTTTAAAGTTTTTAAATTACTTTAGATAATTTTATTTAATGTTTACCAAAATATATACAAAAAAATATATGAGGTCTATGTGGACCCATGTAAGAAGAAGAAAGAGAAGAAGAAAAAATATGAACCTAACACACTTTTTTGTTTGTATTTTAATGAACATCAAATAAAATTATCTAAAGTAACTTTAGAAACTTTAAATCTTTCTTCAAATGATGTTTTATGTGCGACAGAAATGATAATATAATAAAATCAAATAAGGATGATTATGGTTCGGAGATAACTTGAATAAAAAAAAAACAATTTGAGCCAACGAATATCATTATTAATAGTATACTAGTTGTCTTTGAAAAATTATATAAAGTTTTGAAAATTAAAAAAATTATACATCTTAAGTTAATAAATCTGATTACAAAAATTGTTACAAATATATGTTAAATATAAAATATAACTTATCAATATTTAAAAAATTAGCCCAATTCATTACGGTTGACACACATCACCAATTAAGGCCCAAATGTAATTTTGTTTTAATTAGCTCAAACCCAGCATTTTAACGGGAGATAGCCTGCGGAGTGAACCTATTTTGATTCAATTTACCAGAATGAGGTGCCTGTCACATATGCATCAAACAGATAATAATTATGTGTAATATTTATTTAAACAAAGGAGTTTACATTCGTCATTTAACATGAACACAAAAAAGTTCTTACATACACAACATTTTGTGGAACCCGCATGTTTTGAAAAAAAAATAAAAAAATTATGACACGTAAAACAAATCTTTATAACATAACACAATCACTTTTTCTACAACATAACTTTTATAAAACCCTTAGAAGACGTTTGATTGAGGAAATTTTTTTTGAATACTAAAAAAATATAATTACTAGAGAAATGATTGGAAAGTGATTTAGTAAGACAATGTAAAAAAAGTTAATTGATTAGACAAAATATTACCGGATAAATTGATTAAAATTTTGTAAGTCTACGTTTGATTGAGTGTAAAATATTGATAAGAAAATGATATAAAATGACGAAAGTAACCTTTTTTTATTTTTGAATCTCAATAGCTTGCGTATGACCATGAGAAATCATTGTTTACGTAAATCTACAACTTCACAATTAGTTTTCTAATACAAAATGAAGGGTCATTTTGGTAACAATTTTCACGTTCAGTTTTCTACTTCCCTAGTTTTCCATAAATACCACATCTCAAAAAGTATTCTTAAACAGTGAATTTGAGCACAAAATCAACTGAAATATAATTTCCTATGCAAACTTCTTTCCTAGACTTTTTTTCATAAACTTGTACCAAACATAGCATTTTGAGATACCTACCCACATTTTCCCATCTATCCAAAAGAAAACCTCAACCAAACACACAAAAAAAATTACATTAGTGGAACAGAAGATATCAGCTAGCGGCACAAATTCTTTTCTTTCTCGCACTACCCTAAGAAATAAGAATGACCTTTGATTGCCAGGCGCTACTGTATTTTTCAAAATTAGATTCACGTCAATATACCCCACACCCCAACTTAATCAACTAGTACATCAAAACTAGTTCCCATTTCTGACAAAATCTACAGTAGTGAAACCAAAAGAACAAGAAACAGCCTTAAAGTAAAATCCATCTATTGTGATGCTGCAAGTAAACAAAACCAAACATCTACATACTACACAAAAAGATAAGTACTTGCTCGAAAACATAAGTATTCATTTCGAAATAGCTATGAAAAAACTCTCTACTCAGTAGGATTGTTGTAAACTAAAAAACAATAATGATAATAAATTTTAACCTTTTCAAGGGAATGGCTGGAAAAACCGTAAAACTAGGCGCGTGGAACAGCTATCTGTTATTTTATTTTTAATTTTTTGAAAATGAATGGTTAGCAGTGTCCGCAGAGAATCAGTTTAGTTGCCAAAATCAGCATCAGTTTCAGCCATCTCTGGCCCCTCATCTATCCAAAGCAATAGGTTGAAGGGTTGGGATGGCTACATGAGGAGGGTGTTGAAGTTGTGCTGATCCAACTAATATCTTGTCCTTTGGTCGTACATTCGCCGTTCCAAGTACTTTCCTCACTTCATTGGCAAGCTCTATCACCAAGTCATCCTCATGGCCTGCAAATCAAACATCTCAAGTCTTCAGAATGCATACAAGAACAAGTGCTTGCAAATTTCAAATGGGAAGCTAGATCATATGTACTAGCTGCATGAAGCAAATAATGCTGACTGTATAATACAGATAGACAACTTACCAATATCATACATGGCCTTTTCTAGAAAGAAAAGGTAGTCCCTGTTATTTCCGCAAGGACCATAAGCAGTTGCTATTTGCCTGAATGGATAAGCAAAGATTAGCGGAACCGAAAGACAAGTGACCGCTTCCACGTAATAAAAGGGGGAGGAAAATGTGTACAATATTATACCTAGCCATGTCATGCAGCGGAGCAGGTCCCAGGTAGTATTTGTTGTTTTCTTTGTCTGGTGTAGATGTGAATCTGTATAAATTGACATAAGTTCCGTTAATAAACTTCTGAAGTCTGAACAAACCAATTGTGTAACTATATACGGGGATCAATAAGCTCAAGAAAATCGAATGCAATGATAACTTACACTATTACTCCAGTTAAAGCAGGGTGCATTGAATCCCCTTCCTAAGAAAAAGATAGCAAATTAGCAGGAAGAGTTATTAAACATTATAATGACAATGACTTACAACAATAAAAAAAAAACTTTATGATTGGGTGTAACTCACCTTGTAGAAGTTTACAAGAGTCTTTTGATCATATTCACATTCCCGCCGCTCCAAATACTGCACAACAGAAGAGTAAAAAATTAGCTAGAAAGTACATAAATCAGTTAGGAAGGTTTAAAAAGTGTTCGGCTAATCAATAGCTTATTGAAAACCTAGAAGCCAATACTCAGAAACTTAATAAAAATGATTTTTGAGATCCTTTATGGATAGAGAAAGTCAAAATTTTGGTGGGTAAAATAATGCCTCAAATAGCAAAAGAATCCTCATATGCCCGGGAAGATAACATTATTGCAACAGGTTTATAGAAATAGTTTGGAAGTGAAAATAATTTTACCTGCATAGCCAGTTTTTCCTTTTCAGGGCCTCCTCGAACACAATAAGCAGCACCCCACTGGAAATATATTGAAGAAATTATAACAGAGAAAAATCTAACTAAAAATAAATAAATGAAGTACTGCAAAATGGTAAGGACCAAATTTTATCATATAATTATACATTTTTGTATGCTAAACCTATAGGTACCACAGTTAATAGAAACAAAATATGCGCTTACGCAAATTTCCCCTTCTTTCTGCTCCAATGTGCAAGTTCTTGCAGGGTTTTCAGGAGTTCCTCGGTGATCAATGCATGCTGAAAAAATGAAATAGTATGTCTAAGCAACTTTGAAAAAGCTATGCAAATTGAAGATGGCATGAACAAAATTTACTAGCATTTGAGGAAGGACTTTACCTAAATCAAAAACGCGTCTGTAGTCCTTTATGAAGCCAATAATTTTCTCATCGTAATCGAATCCTGGGTTCCACACCAGTGAACCATAGCCAAAAACCCAGAAAACCATCGCTGTTTAACTACGGAGAGAAGATCCAGTATCAGTTAAAAGTTTTTCATAAATTAAATGTATGAGATGATCATAAAGTGTTTCATTGTGGAATAAAAATCATTAAAAAAATAAATTTCAGTTAAGAAAAATTCCAACGGACAATCAACATTCACCGGCATTGTGTTATTCGTTAACTGCTGAATTAGGGAGTGAAATAGCAAATAAAACACGAAAATGGGCTAACAAAAATAGAAAGGGATTCTTACATCTGGATCCGGAAACTTTCCCAAGGAAATGAGGAAGAAATTACGGCGGCGATTAAGCACAAGAGAGAAACAATGAGAGGAAATGCTAAACGATTAGGGTTTAGCTTGCAAATTAGGGTTGCGATTGTTCCTCTCTCTTTCTCAAACTCTTTTTTCCTCCTCTTTCTCTCGGGTGAAGGCGTGAAGCATTCCCTACATCAAGCCTTCATATTTATGGTGTGAGCCGTACGCGAATTCAGCGGTCTTGCCCCACAACATGTGCGTCACGTGCCTCTCATTGATCCCCTTGCTGTGCTGTCCATTTTGATTAATTAACTAATTAATTCATGTCAAATATTATAAAGTTGTGAATTTATCTACCTAAATAAAGCTGCTAGATTTTATGAGTCATTAATATAAAGGTTGTGAATTTATCTACCTAAATAAAGCTGCTAGATTTTATGAGTCATTAATAAAAAGTAGGGTTTTTAAATTTATTTACTTAATAAAATTTTTTTATCAAGAATTAATAATATTTTTAGATAGTAACAAATAACAATGTACTTTTTAAAGAAGAGGATTGTGCGGAGTGGAGGATAGAGTGATACATTGAACCTGGACAAAATGGAATCGGTATCGTTTATGTGCTAACAACCACTTGACTCAAGCGTGTGATTGAAGTCATAGAAAGAAAGCTACCGAATCGAATTGGGTTCAATGAACCTGGACATATGCTGTTCCTGCCAGGACCAGCGAATTTTATGCCTGGCCAGTTAGGTTTGGAATTTTGAAATTATCAAATTTGTTGAATTGAATGGCTTGCTTTTAATACTCCATTCAAATTAGTCACTTTTATTTATTATTATTTTGGAAAATGTATGTATCATGTAACATGATTTAAAGTTGTTTTTCTACCCAAACAAAAACTTATGGGCCACAATTTTTTCTTTTCTCTTTCTTAAACTCGTTTTCTCTTTCTTCCTTTATGTTTGTGCTGGAACAAACATTGATTTTCATGTAACATTATACTAATATAACTCTATTATTTTCTATATCCGGCACGGCACGGCACAGTAACATATCATTTTGTACTATTTATTGGATTCTACATTGCTGCTCAACTATAATTAGCATGCACATATGGAATTGGCTTGTTTAAACTTGTTAGTTTATGCAACATTTCCTGTTAATAAGATCATTTCATGGTAATGCATCTAGGCACAGAAGCCTGACTAGTGATGTAAACTAAAAGCTGATAAATGATAAGCCGAATTATTGTTTCACATTTATTTATCATATTGAATCAATCAATTTCAAAAACAATGAACCTATATTATTTGGTTAAGACTATACAGCCACCATACTCAGAATCCACAGCACCAGAGAGAACTCAAAAGCAAACAGAGTATGAAGCAATCCTCGATCAAGTAGAAACCCAAATAGTGTTATCCCCCCATAGTTGTGCTGCAAATACGTCACTGCAACAACCCAAGACAGAACTTCACTTCACGTCAACATGATAGATAAATCAAAATAATTTCAACCCTTTTGGTTAATGTGGAGATAATACTCACCTAAAGCTTGCCTGGTTTGGAAAGAAGAGGGTAGTTGTGGGGTTACTGATATGTATATGTCAGAGGAATCAGAATCACTGCCACTGGCTTTCCACTGTTCTGATTCGTCGCCAGATGCATTAGTCACCAGCATGTGCCATCTTGCGGCAATTGATACTATCCCTTGAGCCCTGTGTGTGATTCTCGCAGCACCAATGAGGCACAAGAAGAAGCCACTTAACTGCACAGCTGAACAAATCTGCAAAACAAAAATTTAGTCTTAAATGGGAGGCATTGTTATTTACCAGTTAAGAATATAAAGAACAAAATTAGTGTGTGTTTACCACAAGGTCACCAGAATTGAAGAAGGTCTTGTCAGATTTCGATTCCAAAACCAGCAATAGAGAACTTAACTGACTCACGGTGATTGTCAACAAGCAGCTAATTATGAAGAACCTGTATCTATGGCTTGTGACCCATAATTGTCTTCTAATCCTTACATGCTCTCTGAATATCACACTTGAATCAGACCCACACTCTTCAAAAAGCTTATGAAGCCCTTCAAACCTCAGTATCTGAAGCTCGCAGGTGAGCTTAAAAAGCACACACACAAACAAGAACACTCCCGTTCTGTAAACCCAAGAAATCAATACCAAAGCAAACACAACCGAATTCAGAGGGAAATCGGGGGTGATATGTGGGACTGAAATCTTCACTCTCAAAAAGAGGAGGATTTTGTGCGCAAGTTCAACAAAGAAGGAAGGTAAGATTATACATGCTAAGTATCTGAATGCCTTCTGAAGCTCGCGTGAGTATCCACGTCGAACATACATAGAGTCATCCTGTAACACATCTAAGAACAGAAGCTGTCTAAGTCCATATCTGCAAAGTCATATGTACATTGAAGGTTTCGTTACAATGATTCATCAAAAGTATTGATATGATTTAAGAATGTTTCAAATGATTGAACTCTATTTGTCATAAAAAATTTAATGTCATTTCAGCAACTATTATACCAAAAGTTTAAACTATAGATAAAAATATGGGGAAATGATTTGTCTTTTTAAAAGTACGTAGATTATGTCATTTTAACAATTTATAATTGTATCAAGAGAGGATAGTACATAGTTATAATATTAAAGTTATATTTTTTACTTTCTCTTCACTTCAGACACTGTTTGTTGACATGAAAAATAGAAGAAAAAAAACATTAATAATATAATTATGTACTATCCCTAATATATAGTTATAAATTGCTAAAATAACATATACAAAAGACAAATTTTTAATCCTAAAAATATATGTATAATTCTATATTTTCATAACATCTCTAAGATATACCATGCAGTTGAATGGGACAGAAAATGCTTGTTACTCCTCAATCACAAGTCACATCATCATAGGTGGCAGAATCAACGAAGTAGTGCAAAAAAAAATATGATAGGACTAACTGGTATAAAATGATAAAAACTATATGGATATGCATGTGTGTAAGTTTAGTAATGTTACGCGAATGAAAAAGTGGTATAAATGCTGTTTATGAAGAAATCTCTAGTGTCTACACATTTTTTACACTCTCTTTGGTACCTTCGAAAGAAACGGGAGAGAGTGAAGAAGCCGATAATGGAGAGGGCTGATTCTGGTAGTTGGACAAGCTTGTTGAAGGAAAAGGGGTTGTTGTCTTGAGAAGCTGAGGCAGGGACGCGAACGAAGAGGGAAGTGAGGAGAGGGATAGCTACGGTGAGGAATATGAACAAAACGTAGGAAATGAATTTTCCAACGGAGGAAGAGTGGTCAAGAGCACACCATTTAAGGCTCATGCGAAGGTTTTGCAGTTCGTCTGAGGTGATAGATTTTGATCTCGCATAAGATGGTTGCAGGAGCAGGGGAACATTGGGTTGGTGTTTTTCTTCATTTGGGTAGGAATCAATGTCAATGCTGGTGGTGGCTATGGCTTGTTCTGAAGAGGGCTTCATTGTTGGGTTTGTTTTGGGAGTATTTTCAATCACAGATTCAATAGAAGAGACAGAGAGAAACAGAGTGATGAAATGAGAGTAATGGATTTGTCACTAATATATACTAATTTATATATTAGTAATGGGTTAATGTTATTTGCATGCCTATTTCAATGTACTACTTTTATACTTTTTTTAGTGAAAGTTGAAGTTAAAAAAATACGCATTAGATGGTTATTTTTTATTTTGTAGTGTACAAAAATAATATCAACATTTTGGAAAAGGATCCTGTTAAATTTTCACATGATCTGATTATGTAAAAAAAATTTATATTTATATATTTTTTTCATTAATAATAATTGGATTACGAGACAATTCACTCCCAAACATTTTTAATGTCTAAATATCATTATAATCAAAGTAGGAAAACAGTGAAGAGAAGGAATATAAAAAAGGTATAAACCTAGGATACCAAAAAAAAAGGTATAAACCTTGCTTTGTCTTGGGAGAGGTTCCCACGTTTCAGCCAAGCGAAGAATAAATGGCATACGAGAAGTCGAGAACCAGTGATATTTATTTGTAGGGAAATATAAAAATCGTTTGTGGGAAGGAAAATTTGGTCACGTCACATATTATAAAGTATGATGCACGAACACATATACGAGATATGGGACATGACACGTTAATTTTAAAAGATGTAATATTTCGACACGTTGGGACATGTTTTGATATTAAATAAATTTTTTAATATATATAATATAATTTATATTAATACATATAAGAGTTCATAATAAGTCATATAACCAATCAAATATTTAAATTTCATAACACAAATATAAATATAAATAATTTTTCGTACTTTGTTAGTTTTTCATATCAAATTTCATAACAGAAAAAAATTAATTTATAAATTATTTCTTTTATATTTAGTTAACAAAATAAAATTAAGATTTTTTTAAAAAAAAACGTGCCCGAACGTGTCCGAGTATTGATCGCGTGTCCCTAAATGTTAACCACTTGTCAGACGGGTGTCAGAGCGTGTCGGACACATGTCCGACACGCAAAATTTTCAAACTTTGGCGTGTCCGTGCTTGAGAGATTATAACTATATATTATGGATAATATATAATTATAATGTTAAAGTTATTTTTTCTCTCTCTGTCGTATCAGTCAACATCCTTATGAGGAGAGAGATTTTTTTTTAATATTATAAATATATATTATCTATAACACATAATTTTTTTTTTTTAGAACCAAATTTCTTTACTGGATGCAAATACTAATTTGTTCAAAATTAATTGTATTGAAGCTATAACATCATCACTAGCCGGAATCGAAATATCTGCGAGATCGGGTCGCAATTTGTATCGATTAATCTCCAGAAAATATTTTTAATTCAACCCCTCCTTTTTTTTCTCCACTCGGACATCTGATTTGATTCATTCTCAATAGACACGAGATGATCATCTTAGGGTGATTCTTTTGTTGACTGATGCTCCTATTATACTCGTATTTTGGCTATTCTTGCCCCATGCTTTTTAACACTACATGAAAGAATATTTCACAGATATGAACAAGTTGGATCTTCATTTTTCAAATTCCACCTATAACAATGATTTATTTGTAATTTGGCTTTTAAGATATGTCAATAATGCTTCCCCACAATCTCCTTCTTTTTGTTTTTCATTTTGGTTATTTTTTTTTATGTCTCTTCATGATTAATAAAACAAAAAATGAGGTAATATTTTTATACTATTAATAAAATTATATCGACTAAAAATAAAAATAAAAGAACAAAACAAAACAAACGAACCCTTTAAGTATAAGAGAATACTAGAACATTTTTATTTATATAAAAAAATGCACTATTCTTGTTAAACAATATCTATTTAAATTTTATTATATTTAATTATTCTTTCGGATAAGATAATTTTACAAATTATTTTAAAATACAATTTATTAAATTTACATAAACAAAATATGCGTAATACTTCTCTCATTTAATATGAGAGAAAATTTTTTCCTACACTAATAAAAAATGTGGAACCCACAAGTTAAAGAAAAAAAATTATAGACACATCTTTTTATGTCTTTGTGATATGAGATAATTATCTCCTACAGTTAGAGAAAATAATTTCCCATAAAATATCAATTTCAGTGATAGTTATCTCCTAGTTGGAGAAAACAATTTTCCATAAAATATCAATTTCAGTTTTGTTATATGTTATTACTTTTATTTAATAATTGTTTCTTATGAAGTTGTCATGTTTAAATATAAATTACCCAAAAATATTTTTTTTATCAAATTTAAAGTGTAGTGAATATACAAACCCACTTGTTAAAATTTAACTTAATTCACTAAAAAATCAACGGTAAAGATTGAATTGTAGATCACTTTCAAAATGATTCAGTCACCATACAAATAATATATAAGGAGAATTTCATCTACTTACATTATACAATCACTCATATATTTATCCCTATAATCACACGCAATCATTTCGAATTTCCGATAATTAAACTTGATCTCCCTTAATTATGTTTAACTTCACAGCTAAACCAATCAAATCAACAATGGAAAGAAAATATACAATCACCTATAATCAATTTCATAATTAAATTTGATTTCCTTATTATTAAGTTTGACCTTAAATAAAAGGCAATTAGATTTTTTTTATAAAAAAAAAAAATCACCTAAAATCTCCACTAATTCATCTGCCGTTCCTCAATCCTAGTCAATTTTACATAAGAAATTTTTAAAGCTTTGTTTAGTATGATTTTAAAGGTAAAAAGGAAAGAAGAAGATTCAGATATGAAATCCATTATTGATCTTTCTTTTCCTTTTTTTTTTTTAATTTTTACGTAAAAGATTTGAGGAGAAGCAATTTTTCTAACTCTACGTAGTACGTATAGTTACATGTATTTTGATTCATTTATAACTATTTTATTATTTTTTATGAAATCCAGAAAGAGAAAAAAAAATGTGTATTTTTTACATGCATTATTTTTATTATACCTCTAATATATTTATATTATATCTAACATATGTCGTCTTCAAATAATAAATGAATAATATGCAAAGCCACTTATTTTACATTGAAATTTAATTGTTCATAGTAAAAAGGAGCGGTAAAATCCGCAAAATAATTTTTTTACAATTATGCAAGAGTAAGAACGTAGGTAAGGATTGTCTTTATCATACTCTTATTAGTCGGTGTTTAGCAAGGAGTTGTTTAACATTTTTTAATGTTTAAAAAAAAGGAGCAGTGAGGATTGAACACTAAACTACCAATAGGGGTTTTGATATCAATTTTAAAATAATGATGGATTTTTCCCCCCTTAAAGTCTAGGTCACTTGATGATTGAGGAGGATTTTGTCCTATTACACTATACAATGACCCACATTTACAGTCAGGCTCAATCATTCCCATAATTAAGTTTGACATCACAATTAATTATGGCAATCAAAACAAGAGAAGAAAGAAATTATATAATCACACATAATCATTTGCATAATTAATTTGATCTCCAATAATTAAGTTTGATTTCGCAGATAAGGCAATAAAACTAGAAAGAAAAAATAACCTAAATGTCAACAAATTCTTCCGCTGCTCCTCCATCTTAGTCCATTTTATATACTACATCAGTCTTTGCTAATACTTTCCCAATGCTAAGGAAATAATTTGATCCCAATGCTATGGAAATAATTTGAGAGGATATAGACAAAATGATTTGTAATGTGACTGCAAAAAAGTATTGATGCATTCACCTAGAACTACATTGTTTTGGGTGGGATAAAGAAAGTTCGTGTTCAAAATTAATTGTAGAAAATAGAAATATTATATTTATTTTCCCTTTTTTATGGTTATGATTCTCCATATTTAATGCTTTATATTTATTTCCACCATTGTATGATTATAATTCTCCATATTTAATGTTTTCACACTATAAAATCACATAGTTTTATATGACTGCACGAATCCTTAGGTGCAGTTATTGTACATCCACTAAACATTATATATATATATATATATATATATATATATATATATATATATATATGGGTCAGGATCATGGTAGTTAAAATCAGGATTCTACCTAAAATCAGAAGGAGGATAAAAAATCATCAAACGTAAAATCCTAATGTATAAAAAATAGTAAAAATATAAAAGCGTTTGAAATTTTGATGAAATCGTTTTGAATAAAAAAAATCGTAAAATCGCATATTTAAATCGAGATTTTAACTATCATGGTCAGGATCATCTTACACCGGTGTAAGAATAATAAGTATTACACCAAATCTTAAATATTAATTTTTTGCATTTAACGGTTAAGATTTATTAGGTCTCACTCATTAATTAATATATATATATATATGGGTCAGGATCATGGTAGTTAAAATCGGGATTCTATCTAAAATCGGAAGGAGGATAAAAAATCGTAAAACGTAAAATCCTAACGTAAAAAAAATCGTAAAAATGTAAAAGCGTTTGAAATTTTGATGAAATCGTTTTGATTAAAAAAAATCGTAAAATCGCAGATTTAAATCGAAATTTTAACTATCATGGTCAGGATCATCTTACACCGGTGTAAGAATAATAAGTATTACACCAAATCTTAAATATTAATTTTTTGCATCTAACGGTTAATATTTATTAGGTCTCACTTATTAATTAATTGTTAATTCCCAATAAATCTCAACCGGTAGATGCATGGAAATCAATGATTAAGATTTGGTGTAAGATTTATTATTCTTACACTGGTGTGTAAGTTGATCCTATCCCATATATATATATATATATATATATATATATATATTAAAAATGGAACAAATGAGTGCGTATTTTAAAATTTGGAAAAATTTGTGATAATATAGTTTAGGCAAGTATGTTAACTTATTTTTAGTAAGGAAAATCTTCTGCATGAATATTGAATAGTATCAAGCTGCAGAGTGGTGAGTGCTAGCTAATATCTAATCAATGTTGGTAATCAAATCACAGACTCATTTGTTGTTAACTTATTGTAAGGACGACCAATCATTGAAATTGATGACTTAAATACTCTGAAATCCGTCTGTCGAAAATGAGGTCCAAAACACTCATATATATGGCCCGCCCAACCAGCTTATGCTTTGCAGGAATGACCTTGTCAATGTTACCCTATAAATCATTCAATCTTACTTTCTTATGCATACTCTCTATCGTTTCTCAATATTCCTGATCTTCTTTTTTCTCTCGTTCTCTCTATTTTCTACGTACCTCATTAGCCTAAACACATCATCTCAGTTTTCATCTATCCAATTATGTCTCACAAAAGAGAACACTGTTGTCTTTTCATGTTGTTCATGTTGGCCACTTGTTTTTTGCCATCATTGGGTGACACAAACGCTCAAATTCTGCTCAACTTCAAAAGCTCCTTGTCCGATGCTGATGCTTTAAAGAACTGGAATGAGTCTATAAGTCTGTGTGGCTGGAATGGTATATTATGCTTCAATCAGACATTTCATGGATTGAGACTAGAGAATATGGGACTAAGTGGCTTGATTAATGTAGACACCCTGCTGGAATTGTCCAATTTCAACAGTTTTAGTGTCATTAACAATAGCTTTGAGGGTCCAATGCCTGCATTCAAGAAGCTTGTGAGTTTAAGGGCATTGTTTCTGAGCAATAACAAATTCTCTGGTGATATTTCTGATGATGCTTTTGATGGGATGGGACGCCTGGAGAGAGTATTATTGGCAGAAAATGGATTCACGGGTCATATTCCTACATCCCTTGCTAATTTGCCTAGGCTTTTGGATGTGGACTTGCATGGAAATAGATTTGAAGGCAACATACCAGAATTTCAACAGAGAGATTTCAGAGTGTTTAATTTATCGAACAATCAATTGGAGGGTTCAATACCCGAAAGCTTAAGCAACGAGGGTCCAATCTCATTTGCTGGTAAGTTGACAATCATCTCAATTTTTTGTCCAATTTGATAAGCTTACTCTTTATTTGTTTTTACCCATCATCATATGAAATTTGAAAAAATATATCAAAACCAAACCTTTTCTCCTCTCAAGTTGATTGTATTCTGAACATTCTTTTGGCAATGTTGTTTGTTAGACCCTCATTTTATTATTGATTTTCGAGTTATTTGGTGAATCCAATGACATATTTTGATATCATTGTAAATGTTGGAGTCTAAACCAAAGTTTAAATATGACAGTGACAAATTAACAAGTCCAACTCTTTATATGATATACCATTACACGATTTAAGAAACTTTACACCATCAAATATAAACGGTCAAATAATCCCTCTCCTTCAGCATTTGACAGCAAAAACCAAACAATCAATGACAATCAATTTATGCTCAGAAATTCGCCATGGTTTTTTTGTATACTATTTTTTTTTTTCTTCTTCCTAAGGTCATCATATACACCTGTTTTATCTAATTATTCAAGTGCAACAGGTAACCAAGGTCTATGTGGAAAACCTCTAAACCAGGCCTGCAGTAGCATCCCCCCTTCCTCCACCTCTGATCAACAACATCCTCCACAGGAAGAAAAAGAACATAAGAAACACCGTGTTCGTATTGCTGCCATTGTAGTTGCGGTTGTTGTTGTTTTGGCTTTAATACTAGCAGTTCCATTTATCCGTTGGCGTCGAATTAGGCAAACAGCACAACCCCAGAACAATAGTGCAGTTTCTAGTGAAGTCAGATCCTCTGAGGTGACAGCTGAATCCAAGAAGAATGTAGATGGAGAGTTTATGTTTGTTAGGAACGAGAGAGAGGTGTTTGATTTGCAAGACTTGCTTAGGGCCTCAGTTGAGGTTCTTGGTACTGGCAGTTTTGGTTCCACGTGCAAGGTCATGGTTTTGAATGAACCAGTTATGGTCGTGAAGAGGTTTCAACATATGAACAATCTTGGGGAAAAAGAATTCTTTGAGCACATGAAAAGGCTTGGAAGGTTGACACATCCCAATCTACTCCCTCCTGTTGCTTTCTTTTACAGCAAAGAAGAGAAGCTTATGGTTCATGACTTTGTTGAAAATGGCAGCTTGGCTAGTCATCTCCATGGTATGACATAACCACATTAATTTATTTATTTTACACTTTATAAGAACAAATATAAAAAGCTAGCAATTTAATTTAATGTAATGTAATGTATGGTTATAGTATGAACTTATATTGGATCCTCTCTTGTCTCATTTAATGTAGTCATGTGAGACGATTTTAGTCATGTATAAACAAATCAATGGTTATCCTTTCGCCATTTTTTATCCAAAATGTTACTCACTCCGTCTTGATTTGTCAATGCTTATAGTATGAACTTATATTAGATAACTCAAATGTCTCGTATGACCTAGTCTTGTTAGAAGAAACATGAGAGGGTTCATTCTCCTAAGATTTGCTTCAATATATTATAATGATACATATTAATCGGAATTGAAGTCTGTTTTGGCTCATGTTGACATTGATTTTCAGGTACAAGTGGTTCTGAGTTGGACTGGTCAACACGTTTAAAGATCATAAAAGGAGTGGCTAGAGGGTTAGCTTATCTGTACAGAGAGTTCCCTGACCAAGACCTACCACATGGCCATCTTAAATCATCCAATGTTTTGTTGGACCATTTATTTGAGCCTCGTTTGACAGAGTATGGACTTGTGGCAGTGATGGAGAAGAGCCACGCTCAGCAGTTCATGGCAGCTTATAAGTCCCCAGAGGTGAACCAGTTTGACAGGCCCAGTGAGAAGAGTGATGTTTGGTGTTTGGGGATCCTAATACTGGAGGTTTTGACGGGGAAAATCCCAGCAAATTATCTAAGACATGGGAAGGGAGCAAGTGAAGATTTGGCAACATGGGTGAACTCAGTTGTGAGGGAAGGGTCGAGTGGGGAAGTGTTTGATAAGGACATTTTGTGGAGAAGGAATAGTGAGGGTGAGATGATGAAGCTGTTGAGGATTGGAATGGGTTGCTGTGAATGGAGTTTGGAGAGTAGGTGGGATTGGAGGGAGGCTGTGGCTAGGATTGAAGAGTTGAAGGAGAGGGATATTGTTGAACATGATATTGAAGAAGGCTATGATTTGTTCTATGAAGTTGATTTGTCTCACAGTCATTAGTTAATGAACAAAGGCAACACTTCACACACACACACCCTGCATGTTTTTTTTGTGGTTTATGAATGGGATAACATTTTCTAGTGTCTTGGTCTGTTGGACATCTTGCGATGAATTGTTTTTATTTAATTCTAAATTATATTATTCTTATGTAGTAATGCTGATATGATTATTGATGAACCTCTTCGATCCTCAGTAATGTTATTCTTATTATACTTATCAAAAGTTTTAAAAAATAAAATGATACCAATAATTATTGGTTAAGTGTCAAGGAGTTTGTTCCTTTAGTTAAGTCACAAATTCGAATTTGAAAATGAAAGAGAATGCTGTTAGGATAATCTCCAAAATGAATCAACATGCTTAGTTTAAGGAGGTAGGATATTCGGATATTTTTATTATCAAATGTTTTTATTATCTATTTACTATCATTCTAATTATTGTTGAATCCCATTTTTTCACTTGATAATTTATGAAAAATTTCTAAAGAGGGAGAAAAAAGAAAGAGCACTTGTGAGAATAATAGTTATATTAGAGTGGTAGTAGGTAGGTAGCATATCATACCTCTACCAATTTTCAAAACAATGTTTTTATAAGGATGTGAAAATTTAAGTAGTTATTTTAATTAGAATTTTTGACAGAAAAAGTTCACTTTTTTAAAAAAAATAAAACTCTTTATTTTATTTAAGAATTATGTGGAATCTAACTGATGTTTAAAATTAAATTATGACAAATAACATTTTTTTTAGGGAAACTATCACCTTACCCTAGGGGGTGCTCATCAACCAATCCAAACCGATTTAAACTGCGGTGAGTGAATCGAAAAACCGATAACCGAATAAACTGAAAAATTGAAAATCGAAAAAAAAATCGAAAATTTTAATTGTATTGGATTGGTTGATGAAAGTCGATCCAATATATTAATTTCTCTCTACTTACTTGGGTTTTTCCCCAATCATAGCTAAAAAATTTCTAAACCTAAGACGCATTAACCCAGAACCTAAATCCAAGAAAAAATCTAGTCACGTCTCATCAACAAAATTTCATCTGTGTAGAGTTTCATATCTCATTGCCCAAAAAAAAAACTATATTATTGTTTACTAATGCTTTTATATTTCAATTTTTTTTTACAAAGCCAATATATACAAAAGATGTTATTTGCACAATAATTATTTAACAAATTTTAGGATTTTAAAAAAACCAAAAACCGATCCAATCCAAACCGAAAAAAATTGGATTGGATCGGATCAGATTTGGAAAAAAATTTAAATCGAATAGATGATTACATGATCAAACCGAAGGGATTGGATCAGATGATTTTTTCTTCCAAAACAAATCCAAGCCAGACCACGAACACCCATATCTTACACCAATGTTAAAATAATTATTTTTTAATATCAAATCTTAATTGTTGATTTTTGTAAATTTAATAATTATAATTTATTAAGTTATATTTATTAATTAATTTATTAATTTTCAATATATTATAATCATTAGATTGCAAAAATTTAACAATTTAGATATAGTGTGAAACTTTTTAATTTGAGAATTGTGTCAAACAATTTTGTCATATATATATATATATATATATATATATATATATATATATATATTATATCTAATAATAACCGTTCGCCCAAAAATATTTTTTTTATCAAATTTAAAGTGTAGTGAATATACAAACCCACTTGTTAAAATTTAACTTAATTCACTAAAAGAAATCAACCGTAAAGATGGAATTGTAGATCACTTTCAAAATGATTCAGTCACCATACAAATAATATATAAGGATAATTTCATCTAATTACATGATACAATCACTCATATATTTATCCCTATAATCACACTCCATCATTTCGAATTTCCGATAATTAAACTTGATCTCCCTTAATTATGTTTAACTTCACAGCTAAACCAATCAAATCAACAAAGGAAAGAAAATATACAATCACCTATAGTCATTTTCATAATTAAATTTGATTATCTTATTATTAAGGTTGACCTTAAATAAAAGGCAATTAGATTTTTTTTATAAAAAAAAAAAAAATCACCTAAAATCTCCACTAATTCATCTGCCGTTACTCAATCCTAGTCAATTTTACATAAGAAATTCTTAAAGCTTTGTTTAGTATGATTTTAAAGGTAAAAAGGAAAGGAGAAGATTCAGATATGAAATCCATTATTGATCTTTCTTTTTTTTTTTTTTTAATTTTTAAGTAAAAGATTTGAGGAAAAGCAATTTTTCTAACTCTACGTATAGTTACATGTATTTTGATTCAATTATAACTATTTTTATTATTTTTTATGAAATCCAGAAAGAGAAAAAAAAATGTGTATTTTTTACATGCATTATTTTTAGGGGAAAAAGTATCTGATGTTACTTTTGATAAATTTGTCTAATGTTCATCGAAACGACGTCGTTTTGGGGTTGAAAAATTAAAAAATTAGAATGACAAAGACAATTATAACCCTGAAATAAATTAAAATTACAAAAATACCATGATTTCCGCCCCAAAACGACGTCGTTTCAATGAACATTAGATAAAGTTATCTAAAGTAACTTTAGAAAAAACAAACCTTATTTTTATTATACCTCTAATATATTTATATTATATCTAACATATGTCGTCTTCAGATAATAAATGAATAACATGCAAAGCCACTTATTTTACATTGAAATTTAATTTTTCATAGTAAAAAGGAGCGGTAAAATCCAAAAAATAATTTTTTTACAATTATGCAAGAGTAAGATGGTAGGTAAGGATTGTCTTTATCGTACTCCTATTAGTCGGTGTTTAACAGGGAGTTGTTTAACATTTTTTAATATTTAAAAGAAAGGAGCAGTGAGGATTGAACACTAAACTACCAATAGGGGTTTTGATATCAATTTGAAAATAATGATGGATTTTTTCCCCTTAAAGTCTAGGTCACTTGATGATTGAGGAAGATTTTGTCCTATTACACTATACAATCACCCACATTTACGGTCAGGCTCAATCATTCCCATAATTAAGTTTGACATCACAATTAATTAAGGCAATCAAACCAAGAGAAGAAAGAAATTATATAATCACACTTAATCATTTGCATAATTAATTTGATCTCCAATAATTAGGTTTGATTTCGCAGATAAGGCAATAAAACTAGAAAGAAAAAATAACCTAAATGTCAACAAATTCTTCCGCTGCTCCTCGATCTTAGTTCATTTTATATACTTCATCAGTCTTTGCTAGGGGTGTAAATGGGCTAAGCCGGCCTATAGGGGCCTACGGCCTAGCCTATATTAGGCCAGACTTGGCCTATTATAATTAGTAAAATAGAATAGGCCTAGGCTTTCAAAAAAACTTATTTAGAAAACAGGCCATAGGCCTTTTTGTACATGCGGGCCTATAAGCTTACAGGACGGCCTATATCATATTATTTATTTAAAATATAATAAAGAAAATTATATAATAATTTTGAATAATAAAATAATATTATTTTAGTTATTCATTTAATTGTTGAATGTTTAATAGGCTTAAACATGCTAATAGGCCTAGACCAATGCTTTTATTTTTTGAATATAGGTCACGCCAGATTTGTAATTTGGAGCCTACACAGGCTAATAGGTCAGGCCATACCCAATGTTTTTTTGCACAGGCTTAGCCTATTTAAACCAAAGCCTAGCCTAGCCCAGCCCATTTACACCCCTTGTCTTTGCTAATACTTTCCCAATGCTAAGGAAATAATTTGATCCCAATGCTATGGAAATAATTTGAGAGGATATATATCTATCTGTCTCTCTGTCTGTGAGACAAAATGATTTGTAATGTAACTGCAAATAAGCATTGATGCATTCACCTAGAAACTACATTGTTTTGGGTGGGATAAAGGAAGTTCGTGTTCAAAATTAATTGTAGAAAATGGAAATATTATATTTATTTTCACCTTTGTATGGTTATGATTCTCCATATTTAATTCTTTATATTTATTTCCACCTTTGTATGATTATAATTTCTCATATTTAATGTTTTCACACTAAAAAATCACATAGTTTTATATGACTGCACGAATCCTTAGGTGCAGTTATTGTACATCCACCAAACTTTATATATATATATATATATATATATGGGTCTGGATCATGGTAGTTAAAATCGGGATTCTACTTAAAATCGGAAGGAGGATAAAAAATCGTAAAACGTAAAATCCTAACGTAAAAAAATCGTAAAAAATCGTAAAAATGTAAAAGCGTTTGAATTTTTGATTAAATCGTTTTGATTAAAAAAATCATAAAATCGCAGATTTAAATCGAGATTTTAACTATCATGGTCAGGATCATCTTACACCGGTGTAAGAATAATAAGTCTTACACCAAATCTTAAATATTGATTTTTTGCATCTAACGGTTAAGATTTATTAGGTCTCACTCATTAATTATTTTTAATTCCCAATAAATCTCAACCGGTAGATGCATGGAAATCAATGATTAAGATTTGATGTAAGATTTATTATTCTTACACCAGTGTAAGTTTATCCTATTCTATATATATATATATATATATATATATATATATATATATATATAAAATTAAAAATGGAACAAATGAGTGCGTATTTTGAAATTTGAAAAAATTTGTGATAATATAGTTTAGGCAAGTATGTTAACTCTTTTTTAGTAAGGAAAATTTTCTCCATGAATATTGAATAGTATCAAGCTGCAGAGTGGTGAGTGCTAGCTAATATCTAATCAATGTTGGTAATCAAATCACAGACTCATTTGTTATTGTAGGGACGACCAATCTATTGAAATTGATGACTTAAACACTCCGAAATCTGTCTGTCGAAGATGAGGTCCAAAACACTCATATATATGGCCCGCCCAACCCAGCTTATGCTTTGCAGGAATGATTTGGAAAAAACTCAACCGTCTGTCGGATCAGATTTGGTAAAAAATTTATATCGAATAGATGATTATATAATTAAACTGAAGGGATTGGATCAGATGATTTTTTCTTCCAAAACAAATCCAACCTATACCGCGAACACTCTATCTTACACCAATGTTAAAATAATTATTTTTTAATATCAAATCTTAATTGTTGATTTTTATAAATTTAATAATTATAATTTATTGAGTTATATTTATTAATTAATTAATTAATTTTCAATATATTATAAGGCTTTAATGTTTCTAAAGTGAATGTAGATAAGTTATCTACATTCGCTCCCAAAACGACGTCGTTTTGGATTGAAAAATTAAAAAATTATAATGAAAAGACTATTATAACCCTGAAATAAGTTATAATTACAAAAATACCTTGATTTCTACCTCAAAACGACGTCGTTTTGAACTCACTGTAGATAAGTTATCTACATTTGTAGAAAAAGCGAACCCATATTATAATCATTAGATTGCAAAAATTTAACAATTTAGATATAGTGTCAAACTTTTTAGTTTGAGAATAGTGTCAAACAATTTTGTCATATATATATATATATATATATATATATATATATAGAGGCAGGATCCTTTGACACCGGTGTCAAATTTAAAGTTTGACACCTCATCTGAGAGCCGTTAGATCAAAAAAGATCAACGACTCTGATTTGTAAGCATGTGACACCATAGATCTTTTTTGATCTAACGGCTCTCAGATAAGGTGTCAAACTTTAAATTTGACACCGGTGTCAAAGGATCCTACCTCATATATATATATATATATATATATATATATATATATATATATATATAGGCAGGATCCTTTGACACCGGTGTCAAATATTTCTCAAACTGCTTGAGATAAGTTTATCTCCGGTCACCCTAAAACTACGTCGTTTTGATTATTTATTTCTTTATATTTATTGATTCACCTTTGAATGGCTATGATTCCTCTTTTCTCTCTCTTCATTTATCACCATTGATCCATCTTTGTACGGTTATGATTTAGTAGCCGGAGATAACTTTATCTCCGGCAGCTTGAGAAATGATAAGCCCTATATGTATATAGTTATCTTCGGAGATAAAGTTATCTCTGGCTACTAAATCATAACCTTACAAAGATGGATCAATGGTGATAAATGAAGAGAGAGAAGAGGAATCATAACCATTCAAAGGTGAATCAATAAATATAAGAAAATAAATAATCAAAACGACGTAGTTTTGTGGTAGCCGGAGATAAACTTATCTCAAGTTACCAGAGAAATATTTTTGTCATAAGTGTAACTTATGAAAAAGTGTAACTTACACTGGTGTAAAATGATCCTGACCCTATATATATATATATATATATATATATATATATATATATATATATATATATATATATATATAGGAGGAATCTTTTGACTCTAGAGTAAGACTTACAACTCTTACTCTCCATCTCAACCGTTGATTTCCGTCCATCTAACCGTTATTATTTATTTGAAATAAATAAATAATTAATTGTTATAGATAACCGTTGGATGGACGGAAATCAACGATTGAGATGAGGAGTAAAAATTGTAAATCTTACGCTAGAGTCAAAAGATCCCTCCCCTATATATATATATATATATATATATATATATATATATATATATATATATATATATATATATATATATATGAGGCAGGATATTCTTTGTAAGAGTTAGAAGTCTTACACTCAATCTTAATCATTGATCCACTTGTATCCAATGGCTCACATAACTAAAAAATTTGAGCCCTTAGATATAAATGGGATCAACAAACAAGATTAAGAGTGTAACTTACACTGGTGTAAAATGATCCTGACCATATATATATATATATATATATATATATATATATTAATGATGTGTATCACATTACTTTATTTTTAAAATGGAATGAATACCAAAAAAAAAAAATGGAAACTTGGACCCAGTTAAACCAACCCTAAACCTTTGATTTTTAATGGTGACTATGTATGTAACTCTGAGACTCCCTCGCTGGCCCTATTTCGTGAAAACCTTCACCCTCACTCGTCAGTGTAATTTCCTTTATTGTAGAATGTAAATGCCCTAATATTTTTATGAGGTTGTTTTTCTTTCTACATTGCAATTCACTTGTGAAATGAACAGGATTCACGTTCCCTTTTGTTGAGTTACAGTTACAGGGGAAGGGAACGGTGACTGGTAGTGGTAGGGTTTTTCAATCCTTTTCTGCTAAAGCTATGCCTTGGTGGGAAGGTGTTCAGGAACCCAGGGTTCTCGTTGCACCCGGTAAGTTAGAGTTGCTGATTAGTTATTTCAAGCTTTGTGCTATTTAGAGATCTTTTTTATTTTTTTATTTTTAAATTAACTTTTGCCTTACTTTGCAATCATGTGTTAATGGCTTCTTTTCTTCTTCTCCAAGTGCAGATCCTGGTACAAATGGAAATGGTTTGGGACGTATGATATTGCTCCGTCATCCCAAATCTGGTAATTCAAAGAGTATACAATATTTTTTTATGTTCTTCTTATCATGTTTTTGTTACATACTTATATTTATATAAAATATATGATTTATTCTTATTTGTTTATCTTGATATATTACTGTGTTGGTTAGAATTCGATACAGTTCTGTTAATAGCATTACATTACACTACTTTGCTATAAATCTTTCTCGAGGAATTGGACCTTGTTGAGGCTTTTGAATGTCCTGTTTGTCTTTCTGTCTCTTCTTTAGCCTCTTTCATATGTTTTAACTTGTTTGACAGGAAATGCGACGCAATATCTCTTTGTAAATGGGGTGCTTCAAGAACTTCAATGGTTTAAGAACTTATATGGATCTTGGTTCTTGGGAGATTATATAAGCGAAGGTAGATGTTCAGTTTTCTAAAGATGCATTTTTCATTGTTATTAATGTTTATGTCATGTGGTGCATTATTTTCTCTCATTAATCTCTTATCTGATGAAATTATTCACTTCTATTTTTCTTCAAAATGATATTTTTGTTCCTGCTCTGTTTGTCTCATCCTCTTGTACTTTTTACCAATACTTCAGAAAAAATAAAAATCCCCTGTTCTTATCGTAGTCTGAATGCAAGCATTATGATTCCTCTTATGTTAGTAGTCTCGTGGTCTTCCACTTATGAAGAAACTATAGTGAAACAATAATTTTTGACAGAAATTCTTTCAATTTTTGTCATCATTGTCTTTATTTTGTTATCCAACAGATGGTCGTCTGTATTTATCCACGCCAGTTGATCCTGTTTTCATCATGTTGCCAATATTTGATGAAGCCAGAATGAAGGTAATTATATGTATCTTTTCAACCATGGGAATTGGAAGATATTTCTTATTTCCAAGTTGTTTTCCATTTGAGTAAATTCTTGGTCAACTGTTGCTGATGAAGCAGGAATAAAAGTTTTAGTTGCACATCTAACACCTCATGTATAGAGTCCACCCACACTAATAATTGTAAGTTTAACCTTAGAGGAACACACACACACGCAAAGCCAAAGATATGCCTTATTTGTGAGGTCGACTAAACTCCCATCAAGAAATATATCTTTGAAAATCACTGGTTGCTTTAAAATGCATGCAGAAAGGGGGTGATCTTGGGAAGTTCAGGCAATTGGATGAGATCTTGTTTATTGATGGGTATCCTGGATATCAGCAGTTAATGTCCGTTGTGGAGAACTGTATGCAAGTAGTTTGTGACGTCAAAGGTGATCCATGCTTGTACACCTTCTATTTACAACTTTAGTCTGAAAATTTGCCAAGTTATCTTATGATTTAATTAATAGATGGGGAAGATATTGAGGAAAGAAAATGAGAAGTTTGTTGTTGGCTTTATGTCTTTTATATTGCTGATGACTGCAAAGTATGGTGACCTCATTGTTAATCATATTCTTTCTTGTTTTTACTTTGCCTGGTTCTGTGAATCAGTAGAGGATATGATTCTATCCTTCGACATCAGTTTCCCTGTGCAATGTTGTAATAATACTGTCTGTAAGGTGTGGCTGTCTCATGGGAAAACATATACAAGATTGCACTTAAACTGTACTGAGATCATATTTTCTTTATGGTTGTGGTAGTTAAATATTGTTGTGTAACTAAATCTATCCTCTTCTATCCCCTGTTCATATGCAGAAGTTGGATCCTTAAAATTCTTTAGGCTTGATGATTCAAAGGTTCTACGTTGGCTGTGCTATAAGGTTGTCTGTATTTCCTTTATTGTCTTTTAGTTTACATGAAAACGATGTTTAAATCCCCCCACCCCCAAAACAAAAAGAAAGAAAGAAAGAAAAAAGCAAAAAATAAAAACTTGGATTCACCATGTAGCTGCATAGGAAATCCCATCCTTCATATGCTATTCTGGAGGTATAACATTTAGCAGATGGATGTCTGAACTTAATGTTTTTCATGTAAATGTGACTAAGACAGAAACAAGACTCATTTATTTTATCATACTGTAAACTTCGCATCGTTACAGAGTCATAGTCTATCTCTTGAGTTGGTTGTTGATCCAAGTATCTCTCTATAAAGTAACCCAAGGGATACTTGGGTTGCATTTTAACTTTTCTATTTATCTTTCGGTATATGTTTGGCTGTCTTTGATTTAGTTGGTAGAAAACTTTTCACTTGTATTAAAGTTTGTTATTTTTTTTTCCTCTTATTTTAGGTTTGTCAGCTAAAACAGACACTACCCACATTGGACAAAAACTATGCTGTTCAATCAGAGAAAGACGCATGTAAATTGTCTATTACCATTCTGTTCTTCTTGCTTTTGGAGAATTTTATTCTGTTGAGGTTTTCTATTTTGTGTAAATTCACGCTGAAATATTGTTGGACAGATATATTAGATAGTATAATGCATTCAAAACTAACAATTATATGTTACATTGGTTGTTAAATTTGGAAAATGGAAATAGGATAGCTGAATTTAACCTTTTTGTGAATAGGTTGTCTACTTTCCTTCTATGTGAAAACCATGCTTGTGGTTTCTGGTTTTTGTCTTGTTTGAGGAATTAACAATTATAGGTTGGTACATGAGCAAAATACACATCTATATATATTAATGCTTCCCGTGCAGTTTTGTATTTAAATACTTGAAGCACCTATATTTTTATGATATTCCCCAATCCCTAGATAGTAAATATTGATGGTGATGCTTGGCTTCATACTTGAAGTGCATCTCTGGTCTCTTCGTGTCACACTTTTGCTGTTGATTAACTTACTGATGTTACTGATGCAGTGGTTGATGCAGTGTCTATATTAGGAGAGTATTTGAAGGAAGAGCCTTGGTTGCAGTTTTTATGTAACCATCTTAAGTACGGCCTTTCAGAATGTCTTATTATAAAGATTTTACTTAATATATTCCTTGTGGTTACAATAGAAACCAAATGGTATTCTTTAAGAATGCTCGAGGATATTTTGCTTTTGCAGGTTAAATATACTTGAGGTTACTGGAAAAGCACAAGTAAATGGTGAAGGAAGTAACTCAGTTTTATATAATGAACTTCAGGTATTTACTGGGACACGAGAAGAATGAGTATATAGACTTTGCCAATTTGGATTGTAATTGTTTGTTTACTGCTAATTTTATCAGGAACAGAATGATGATAAAAAGGTTACAATTGCCAAGAAAGGTAGACAAGCAAAGAAGGTAAAATTGGAGACAGAATCACATAACATAAAAGAAATGTTTTCGAGGGCTTCCCGAAAAAAAAGCTAAAATATTCCCTTCCCATTAGTGGGAAAGGGTCATTGTCATATTGTATCGTTTTCTAGACCTGCGAGTAGTGGATAAGCATTGGGTCGCATAGCGTGGTTTGTACCGTCGACATTTTATTATTATTTATTATCAATTTATCTTTCACATGCAGTATATCTTATCGAATTTAATATCCATAACTTTTGAGCCCTCATAACGTATGGTGTATATTTTGAGAATTCCAGTATTCATCTCCATCGTTTCCCTACCCTTTATTATTGTTCTTTTCGTGTTTTTTTTTTACGCATCCCTAGCGAAGATGCTGACAACACGCAAATAGAGGTATTAAAACATGTCAACACATCATAGGCTGAAGGCTATATAAGTGGGTCAAGTTGACGCAGCTTTTGTGGATTTTACAGTTTAAATCATTAAAAAGTTAAAAAACAAACTAAATATCATAAAATGAACATTAAACTTAGGTTGCAAAATGTCAAAAGTTATATTGCAGTCATCACACTTAAATTATATTATAAAGAATATTTATAATTTTCAAATACAATAAGACAAAACTAAAAAAAAAAAAAAATCAAGTTATAGTAAATTAAGTCACCGATCGTTCTGGTCCAAACTCGTTAAATACGCAAGTTAAAATATTTCAATTTTTGGTGAGTCACATTTTAAATAATTCAATCATTTTGGTTTTGACATGCGAAAGGATATATCATATATGTGGATGTGATGTGCAGCTTGTAAAGAAAAATGAAAGTTATTAAATGATAAATTGTGTCATCATTAAAATAATATATTAATCATTTTTTATTGAGGTTTTGTTTTTTCTTTCACTGAAAAATTTGGTAATAATAATATAAGTGGCTGGTAAGTATAAATCCGCCAATCCCCTTCCATTCCGTTGGGTTGGACTGGTGCAAACAGTTTTAACAAACTTGATCATTTGTGACATGAAAAGAAAAATCCTTGATAATAGAATAATAAAATAGTTATTCGGAATATGCTTTTTAAGCAGATAAATTTATCTGCCATAGAGACATAAAAGAAGTGACCTCCATTATTATTTTTTCTCTCATTCCTCTATGCTTCCTTTTTCTATTCTTTTGTTTCTATGGCAGAGACAAATTTATTAATTTCAAAAGCAGAAATCATATTCTCATTATTTAAGCACAGTATTTTTACACGATATAATTAGTTATTTATTTAAAAGAGACATGCACGTATCTGCAGACTGCAGCGGCACCTGATAGCCTCCAATGCAGTCATCATCAGCATATCCGTTTTACAAATAGAGTATATGCGCAAGCTATTGAGTGTTTAGTTTTCAAGAAAAAACCAATAATAAAATAAAACTAGAAAGAAATAAAAGGAAGGGAAGTCTCAGCGTCTTACAACTAGAATATCCGTATATTTAAGATTGAAATGTCTTGAGGGGTATTTTGTCAAAATTAACATTAAAATAAGGAAAAAAAAACTTCTAATATTATAGAAGTCTCTTCTGATATGTTATAGATAATTTATTTTGGGTGTTAATATTTTTTTTCCTGGGAGTTGGGACCCACCACTTTTTTTCTATGTTGGAAGCTTATAACTTCTCCTGTTACAAGAGAAATTATGAGCCCTTTAAGATTGTAATAATTCTGATGAATGTGTTATGTAGCTTTTTAAAGAAAACTTGACCTCTTGCATAAAATGCTTTTTCAAATAATTCATCTTATGATTTCTTATTCTGAGAGTTTAAATAGATAAAGTACAATTTGAAAACAATAAATATCCATTATAATAACTAAACATATTGAAGTAAAACAAACTATCCACTGTTAGTACTTACCTAATAACTATCTAGAATCTATTCACTAACTTGAAATAAACCAACAATTTAAAAAATAACAAAATAACAAAATTATAATATTCTCTCCCCCTAAAATTACTCTTGTCCTCAAGAGTAAGATCAACTTATTGAATCATCTTCAATATCTATGTTAGCCTCTCCATTGTTGTTGATTGAAAAAGATCCTTTAGCCAATGACCCTTTCTTTCCTCTTCTCAAAGAATTTTAGAAATGAAGCTCTCATTGGATATTTCATATTTAAACCAAAAAGTTGGGGTCTAATTGAGGGATCTTGTTTGATTGAGATACTTTGACCATGTTCAAATTCTTAATAACAATGGTAGTATTTAGGGGGTGGTAAGAAAAAGAGATAAATGTTTGGGTATAGAAATCTAATAAATGAAATATAAACAATGACAATGGATATGAGGTTGTACTTTGGTGGTTGATACTAGAGCATCTAGTCGATTGGAGAGTTTGATAAACATCTCCTTCGATTGGATGGACAGTGCTCGAACTATATCTTCTAGTTTTTTCAAACGTTTGTCTACGACTGTTGTTTAGGTCTGATACTATACTGTTACATATATAGAATGATAATAGCTTTATTGAAAAAGTTTGACCTCTTGCATAAAATATTTTTCCAAATAATTCATCTCATAATTTTTTATTCCATATGATGAGAGTTTAAATAAATAAAGTAAAACTTGAAAATAATAACTACCATGACTAAAAATATTGAAGTAAAACAAACTACCCACTAGTATACTTACCTAATAACAGCCTAAAATCTATCTACTAATTTAAAATAAACCAACAATTTAGAAAATAAAAAATAATAATAAAATAGGCGCATGCAAAATTAAAATAAATAAAAACTACAATATACTTTAAATTAAATTAAATGCTCTTCATCTTCCCACCGTTCTCCATCATCTCCTTTCGTCTTGGAGACTCAACTTTCTTAACTCTCTCTCTCTCTCTCTCTCTCTCTCTCTCTCTCTCTCTCTCTGCAGGTGTTCTTCTTCTTCTACTACCACTGCAACTGTAAGGTAAATTACTTGAAAACTCTTGCTTATTTGCAGCACAACATGCACACACCACTTGTGTTTACTTTGGATTGCTTTTGCAGCAGTTTGATTGTTATTATTATTATTTTCGTAAAGTGATGCTTCGTTCTATGATGTTTTTGCTGTTAATGAATTCATGGCTCTTGACTGGGTTTGACGAAACTCAATGAAAAAATCAAGTTGTTCTTTAACGAATAATAGATAAGGGTTTTTATTTTTATTTTTTATCTTCCTCTTCTTTTTGCGCCAAAAATGAAGAAGCTAAATTAATATAGTACGTTCCATTTGAATTCAAAAATTGCCAACTTATTGAGTTGAGTAATGCTACTCACACACGCTTCCACACACACCGCTTCATATCTGCTCAGTTTTCAACATCTAATTATAGTTGGTCTTGCCTAAACTTTTATACACAAACTTTGATTCTGTCACCTTCGGAGATGTGACTCTTCCTATGTATCAAGCATCTTCCTATTGAGTTATAATAAAATCATTGATCATCAAAACCACTGCATGAATAGAAGAACCCAATTGGAGTGATGTGGTTTAGAGAATGCGATGCTGTTCCATTAGAAATGCGTCCACGCAACCCTTTGGCTGGTTTTAAAGACTGAAGCATCCTTCAGGGGAATATTCCCCATATTCGTTCTCATACATGTTCATCAGTTTCTTGTATTCTCTGTTTAATTGAAGTCTTCTTACCCATTTCCCACTTCAGAAATTGCTGTCAGCCAAGTTTGGTTCATATAGCTAGAAGATTTCTCCATTCTGCTTCCTTCCAATCTTAATTGAAGGATTGCTTCAGACAATTTGTGGAATTTAAGAAAAAGTAAAAGATACCCTTGCACAGAATTTGAATTTCCCTTTGTCTTCATGTCTATCTGTCCTTGCAAAAGTATAAACAAGTGTGAAAAATTAAATTATTATTGATAAGGTAGTATAGTCCATTTTAGATATTGCTTCCAAAACTCATATTTTTCTCTTGATCATTTAGGTTTCAAGGAAGCTTATAAAAAAAGAGAGGAGAACATCTGTTTTCTGCAGTACCCATGGCAGGGCTAGATTTTGAAGCCATTTATGTTGACAGCCATGATATTCTGAATATGTTTGCAGCTGAAGGTGTTGAGTTCCTTTTATCTTGTGAAGGGAAGGTAAGCTTAGTTTCTGCAGAACCATCCTTCTGTATTATGTGTGTGTGTTGCTTAGACAATAGGCTTGTTAATATATTCAACTTGAGATCAACTGGCTGTTTCAGTAGTTTAACTTCTAAACTATCCTGAGAAGGTTCTCTCTCCTTCTTCTTTTCTCAATAAAAAAAAAGGTAAAATCCAACTTAAAAAAAGAGAAGAAAAAATCATTTGCGTAGTTTGTGATCTTGGTTATTGTATCTAATACTTTCCATCTTTGAATCATGAGATTAGGTACCCTTGTCAGAATGCAATGGGAAAATCATCTGCCTATTTTTCTCTGCAAACTGGTGCAGGCCTTGCAGTGCTTTCATCCCCCATCTGGTTGAACTTTATGAAACACTGAGGAAGAGGGGAATAAGTCTAGAGATCATCTTCATCTCCTTTGACCGTGATGAGGAGGGATTTAAAGAACACTTTAAGAATATGCCATGGCTAGCCGTCCCATTTGATGTAAATTTACATAGAAGACTGATTGACAGATACCAAGTTGATCGAATCCCATCATTCATTCCATTATATTCAGATGGCATAACGGTTGAAGAAGAGTTGACTGGGTGCATTGAGGATTATGGTACTGATTCATTTCCTTTCACAAGGAAGAGACATGAGGAATTGAAAGCCATTGATAAAAGGAAACGTGAAGAAGGAAATTTGGAAGAATTATTGGCACATGAAGGACGCGACTTTCTTATTTCAGAAGATGATAGAAAGGTAGCCTAATGCCCTTCTTGGAGTTGTTTATATGTAGTAGTTACACACATATGACATGTCTTATTGTTGCAGGTACCTGTATCTGAACTAGCTGGTAAAACTATAGGCCTATATTTTTGTGCCTTCTGGTCTCCTCCTTGCCGTGCCTTCACTGTCCAACTTACAGATGTATACAACAAGCTCAATGCTGCAAAAGGACACTGCTTTGAGATTGTTTTAATCTCAACAGATAGGGACCTTACAGAATTCAATGTCAACATAAGTACTATGCCGTGGCTTGCTATCCCATTTGAGGATAGAACAAGGCATGATCTTTGTAGAATATTTGATATAAAGGGGATTCCAGCTTTGGTTCTCATTGGACCAGATGGCAAAGTCATTAGTGAGAATGGGAAGTTTATGGTCTCCTCATATGGTGCAGAAGCTTTCCCATTTACTGAATCACGGGTAAGAGAACTAGAAGCAGCTCTGAGAAAGGAAGGAGAGGCTTTGCCTCAACAGGTTGAGGATGTCAAGCATGAACATGTACTGAAATTGGATATGGCCAAAGCTTATTTATGTGATTCCTGTAAAATGCAAGGGAAGTTCTGGGCATTCTCTTGTGATGTCTGTGACTATGACCTTCATCCAAGTTGTGTAGAAAAAAGGTCAACAAAGACCGAAGTTGGTAGAGAATTCAATCACCGGAAGTTTGCAACCAGATATATCAACTAGCTACTTTTGTAGTGATGGAATTATTCAAGTTGTGAAATTTAAGAAACTTATACACCAAGATCTTTCTTTCCTATCTGTCTGCTATTAAAACTTGCCATTTGAAATTAAGAGTGGGGTAAATCGGGTGAGTTTTGTAAGGGAAAGGTCTGAGTAGAATTACTCTATTTAAGAAAGTTTAGAATTACTCTATTTAAGAAAGTTTAGGCTTGCACTTTTTTAAAGCATGTATGGCTTATATTTAGAACATGTCTGTATAATAGTTTGATACGACTCTATACATACTCATAAGTAAATTTAATGGTGAAAAAAATAAATAAATTACTGGAGTTTCTGTAACCGAAAATGTGTGTAGGAAAATAACTTATTATTTTCATATATTTCTTAGATTATTGAACAGTTTAAATTTTGCATGTGTTTCATTTTGGATTTGCTACTTTGTTTTCCGAGTTATTATATGTTATTTCACCGCGTCTGATATTTAACATTCTTTGTTCAAACAAACGTTAGGAAGCGTGAAAAAAAAATACTTTTAAGCGCAAATCTCTTCATCGCAACCGGTAAATCAGACAATTTATAAGAAGTTATACATTAATTTTGTCTGATGAGAAGTTAAAGAAAAACGGAATGATGAATAAAGAAGGAGATAAAATAAAATGATATGAAAGCTAAAATACAATTTATTCCCTTGAATTTTAGTCATGTTTTAAATTATCACATTATACTTTGAATTGTTTTAATTAACCCCTTGTGCTATGTAATAGTAACAAATTAGCACATCTGTTAAACAAGATGAAAGGGGTAAATTATATTTTAGCCTAATAGAAATGAAGTTAGAACAATAACCCATCTACACCTCTTTTCAAAATATAGAACTTAATAGTAATGCAATAAAACAGAAAATTATATAGAGAGTAAACAAATATGACATGATTTTAAGAAGGGTTCATTTTTTCTACAATCAATATAGATAATTTATTTCTACACAGAAAATTATCTACATTGAACCCAAAACAACGTCATTTTGAGGTGAAAATCAAGGTATATTTGTAATTATAATTTATTTCAGAGTTATAATAGTCTTTTTCATTATAATTTTTAACCCAACACAACTTCGTTTTGGGAGGAAATGTAGATAACTTATCTCCTCCATTAACTGTAGATACATGAATGCATAAAATATTTAGTAGATGTTAAACTGAATCCAAGGATTTTTGTGAAAATAGTTGTGATGAGATTCGTATATCAGAAATTATTTTATTTTATTTACAAATTTAATCACCTTTTGTTTTTGAGTATCGGCAATAGAGGTATAATACTATACACTTGTGGGGTTACTTACACAATTTATAATAACAATTACTTAATAAATGAGTGCACGAATGAGCTATGGTTTCAAGAAGGACGAAGTCAGAGACATCCCGCAAAGTTTGGTTATTCTTTCATGGGGATAAACAAGAGATAGAATAGAACAATTTGTGTGGTCGTTACATTTGGGAAAAAAGCTCAAAATAGTTAAAAATAAAGCCAAAAATGGCTGCTAATTATTCAAGGAAGATTGGTTATTTACTATTCTTTTGTCGTTTGAAGTTTTGAACACCAAAAGAAACTGCAACAAACTAACAAAGTAAACAAATTAAACGCATACCTCAAAGTTCATTGCTGAGGAGATTCAAAAGAAACAAGTTATCCTATATTTTTTGTTTCATTAAAGCAACGTCAGGAATTTTTGGTTACCACATAACAAAAACAACATAAGGGAAACACGAAAGGCTAAAAGCAAGGAACTTTCAATGGTCTCTTTCAAAGGGGTAGGAGATAAAACGTTATGGTTTCTGGGTTCCTTTAGTTTGGTCATTTGTTTTCATTGAAAAAGTACAAGAGATTTCAAGAGTTTTTGTAACAAAACGACAAAGAGAGTAATGTGGTTGCCAAAGAATCATTCTGACAAGAAGGATGGTGTGAATGGAATAGTAGCAGTGGCAATAGATAAAGAAAAGGGGAGCCAATGTGCACTAAAATGGGCTGTTGACAATATCCTCACCAGAAATGCAACTGTAGTTCTCATCCATGTCAAGCTTCTCACACCTTCTCTTTCTTCATCACCTTCTCTTTTCAACCCAAGTGAGTATACCTCATATATACTCTCTTATGAAACTGGCATTAATAATATCATCATTCTTTTGTTCCATATACCTTGTTAATGTTGAGAGAGAGCCTTGGAGCAGCGATAAAGTTACTTCTTTGTGAGAAAAAGGTCATGAGTTTGAATCTGTAAAATAGTCGATTTGCAAACATGCAAGGATAAGGTTGCGTATAATCAATCCTCACTATTGTACTATGTTAGTAGAAAGGCCAACGGACATAGTGTTTGAGTTGGTACTCCAAATGGCTACAAGATTGATTTCTTCTCACTTGGTTGATTGTAGGGGCAGGGTTATTTGGAAGTGGTGATCAGAGTTCACCTGTATGCAAAGAATCCGATGGCCAAAACAAAAACATTTTCCTCCCATATCGTGTCTTCTGTACACGGAAAGATGTAAGTGGAAATGAAATCAACAAACATTTTGGCAGTGATTTTCATTTAGAATTCCAGACATTATTATAGAATCTTATCCATCTCTTTGTGTTTTTTTCATAGATACAATGCGAGGACGTGCTACTAGAAGATGTAGATGTAGCCAAAGCTTTAACTGAATATGCTGCTCAGGCAGGAATTGAGCACCTGGTTCTTGGCTGTTCAACAAGAACTGGTTTGCTCAAGTATGAATCTCCCTTCTACCTTCCATTCTGACAACACAAGCAATAGTCAATATATGTAAATTTAAGGTGTCCATAATAAAGAATAGAGTATAGTAACAAAAATTACGGGCCCATTTTAATCCTTTAGGAAAAAAAAATCGACTTGTCGTCCTTGTGAAATTCAAAATAGACCCAGTTAGACAAAATCGTGGTCCCTCTGAAATTCAAAAAAGACCCATGTTAGTCCCTCAAAAGGATTAACATGGGTCTATTTTAAATTTCAAAAAAATCACGAATCAACTTTTTTTTTTCTAAGAGATTAAATTGAATTACGTGATATTTGTTGAAGACCAAAAAAGTACTATGAATATGTATTACTAAGCATAAATAAATGCCTAAATTTCTAGTTTGAATATAGGGTAATACTTCTCTCATTTAACGTGAGAGAAGTTTTTTTTCCTACACTAACAAGAAATGTGGAGCCCACAAGTTAAAGTTAAAGAAAAATAAAAAAGAAAAAAAATTGCAAGCACGTCTTTTTATATCTCACTAACTTGAGATAATTATCTCAAAACTATTTCCGTTGAATATATCAGTATGTATGTATTCCATTTCCTGAGGAAACTATTTTTTTATCAGAAGATTCAAGGTATCAGATATTCCAGGAATAGTATCAAAAGGGGCACCAGATTTCTGCACAGTCTATGTGGTTTCTAAAGGAAAGATTCAATCAATGAGATCTGCTTCTCGTCCTGCTCCAGCCATTAGCCCTCTAAGCAACCAGGTCAGTCAAGCTAGTATCAAGTCAGACCAATCAGACTCAACTGAGCCATTGACTAATAGTGTGAAAGGTTAGATCCATCTCTTCAAGAACCACACACACACACACACATATATATATATATATACCTATTGTCAGTGTGCTGCTCACTAAGAAATGTGGTTTCTTTCAGAACCTGCAAGGAGATCCATTGAGACACCACCACGTAAATCACTGGATGGAACAGAATCATTCAGGTCAGTGATATTATGTACTACTTGGCAAATGTCTTATTCTTGATGTACCAACTAGTTCTTTGCATGGTTAAATAGCATTTGCTTTATCATATGAAAACTAAATGCTATGGGAAACAGGTCACCATTCACTAGGAAAGGTTACATTGGAAGGCCTTATGGTGAAACTTTAAAGACAGATACTGACATATCCTTTGTAAGCTCTGGAAGGTCAAGTACAGACCGCATGTCCAACCCTCGGTTTTCATATAGCTCAGACACAGATGCAAGCTACAGCTTTGAGTCAATGCATTATGGAAGGAAGTCTGCGGAAATCAGCACTCCTCCAGAATTCACATCTCTTTCATTTGAAAGTGATAGGAATTCATCTTGTACATCACAAGCCGTGGTAAGAAAAACGGGCAATGTAATGTAAATTTGCCTGCATTTCCTGTGCTTCTATTAGTAGATCCTGCACTGATAAGGACTCCAAAAGAATTTTGTAATTTAGGTAAATTTTGTCAAAAAAAGGAAGATTTTCAAGAAGGTGCATAGGTTACATATCCTGAAATCTTAATGCAATATGATAATATCTTGTAATTTTCTGTTCACTTGCTTCAGACATTGCTAATAAGGCCTCCATGAGGGATAAATTTTTAGTACTTTTATAGTACAAACTACACTCGCTTAACTTATAACACTTGGACTTAAGTGGCACTACATATGAAGAAGTTGTAAAAAAATAGGTATAGATCATGCAATTAGGTGAATCCATGTGTTAAAATTGGAGTGTAGTATGTACAAAAAGGAATTGACCATGCAATGAAAGGATAAATAATCAGTGATCAAATACTGAAATATTTCAGTTTGAACATGTGTTGCTCTTTTAATTTATGATTGCTATTACCATGTGGATAATGCTGTGCTGCAATTATAGGATGACATGGAGGCTGAAATGAGGAGATTGAAGTTGGAGCTCAAGCAAACAATGGAAATGTATAATACAGCCTGTAAAGAAGCACTCACAGCACAGCAGAAGGTATGAATTAACATCTGGTTTATCTCTAATAAAGCTCAATAGTATCTAAGAAATGTTTTTACAAGCCAGGCAGTGGAACTTCAGCGATGGAAATTAGAGGAAGAGAGGAGATTGGAAGAGGCAAGGCTCGCTGAGGAAGCTGCATTGGCCGTTGCAGAAATGGAGAAAGCCAAATCTAGAGCAGCCATTGAGGCTGCTGAAGCACAAAAGAGGATTGCAGAACTGGAAGCACAGAAGAGACTTAATGCAGAAATGAAAGCACACAGAGAATCAGAAGAGAAAAAAAAAGTACTTGATGCTTTGGTAAATGTAGATGTCAGGTATAGAAGGTATTCAATCGAGGAGATTGAAGCTGCAACAAATTTTTTTTCAGAATCCTTGAAGATTGGAGAAGGAGGGTATGGTCCAGTTTTTAAGTGCCTTCTGGACCATACACCTGTTGCAGTAAAGGTTCTACGTCCTGATGCAGCACAAGGAAGGTCACAATTCCAACGAGAGGTAAGCCAAAAAAACAAAACTCTTACATGCAATAATATTAAGATTATCAGAAAACTATTTCTGTTTTTATTACAGAAACACTTTTCTGCCACACACAGTGTACTCCCCGAAGTACATAGGCAAATGATTTTTATTTTATTTTTTTGCTTGCATTGGTGGATCCCACTTTTTTTTTAAAAAAAAGAATGTCTCCGTGGAATAAATCTTTGGTACTACTGCTGTACCTAAATTCAGTACATCCCATCAATGAGAACATTACATATCAGAGGAGAGAGAAAAAATTTGACAGAAAAAAAAGAATTTTAACTAACATGTTATAATTTTATTGGTAGGATCTACTGAATCTTTGGTACAGCAGCAGTAGTACCAAAGATTTATTCGTCTCCGTGGCAGTGGCAGGCATTACTTCTCTGCCACAACTACAGAAAAGTAATGCCGTAAGATATATCATAACATAGTTTAGAGTATCTAGATAATATCATAAGATTAATTTCCATATTTCCTTATAATCTTAGTATTATATGATATCCCTAATAGCAACACTAGATATTCAACAATAGAAAGGGCTAATAAGATATTTGCATTTATGTTACACAGGTTGAGGTACTAAGCTGCATAAGGCATCCAAACATGGTTCTGCTACTAGGAGCATGCCCAGAATATGGTTGCCTTGTATATGAGTACATGGCTAATGGAAGCTTGGATGATCGCCTATTTCGTAAAGGAAACACTCCCTCACTTCCTTGGCAGCTTAGGTTCAAAATTGCAGCTGAAATAGGCACTGGCCTGTTGTTCCTTCACCAGACAAAACCAGAACCACTGGTGCATAGGGACTTGAAACCAGCAAACATCTTGCTTGATGGCAACTACGTTGCCAAGATCAGTGATGTAGGCTTGGCAAGGCTAGTTCCACCTTCTGTGGCTGACACTGTTACACAATATCGCATGACATCCACTGCAGGAACATTCTGCTATATAGATCCTGAGTATCAGCAAACGGGAATGCTTGGTGTGAAATCAGATATATACTCACTTGGGATCATTTTCTTGCAAATGTTGACAGCAAGAACACCAATGGGATTGGCTCATCATGTTGAAAGTGCCATTGAGAAGGGAGATCTTACTGAGATGCTTGATCCAACAGTGCCTGATTGGCCACAAGAGGAGGTCTTGAATCTTGCAAAGATGGCAGTTCAGTGTGCTGAATTAAGGAGGAAAGATAGACCTGATCTTGCCAAGGTTGTCTTACCAGAACTCAACAGGCTAAGAGAACTTGCTGAAAATAGTAATATATTGGGTAACTCTATAAATCTGTCCCATAGTAGACATGTTTCTATGCAGCTGGTAAGTTTCTGTGTTGTTTTTGTCTTTTTACTTCCTGTGTTGAGCTTATATTATACCATGTTAACTTTTCAATATTGCCTCAACTTTTTGCAGGATGGAAGCAATCCTACATTTTCTCACTCTGAGGAGATTAGAAGAAACACATCAGTCGGTGTCTGACAAGTTAAAACAAGATCCCCTTAACCAAAAAACCATGATTTAATTGTTCAATGGTTTGATCTAGAGGTTGATTAAGTGTAAATTACTTAGGTGATGTAATAGCATGCTTGATTCTCCCAGTTGTGTATTTTTTTTTTATTTTTTTTTTCCAATAGAGATTATATTAGGGATAAGGATGTGAAAATGACCTTTAGGGATATGCGATTTTGATTTTGTATGTACTATTTCTTATGTTGTACATACCTTTTGTATGCCTACATAATTAAAGGACTTTTTTTGTGTAATGAAATATACCATATTCTCTCATAATATTTAACATGTACTAGACCACTTGAATTACAGAAACTCTAATATAATCTCATGAATCAATTTTCTCTTAGACTCTTACCTAAAGACATATGAATAATTTTATATTATTTGTCATAACAAAATATATCAAAAGCGCAACCTTTTTAACGTAGAGTTTCACAACACAAAATCAGGGTCTCAAAATGTAGTTCGGCAACAAAGTAGTGCTAATAGGTTATCATAGTTTTAAACAAAAAGAGATAATTCATATATACATATACGTATATACGTAACCATATTTTTACGACATGCATAGTAATCAAGGGACATCGTGTCAGTTGTATAAGTCATCAATATAACTAACTTTAACTATTATTTCAAGAAAATATTAATAAGTCACATAACTGACGCGGTAGAGACTAAACCGAATATGTCCATTACATCATGCGTATCTAAGTATCCCTTGCATAAAGACCATACCATCCTTTTTTTCCGGTACTCGGCAGGTACAGCGTGAACATTGGATCTTTCGATGGACTGTGATTCCACGCAAGAACAATCCAACATACCCACAACTGTGTAATAATATTATGTGGTGAACGACCATTGCTAATGTATTTCATTGACACATAATACATTTTGTTCACCAATGTAAAATAATACATAAGAAATGTACTAGTTAACATTATAAGTCACTACATGGCGGACCGAACAAAAAAAAATTTATGTCCGCACATTTAGTGGCGGGAGTTCGGAGCAGCGTCTCCGAAATTTTTTTTTGTAAAAAAAGTTTAAATCAACGTTTCAACCCGCTCATAATCTAATTTCTTCCGTAACAAGCTGCAGACAATAGTTTGACCAATTATTTTCTCCCCTAAATCTTACCAATCCTCCAAAACAAATACGAGAATATACTCCCGCACATTCATACATCATCATTCTATATTATAGTGTGAATAAAAAAGTCAACACTACCTGTACAAAAGGCAAGCAAAATCACAGTAAAGGCCTTGTCCCTAGATATTAACTTATTTGAGAATGTTAGACCTGCAATCAATCATCTCTTTTTATAAAAATGAAAAAGGAAACAAATGATGAAGAGAGCATGAGAATGGGTATGTGACAGGGGAGGAAGAATAAGTTTTCTCTCTAATCAATTTGCGTTGCTACGTTATTTTAATCATCTTCGTATGTTGCTACGTTGCTAACTAATATAAGAATAAATATATTTTTTGGTCCCTAACAAAAAATTCGGTCCCCACTTTAGTCCATTATAAAAAAAATTAGTCACCTTGTCCTTATGAAATTCAAAGTGAACCCATTTTGATCTTTTTAAGGGACTAATGTAGGTCTTTTTTAAATTTGTGAAGGACCACGATTTTTTTAAGGGACTAAAAAGGGGGCCATGTTTTTTGTTAGGGACTTAAAATGATATTTACTCCTAATATATATATTGAACCAAGAGACAAATAAGATCCTACAACCAAGAAAGAAAAAAAAAATGAAATTAAAATTTTTGTGACCGCACTTGTGGGCATTTGCCCGCAAGTGGGTCTGTCACTAACTATAAGATCTAACAGTTAGGGGGCGTTTGGTAGAGGAGAAAAAAAAAATTATCTGAGAATCTCAATTTTCAGAATTATGATTTTTACATTCAGTTTACGTTAATATCCAAAAATTTAAAATTTAAAAAAATTCAGTTTCTCAATAATCCTGTCGAATACCGTGTACCAAACGCCTTAAGGTAATATAAACTGGTAAAAAAAAAAGCCAGTCACGCAGAAACGGTTAAACTCACTTTGGGCTTATCGGATCGAGTTAAAATAACAGTCCAATTTTATTTTATTTCTTTGTTTCTAAATTTTTCGTCTTCCTGTTAACAATTCAACCATTTTTTAACTCACGTACTAGAAACCTTAGGCATATGCAATATTGCCTAGCTATATACATTCCAAATTATGGTCCTAGATTCCATTCCCAGGCAGCAGGCAGAGTGTGCAGTTACTTCATGCTCGTATATCTTCATCTACGGTATTAATGTGTATAAAAATTACATCAATTTCACTTATACCAAGGACCCTTCCACAAGCAAACCACTTGTGAAGAGAAATAACTTAATACTCCAAATAAATATCAATCTCACATCAAAGTCACACTCAAAGGATACCGACAAACTTCATAAGAAAAATAAAAGAATGCAAGCTAAAAACGAAAGCATAACTAGCTGATACGGCAACTTAGCATCAGCTTGCATGAACGGTAAGATGGTAAGATGTCATAATTTCACCTCATATATACTCCTCTCCTCATCAAAAACTGTAATTATCTGTTTTATTTTATTACAAAATGTTACTTTTTTGCTAAAAAGCTAAGTAGCAAATCATTAATAAACTATCTATAATCTTTGTTATAGATTATTCAATTCTAAACAGTAATTATCTAAAGAATAATTTTCACACATCATGGAAAGCCAAAGTGAATAGGGCGCCTATAGTAAGTACCTCAAGTGATGAGTTTAAACTAAGCGTTTGAAAAGCATCGGCAACAATGTTAGGGATACAAGTCCCTCCAAAAAAAAAAAATTGTTGCTGATATAACGCACTAGCACATAAGTATTTGATCCATGAAGGAGCAGATATTCTGCCTTTAACGGCGCGAAAGGAAAACAAGAAGCATAGAATTATTAACATGAACTTGCGTCAATACTTATAATATACAATACCATTAACGAAAACTACCCAAACAAACATAAAACTCGCTGCTCTTTCTAGCAAAACCAATATAGATCCCTTTTTTTGAGTCATCAAACCCTCTTATAGAAAAAACAATACAACTTACAACACGACATTAAAAAATTTAACAAAATAACAAGCCGCAATACCTCAATCAAAAAGCCCAGTTTGAAAAGGACATGCTGCGGAGAAGCAAAGAGAAATGTGATGATGCATCAATGCCCTCCAGAAGGCAAGAATGCACTTGTGAATCTGCACTGGCTAATGTATCAACGATAGTACATAAGCTGCTGCCTTGATGAATTACCAGTATATCCATCATACATAGCTTGAGATCCCCCAGAGTTTATGCCCATTGAAGCAGGAGCTAGGCCATGTTGTCCGGTCATTTGCAGAAGAGCTTGACCCGAAAGGCCAGATACAGCAGCTTGACTCAAGGCCAGTTGGCGCTGATAAGCCAACAACTCAGCGGGAGAATAGCCTTGGTTCATCCCTGCAGTGGGAAGTATTTGATATGGTTGAGCAGGAGGAGGTAATGGATTTGAAGCTGTTCCAGGAGGAGTTGGCTTGCTACCCCATGAACACTGCGTAATCAAATAAAATACATTTTACCCATTGACATCAAATTTTAAAAATAAGCATAGTAGAAAGATTGAGCATTTATTTTATTCTTTTGTCATGGTGCTTAGAGGTGTATCGCATCCATGTAATTGCATTTAGACTTCGAAAGCATTTTAACTTTCCAACAATATACCATCAGTCTATGACAGGTGTGGAGGAATGAAGTAGAACAAAGGCCTCGCCCCCTCCTCCATCCCGCCTACCAGAGGTTCTGCTTGTTAGTTCATTTTAGGGGTAGGGTCGTGGGGACGATGTATGGGTATGAATAGGTGCAAGCATGTTTGTGTCTACATATGAGGAACATGGTCAGCTAGTGGCAAGAAAAAAGAAGACTTGCATCCCTATTACGTAAAAATGACTTACTACTGTATCCAAAAAAAAAAAATGACTTTACTAACACAAGACCAGTGTAGGTATTATATGGGGGCCAACATAGGCCCCAACACTGAAATGCAATTAATTAGTTGACCAGATAAGCAACAAGTAAAAGACTTCTCACCTTCATAGTCTTCCCACGAACTATTCTTCCATTAGCCATCTGAATGGCCAATGCTGCTTCATCGTGAGTGCTATATCTGACAAATCCAAAACCCTTATCCCTCTGAACTCGAACCTCCTCAATAACCCCAGCCCCCAGTGCATGGAACTGAATATGGAGTTCAGCTTGTGTTACCTGCGACCTCAAACAACAATGGTTAAAATATATTTGTGGTTCCTACATGTGAAACATTTTCAATTTAGTCCCTATGTATAATTGTTTTAAATTTGGTCCTCGCCATCTATTCCTGGTATATCACAGTTGGAGTTATAACACCACCAAGTTTAAGGAGCAAATTGAAAATAAGTGTTGCGTGTAAAAATTATAAATATATATTTTTTATCCTTACACGTGATAATCATTTTCAATTTAGTCCATATGCACAACAGTCATTTTCAAATTGGTCCCCACACATAACAGAAATGACAAGTCAATCTCATGATGTTATAATGTCAACAAACAAAAGGGACAATTTTCAAAATGATTATACGTATCAACATCAATATCACCTTTATGCCAAACTAGTTGAGTCAGTCAAAATGATTATATGTATAGGCATGATAAAATAAGCATAAACTAAAATACGTCATCCAATAAAACTGGAAAACAAGTTATAGCAATCCATCTTCTGATCATGTATTGAATAAATTAAACTAACAAATATATTTTTTTGTCTTATTTTAACAAATGATGAAAATTAAGAAGAAAAAAACAATATATATGTAATTCAGAGATAGTTTTTATCATTCTAAAGCCGAGTCCAAGGGTTGGGAGTAAAGACTTGGAGCTAGCCGGTAATGGCACCATCTTCTGGAAAACAAGTCATCCAATAAAACTGGAAAACAAGTTATAGCAATCCATCTTCTGATTTCATGTATTGAATAAATTGAACTAACAAATATATTTTTTTGTCTTATTTTAACAAATGATGAAAATTAAGAAAAAGAACAATATATATGTAATTCGGAGATAGTTTTTATCATTCTAAAGCCGAGTCCAGGGGTTGGGAGTTAAAACTTGGAGCTAGCCGGTGACGATACCAGAGAAACAGAATATTCAATTGTTATATAGAATTAACTGGAACTTGGGGAAACAACACCTTTAATACACAACCAAGCGAATGAAACAGTATTAGCTAACAGGAAAGTGAACCAAAAATTACAGACTCCAGGACTCTTACTACTATCTCCAGATCCAAAATAACAATTCAAATGAACAATAACAGCAAGATAACCCCTATTGCTCCCTTTACAAGAAAAGACCACTCTCGTAAAGTTCCCTTTCCCCACTTCACAATTCAGCTACTCAACAGATGCCCCACTTCTTCCTCACCACCTTCCGTATATGCAACCGAATCCTTCTTCCCAATTCCCCCACCTCCAATTCTCCATTCAGCGCTTGCCAACTGTCCACCTCATCAACTAACTTCCCCTCTCTCTCCCCCCATAACAACCCCTATTCTGCTGACTTGAAAGAAAAGGGTATTTGAAATATTATTGAATTGTGAATTAATATGATACAAAGAGGTCTCTATTTATAGAGACCAAAAACCCTAATTCTTGACCTAATGGGCTTGGCCCAATACAACAAATACTAATAATAAAAGACCTAATATTTACAACACTCCCCCTCAAGCTGAGGAATACATATTTATCATTCCCAGCTTGCTAGTAAGTTCTTGAAATCTGTCTGAAGGAAGTCCCTTTGTCAATAGATCAGCTAATTGACGCCCAGTGGGAATGTATGGAGTGGTAATCAACCCGCTATCAAGTTTCTCTTTGATGAAATGGCGGTCGACCTCAATATGTTTAATCCGATCATGTTGAACTGGATTATGAGCTATACAAATAGCGGACTTATTATCACATAGCAGCTTCATAGGTCCCTCACATTTTATTTTGAGATCATCAAGTACAATTTTCAGCCACAGTAACTCACAAATGCCTTGAGCCATAGCTCGAAATTCAGCTTCTGCACTTGATCTGGCAACCACATCTTGTTTCTTACTTCTCCATGTCACCAAGTTACCGCAAAGAAACATGCAATATAACCAGTGGTAGAACGACGGTCAGTCACGGATCCAGCATAATCAGCATCAGTGTAGACTTCTAAAGAGAGATTACCATCACGTCGGAATAACAATCCTTTACCAGGAGTAGCTTTAAGATACTGAAGAATTCTCTCTACTGCCTGCATGTGTTTCTCCTTTGGATCGTGCATAAACTGACTGACAACACTAACAGCATAAGCTAGGTCTGGCCTAGTATGGGCCAGATATATCAATTTTTCAACTAGCCGTTGATATTGTCCTTTATCAACTGGAGGACTCTCCTCTTCAAAGCCTATCTTGTGATTCTGCTCAATAGGAGTATTAGAGGGTTTACACCCGAGCTTTCCTGCTTCTTTGAGAAGATCCAAAACATATTTCCTCTGACTGATAAAAATTCCTTTGCTTGAATGAGCTACTTCTATCCCTAGGAAATATCTTAGTTTCCCAAGGTCTTTGACTTCGAACTCAGAGGCAAGTCGTGTCTGCAGAATTTGTCTCTCCACAAAATCATCACCTGTGATAATAATATCATCAACATATACAAGGAGCACAGTAAGCTTCCCATTTTGGGAGTGCTTGAAGAAAAGAGTGTGATCTCCTTGACTCTGTCTATATCCTAAGGTCATCATAACCTTAGTTTAGTAAACCTTCCAAACCAAGCACGAGGTGACTGTTTCAATCCATACAAGGCCTTTTTTAATCGACAAACTTTATTTTCCCCCTTCACAGAATCAAAACCAGGCGGGATTTCCATGTAGATTTCTTCTTCTAACTCACCATTGAGGAAAGCATTTTTCACATCAAATTGATTTATATCCCAATTGTAATGAGCAGCAAGGGACAACAAGATTCTCACTGTATTCATCTTTGCAACTGGAGCAAAGGTTTCTTCATAATCAATGCCATAGGTTTGAGTGTAACCTTTGGCGACTAATCGAGCCTTGTATCTCTCAAGAGTGCCATCAGAATTATATTTCAGGGCATAAACCCATCTGCACCCTACTGCTTTCTTTCCGTTGGGTCTATCAATAACCTCCCATGTTTTATTTTTCTCCAACGCATTCATCTCCTCTTGCATGGCTTGAGCCCAATTCCCATCTTTCAAAGCTTCATGTACTGATTTTGGGATTGAAGTAGAATCTAGTGCTGAAACAAAGCTTTTGTGCTGCACAGAAAGATTAGCAGAGGAAACAAAATGGGAGATAGGGTATTGAGTACAAGAGGGACAGGAAGAACAAGTTTTCTTGGAACAAGATCTTTTTCCTTTTCTTAAAGCAATGGGTAAATCATCCGAAGCAGTAGTAATGGGTAAGTCATCAGAAACAGTAGTAATGGGTAAGTCATCAGACGTATTAACATCATGATCAGAAATATGAGATTCAGGACTTACCAGTGGTTCAGACGATTGAGGTTGTTGTTGAGGCAATGGGGGTTGTTTCCTTCTTTGATATACCAATTCAGGTGTTACAATCTTCCGTATCTCTGGTGTATTTGATGTATCAGTCATAGGAGGATCAGTCACAGGAGGATCAGACATAGACACATTAGGAACAGGAACAAGAGGAAGAGACACTGACACAGGTGAAGGAGTAGACACTGAAGATTCAAAGAAGGAAGGTGATGAGTCTTCTGGTGAATTATTCTCCCCCTGAAGATGAGGACCTTGGAAAAAGGACTCAGATTCCTGAAATGTAACATCCATAGAAACAAAAAATTTCCGACTTCCAGGGTGATAGCACTTGTAGCCCTTCTTATCAGGAGCATAACCAAGGAAGACACATTTAAGAGCCCTAGGATCCAACTTACTGCGATGCTGTTTATGAATATGAACAAAGACAACACACTCAAACACTCGAGGAGGAAGACTTTGCAAAGTTGGAACAGAAGGAAAAAAAGAAGTCATGGAGTGAATAGGACTTACATGATCGAGAACCCGAGTGGGTAGACGATTGATCAAGAACGCTACAGTAAGAATGGCATCTCCCCAATAGCATTTGGGTACATGTGTTTGAAACAGTAAGGCACGAGCAACTTCAAGAAGGTGACGATTTTTCCTTTCAGCAACCCCATTTTGTTGAGGGGTGTCTACACAAGTAAGTTCATGAATCATACCTTGATTTTGTATAAATTGAGAAAAAGAGTGATTGACATATTCAGTACCATTATCTGTCCTTAGTCTTTTGATATTTTTACAAAATTGAGTCTCAATCATTTTATAAAATTGAAAGAACAGTTGTGGTACCTCAGACTTTTCACGCATTAAGTAAACCCAAGTGACACGAGTGTAATCATCAATAAAAGAAACAAACCATTTATTTCCAGAAGAATGAGGGACCTTAGAAGGACCCCAAACATCAGAATGAATAAGATCAAAAGGTTCAACACTCTTAGTAATACTAGAAGGAAAAGACACACGATGATGCTTAGCAAATTCACAAACATCACAATGAAAAGACTCAACAGACTTAGACAAAAACAATGACGGGAATAAAGATTTGAGTAAACTAAATGGAGGATGACCCAAACGCTTATGATGCAGCCAAATTAAAGAATCAGCAGTTGATTGACCATGAGACATGAATGTGTGATCTATTACTTTATTTGCGGGAGATTGTGACACCAGATAGTACAGCCCACCTTGCTCTTTAGCACTACCAATCGTCTTCCCCGTGGCGAGATCCTGAAAAACACAATGGGTAGGGAAGAAGGTTACAGTACAATTCAAATCTTTTGTAATTTTGTGAATAGAAAGAAGATTCGTGGAGAGTTTAGGAACATGAAGAACATCCTTAAGATGTAAGGACTGCTGTAAGTTTATGTCACCAGAACCCGCAACTGATGTATGTGAGCCATCAGCTATGGATATTGTATGAGTTCCAATGGTAGGATGATAAGAAATAAAGGAGTCAGCACAACAAGTCATATGATCAGTAGCACAGAATCAACAACCCAAGAATGTTTAAAATCATTACATGAAGAAATGAAAGAATGAGTTTTGGAGCTCATACCAGTCATAGCCAAAGCACTAGTATCAGATGGCTTACTCAGATAATCAAGAATGGTTCGGAGTCGTTCCAACTCATCTGGACGAAATGCAGATTGGGTCTCATTAGGTGCAGGGGTTATTTCAGAAGAAGTAAAATGCGCTTGACCACGCATCCTTGCCATCTTTTCTAAGACAGTTTGCTTTCCATAAAGGCGAAAGCATAAATCCTTGATATGACCTGTTCTTTTACAATAAGAACACCATCGATCATTTCTCTTAGGTCTAGAAGAGGTACCATCATAAAATTTTGAAAAAGAACTCCTTTGAGAAGAGGCCATACTACACAGAAAATGGTCAAAGAAAAGCTCCAAGAAGCCACAAAATCACAAACAAATACTAAACAACGTCAGATCTGACCGGAACAGTAACACAGCGGCCGAAACAGTAACACAGTGACCGGAACAAATACCAAACAACGTCAGATCTGGTCGGAGGCAAGAAATTGGTGAAAGAACAAACTCCAAGAAGCCAAGAAATTCTGAAAAAAAATACCAAACGATGTCCGATCAAAGTAGAGAGCACAGATCCAGAACCGGCTTGGAGAGACGATCAGAACCGTGGTGGTCCGCGGCCGAGAACCACCGTCACGCGCTGTCACGCGCCGGTGAAGCTGGCGGCGCGTGGGATTCACGCGCAGAGACAAGGGCGGCGCGTGGAGGCGCGTCTGACCTCCGATGGTGCTGGGTTTTTCAGGCGAAGGTCGTCCGGCGAGCGCGATGGTTTCTGTGGCTGTTCGGAGTGAAGAATCCACCGGAAAAAGGTTCCAATCGCGATGAACAGGTTCTGTACGGTGGTTCTGTACGTTGATTCTGTGAACGTTTGTTTCTGGTTGTGTAATAGACAAGAAAAAGAAAGAGGAACAGTGAAGCAATGGTCTTCTCGGTCCAAGAGGTCCCCGGAAAAAATTTTCCGGTGGCGGCTGATGGCAGCGAGAGACGTAAAAAAGAATAGAAAGGTTTCGTAGGCGCGGAAGCAGAGCCCTCAGGATCGAGAGCTTTGATACCAACTTGAAAGAAAAGGGTATTTGAAATATTATTGAATTGTGAATTAATATGATACAAAGAGGTCTCTATTTATAGAGACCAAAAACCCTAATTCTTGACCTAATGGGCTTGGCCCAATACAACAAATACTAATAATAATAAAAGACCTAATATTTACAACATGTTGTTCTCTTTTATAACACTTCCTTCCACTCCTTTCATGCCCTTTAAGCCCACTTTCCCTTGGGCCTGGACCCCCTGACCACCCTTCCTAGCCTTCTTTCTCTTATAAACATACTTTGGGAGCCCATCAGCCGGATAGGGATGGATCCAGAGAAAGTAACTAGTGAGGGGGCCAATTAAAAAGTTAGAATATGATTGATATTACATCTGTTCTCTTTTTATGGGAGACAACATTGGTCCTTAAATAGTAATTAATGTCATTAGTTTCGTCCAATGAAAGATCAATTTCGTGGAACCAGAAGGACCATTTTTATGTTGTTAATAAATAGAGGGAAAATGTGATGCCAGAACGTATTTGGAGGATCAAACAGGATGTTTACTGTAAAAGTTAAGATATTTAAATAAAACTTTTGTGGTTTAAATCAAAGTTGAGCACAGTACTCTTAATTTGTGTGTACCTTTCAGTAAAAACTTATTTATTTGTTTATTGAGTTAATGGACTAAAATAGCCTATAAAATACAGACCCATTAACTTAATGACTACATCAATTTTTCAAATGATATGTGCAAATTGTTGCAAATTAGAGGAAAAGCCTATATATTTAACATTAAAACATATTACATGTAATTAGTAGAAAAGAAAAATTAAGGGGGGGTGGGGGGACCTGCTTCCCCCCTTTTGAATCAGTCCCTGCTAGGGGTGGAAAAAATAAGTAGCGTCAGGATCTGTTGAAATTATGTAAATTAAGTTCAATCCTACACCACTGAATAAATTTTAAATTTTTTTAGAACAAATGTTTCACGGAATCCACCATTGATTGAAACTTGAAAGTACACATTGTTGGGTATAGCTCATACTTCGCATACTGATAAGGGCCCTTGTTGGTGGGGTTAGCAGAAAGGGGCCTAGTACTGTTGTGGGCCCTGACTTATTGCAATTTTATTTTTCTTAGTAGTTTGAGTTTGGGTCCATGAATAGCTGTTATTAGGGTTTTCTATATCCTATTTATATTCCCTTGTAAATCGAGTGACTTATAATGAGTGGCGGTGAGGTGAACATAGTACAGACAAGCTGGACGTAGCCTACATTGGGTGAACCCAGGTAAATCACTGTGTCAATTTTCTCTCTCCCTTTCTCTTTTCGTTTTCGATTTGTGTGTTATGCGATTGTCGATTTCCAACACACATCATGTTCAAAACGAAACAAACCGGACCACTAATATCCCTACTTGAGACCAGTCAAGTCAACACCAAGCAAAAATTATGCTTGAACTTTGAATACAATAATTCAAGTTCAAGTCAATACAAGGCTTGACAGGCCAAGGCATGTCTGTATCCCTAATCACATGTAACTAACTAGGCACTCACACAGTTGGAAAGATTGCAACGGAAAACTGTCTTCCATATGCTATGCAATTTTTCTGGCACTTTGATTTCATTAGTGTCAAGCTGATAGTTATATAACATAACCAGAAATACGAGGGTAATTCAGATATACATCATTGAAAATTATGCATGATTTAATAATTCCTCCAAAATTATGTTTAAAGCCAATTCTAACAAACCAAACCAATCCCAGCTAATAACTGCATATTTTTCCATATTTGTGAACAAAGAAATGAAATTAAAGTCACGTACCATGCATGTACAAACAATAACCATAACATTTCATTCTTCAGTTCATATAACTTACATCATGGGGAAGGTTGCCAACATAAACTGTTGTGTATGAAGGATTGCTTTCAGGAGCATCCTCATTGTTATTATCTTGACCTCCATCTGTAGAACACAAAAAAACAATTATAATCATAAGTCAGCAATCCTATAATTCCAAGCCTGTTTATACAAGTGCATAGGAAATAGAGAAGCAAATGATGTTATAGAGCTTAAGTGAGGTCCCAATTACAAAATAATTCCAGTCGCTATAATCATTTAACTACTCTATAAACATAGATGCAGAAACACTATTTCAAAGAAGTAATGGAAAATCCATATTAACAAATAATAATAGACTACTCAACATGTATATGAACAAGACTTACTAACGTCTCTCTCAAACTAAATTAATTAGCTTTGCTATTTGTTCTATGATCTACCTTAGCTATTCTCCTCTACCCATGTCTTTTGAACACATTATGATAAAAGTACATAATACAACAAACCCATCATGTTAACCAAGCATGCATCAAAACTGGTGTCCAACAAATCAAGCTAGTAGAACTCCAGTGCCATTTATTAGAAGGTAAGGCTTGTGTCTAAAAAATGTGAACAGCCAAAATAGATTATGAATTAGTATGAAATCATTAAACACATTCCAGGCAATGTAAAAACCAAATCTGGAGAAATAAAAAAATTTAACCCAGCACCTTCATCTATATTTTCCAGGTTTTCACAAATACGGCCTCAGGCTCTCAGCTATTTAGAAGTACATACCTGAAGATCCATTTGTAAGCACAACAGCATTTTGGTTGTCATTGTTCTTCTCTTCATTGGAGCTGCCACTAGCACCCTTGGTTGCCCAATTGCATCGTATTTGCCTATTTCCCAGCCATTTACCTATAAGATGTAGGAAACACCATAAGTTGGTAGGAACAAAAACAAATGACAAAGAGAAGCAGGGAACAAGCAGGAAGAGAATAAATAATAAAATGCCTAACCTGTCATATCATTGATAGCACTTTGGGCATCCTGCATCTCAATTGCATAGAAATATCAGTTCACTAATTCAGCACATAATTAAAATAGCTAAATCAAACTAACTTTTGATTGGGTTTGACTTGGAAGATGTTACAAAAGTTCAGATTGCTTTCAACCATCTAACAAAAAAAGCAGTAAAAATCAATTTGTATAGCATTTGTAATAAGATTTTGTGTTCTAAGCAACATTGAGTATGCTGATCTAATTTAATTTGGAACAGAAACATTTTAATGGTTTTTTTATAAGGATAAATTTATTCTTGTACTACTACATCTAACAGGACAGGGAAAAGGCATTGAGAGCAACAATAACAATCTTTCAAGAAAATAGTTTTCTTTTATCTCTCCAGGACATTCTAGTATATAGAATAAGCAATACCTGATGATCACGGAAAGAAACAAAACCATATCCTTTTGAGCGACCAGTTTTGTGATCCCACATAACCCTTGCATCACTGCAAATAATAAGAGAGAAAGTGGAAAAGTAAATTCCATAAACCAAAATATCTTGCAAGACTAAGTAACTCATTGAAAAGTTAACTCCCCCACATCAGTTATCTTTCTTCAACTTGTCACCGCTAACAAGGACTACAGTACAGTCACCATAAAAAAGAATATACCCTGTTCTAGTGACCACAAAAATTGCAACAAGGGGGAAAAAGCAAAGAGGAACTCACGAACAACTAGGATAGACTGAGAAGCATGCAAATAAAGTTGCATCAGTAGCCTCTGGACTCAAATCACCAACAAATATATTGAAGTGTCCTGATGATTTTAAACTAAAATTAAAGGAATATACAATTGGAAATAAAAAAGAAAAAGAATGCCCCCAAGAAGCAAAAAATCAAAACAACAATACATGGTGTGTTTTTAAAAGTAACCTGAAGTATCTTCCCTACTGCTATTGGCATATGCCCAATTCACCTTAAGTGCTTGACCATATCTGCAAATGGAAATAAAAGAAAATAAATAATTTGAATGTTGCGATTGCGACTAATTAAGTAAAATTCAAAGGAACTGGTCAAGATTGCAAAATTTAATGATAACATGTGCATTGCCAACTCAGTGATAAGTGTATTAGTAAAAATGACTGTAAAAGTGAAAAATGATAATAATTCCTCTATCTCCATCAATGCCAGATGGAGAATGCCTTTACAGTTCACATCCTATGCAAATATACCAAAGAACTAGAATAACCATGTATTCAACATAATGCTTACAGTTGCCGTCCATGCAATGTCATTATTGCAAGGGCTGCAGATGCTCGATCATGGTAGTCCACAAAACCATAAGAGGACTGCAACAGTAAGTTCACAATAAAAGGCGAATAAATCAGCATAAACCAGAAAGTAGAGAGCACAGATAGTAGGGATAAAGACTAGGAAAAGAATATAGTATATGCAGATGCTAAACCAAGAGCCACTGTCAGGGGAATTTTACTGAGCACCCCACGGCAGGACTGATGACTGCCAATTGTCATATAACACACAAGCAGGATCTAAAGCAATCTATAACCTTCATAGCTGCGGCATTTTCTCTCTCTCAAGCTCTCAGCTTTCGGCATACACAATTCCAAGTTAGAGATGCCCATCTTACACTGCCAAGGTTGCTAAACACCATGATAGACAAGTGGTCATAAATTACGACAACAAGGAGAAGGTACTACCACCCCATTCATCACAGCAAGAGAGGATTCTAAAGAAGGGAGACTGTAAAACTCTTAATTCTCTGTTAGTAAAGGCCAGCTTCACCAAACAATTTTTGAACTGATATGCATTTTTTTTTTTTTTCTGGAATATGATCCATATCATTTTAGGACTCCTTCAAAACCTATCACCTTTGTAGAATAAAGATTCCACGAAGATTCCTTGAAATAAATTCTGAGCAAAGTAACTATAAATCCTTACGCAAAAAAAAATTTAAAAAAATAATAAAAACTTATCAGTACTAAGAACCAACGTATTCATAATATTATGGAAATATCGGAAAACTAACAAATTTTTTTAGTTTATAAGACAGGGCTAGTTAAAAGAGGCCAATAATGAGAAAAAAGAAAATAATGATCATCAATGGAGAACATTAAGTTCAATGCTGAATCAAACCTTTTCTTTTCTTATGAGCTTGCACCCAGCAAGAGGACCAGCACTCTGAAAAACTTCCGCGAGAAGTTTATCGGTGACATTTACATGAATATTTCCTACATAACTGAAAGCACACAGCTTCAGATTAATTAGGTGTCAATGTAAGAAAACTAAACTACTTTTGGTACAGTGATTACTTAATACCATATAGAATTTCAGTAGTAAATTATCTCTCAGAAATTAAGACCAGTTAAAAATGGAAGACTTCACACTTTGGCAAAAATGTGAAACTAAGGGCAAAAAACATCTCAAAGCAGAAGAAATCCAACACTCACACGCTACGGCATGCAGAAGTGTCAAAACCAGGAGGCAGATTTCCACCAGGAACAGGCTCCATCTGCAAAAATTTCAAAACTACAAAGAATAAACAAAGGGAAGAAAAAGAAAGAAGGTCCAAGCACCTATAGGAAGATACCTTTAATAGAATCAAAAGTAAAAAAGAATTTAAAATTTTTTATTCATTGTAAAAGAATGAACTATTTTTCATATGACTCCAACAAACCAAATTATCAGATTAAAACAAATGGTAAAGCAATCAATTGCATAAAACAATTTAATTTCATATCATAATTGTGAAAATAAATAAATAAATCTTTTATAGCTCATGCATTAAGTGAGACAACAATATGTATGATTTATGTGTCCCTGGGATAAACATTCTTCACATTTTTTTCATACACTTAAAGAATTTTTGGCAATCATTAGGTTCTTTCTGTTGGTATATTAAAGACCTAAAAGTTTGGACCCAAAAAAACTTGCAAATCAAGCAAATACATATAATACACTAGTCATTTGTCAGTAATATAATAAAAAAATTATATGAAATTGACCACTAGAAGATTGGCTGACTTGCAGGATTATTATCAGCGGATGATAAAAATGGAGAGACAAATGAAAAAACAAAAATAAGAAACGACTAAAAGCAGCCATCACAATACTCCAAACGACGACAATAGATCACTGCAACAGCCAGCAGCAATTTCATCAATAAAGAAAACTAGATGGATACGCACCAAATAAATTTAAAACAAACAATATAAATATCATTAATTATTCCAACAAAGGAAGCAAGAAACACTATAGATATCAATTGTACAAGGCTAGTAAGTGGCCTCAAATAAATTTACCGAGAAACTGTAACATGAATCGTGTATTCTCTGTTCATTCATATACACTATCTTCCTTCTTCTTTTTTTATGGAAATGCAACAACGCAAATGCAATTGTAAATGCACAAATTTAATGAACGAATGTAGCGTTTGATGCGTTACTTGGAAAAAAGAAAAGATCAAAAGAGAGAATGAAAGGTTACCTGAGACATAGCAGCAGCGAGCATGCCAGGGTGATACATCTGCTGCTGCTGAATCAAGGCTTGTTGCATGAGGGCTTGTTGTTGTTGTTGCTGCTGCTGCTGCAACTTGAGCCTCTGTTGCATATTCCTCTCCTAATCCCGCGATTTAGAGAGATTAATTGATTGATGATTCGCTTCCTGAGAAGAGAAAACCAAGGGAGAAAATAATACAGATTATTATAGCGAGAATTTCGTAATTGAAAGAAATCATGAAACTTATAATAATAATAATAATAATAATAATATAAAAATGATAATAATCGTGAATCGGAGATTGAAATCTGGAGCGCATAGCGGATAGATTGGAAGGGGAATTTTCTCACCGTGATTCTGAGACAAGACAAGACAAGGTGGTGATGGTGATGGCGGTGGCGGTGGTGGGTATTGGCTGGTCCCAATTCGTTTTCGGATTTTGCACTCTCCTCAATCCTCATTCCAATGATGTCCATTCACTTCCACTGTAACTCAACCCGCGAGACTCGGATCTTTTGTTCGGATCGGGTAAAACCCGTTTACTTTTACTTTTTTTGGAAACAATAAATGACCGAGTTAATTCCACACTTGTACTAAGTACACACCATCACTTCACGCTTTAAACTACGTTAAAACACGATCATCATAAATGTTAGGAAAAGTTCAAATACCCCGGGTGGTTTATTTTTTATGTGGCTTTTTTTTAGTATTTATCTCGGTTGCTAAAAAATATAAGAAACAATCATTATAAATGTTAGGGAAAAGTTTAAATATCTCGTCTGATTTGCTTTTTGGGGGACGTTTGGTACGCGGCATTTTTTTGGATTCTCGAAAAATTAAATTTTTTAAAATTTTTAATTTTCGGATATTATCATAAACTGAAATCATATTTTTGAAAATCGAGATTCCCGGACAAAAAAAAAATTCTCCTATACTAAACGCCTTCTTATGTGTTTTTTTAGTATTTATCTCTCGTGCTTTTTTTTATCCAAATCCTTTACTGATAGAGTTAGAGTTTCTAATTAACATTATGATTCTACCTTTCTTACTTACTAAAACATATTTCAGCATTTCTTATTTCATCTTCTTCCTCAATCTGCAAGGGTTTTGAACCATATTAAATTTCTTCTATTTCATACAAAATTTGTAAAGTTACTATTATAAGGTATCAAATTTTCTTTCTCAACTCCTCTGTGATCAAATTTATTTTCTAGAATTAGTAGATACAGATACATCTCCAAAATTGTTTTCGTTCATAATCTTAGATTGAGTATGTGTGTTGTGTTTGAGTTATGCTAACCCAAATGAATATAGATGCTCATGCTTTATATACATATGTATTGTCACGCTCATAACCCACAAATCGAGATAAGAAAATTGTTGCTCCATATAACATCTCGCAATTCTAAGTTTAAATATTAAAATATTAAATGAGTAATTAAGTGATGGATTAGTGACAATCCTAAAGATTAGGCCAAAATCCAAAGAAATGGCAAAACGGTAATTAGCCAACACGCAATCCTATGAAGATAAAAATTGAGCAGAAGGCCTCACAGATGATAAAAAAAACCCTGGAAATGGATTCAGAACAATAAATTGAGTGGATAGGAAAGTTTCAGAAAAATCAGTGAATAGTGTTTTTACCGGGTAAAAATATCGCGGTACGATTGCACCGTAAAACGTGTCGATTGAGTTTTGAGCTCTAGGTTTCAAATATGAGTTATAAATGGTTTATGGAACTAGAAAATATGATTTCTGATAAAATTTGATGGAATTAAGTTAGTTTGGGGAAGCGTGCCAACGGCGCGCGCAACAGCTTAAAACAGTGTTTTCTCCAAACGACCGGAAAACTCCAGATTCATCTGATCAAGTATAATTAAAGGACAATGGTTAATGTTAAAAATTAGAGTTTCTAAATAGGTTGTGAATTTTTGGACGTTTAGTGAAAGTTCGGATGGATTTTAAATCGCGTGACGTGGCGTGGGACCCACCCACTTAAACTTCACTTAAGGCCACCTCACCCCTTCACTATTCATCATCATCCCTCCCTCCCTTCTCCCTCAAACCCGAGCCAACAGCCCCTTTCCCCCATCTTTGTGCAAAATTTCATTTCATCACAACTTGGTCATTTATCCATCGAATCCATCAATTTTTGTCTTGAATCTTGATGGAAAACACCTCCTAAAGCCATTGGTAGCACTCTTTGGCCTTGAAACCGTCTCCTTGGGGAGATCTTGGCCAAAATCAGATTCGAAATTTTGAAGAAAAGTGATGTTCATGGAGTCATTTGGTCTTCCATTGCTTGGATAAGTCTTGGAGGAGTATCAAGCCTTGGTTGTGAGTATGTTTCCACCACATTTCCATGGTTTATTTGTAGATTATATTTATGAACCTTAAACCTTGAATTGTTGATGTGTGATGTTAGAGAGCTCAATTGGGAAAAGTTTGTATATGAAAGTGTCTTAGAATAATGTGTATTAGTTATAAATGCAATGAAAATTTTAGGTGAAAAATATGATTTTGTAACTTAGAATATTTTGAGGTGTCATGACTTGAATTTTGGAAAATATGTTCAGATGTTATTGGTGAGTGGTTGGATGATTATATGTTGATATAATGGTATTGTGTGAAGTGTGGAAGGGTTGAAAATTGAATGAAATCTCTTGGAATTCCATAAGTACCAATTCGGCCCTTTAGGGGAGTGTAGGGATTTGATGTTGTTAGTCTTGCTTGGATGATGTTTCAAGTGTTAAATGGTATTTAGATGGGTTGTGTGGTGGTTGGAAAGTGAAAGAATCAATGAAAAGTAATAAATGGTGTTAAGGTTCATAAAGGGGCCTAGAGTGAATTATTAAGCAAAACGATGTTTAAAAGACGTAAAATGAAAAAACGGCACTTGGTATAGCCTCGTAGCAACCTAAGGATGTGTAATTAAATAAGAAAGAAAATTTAGAAAAAAAAACTTTGAAATAAGCCTTGTTTGGCCGAACCTTCAAGAGGAAGGGGGTGATTTTGACGTTTTTCGTGTTTTGATAGAATTGTCGTGTACTGACGATTCGTACATGGATATGTAGGTTGTCGTACGTCGATTTGAACCCCGAACTGTGAGTCGGTGGATTGCCCTTGGTCCAGGACCAAGTGGATTGAGGTAAGTGGTTGGATCAATGCATGTATAATTGTAAATTGGCATGTGTTGTATGAGTTTTTGAGTAATTGGGAATGTCCTTTGTGTAGGCATTCTGTTGAATAACAAGTTTGGAAAATAAGCTGTTGTGGAGCTAAGTGGAGGAACATATTGAGGTAACCTCTTGGTACTGGGGCTTGTTCCCCTTGTGTGTTCCACCATATCCGTTGAGGGTGATGGTAGGAAATGTATATGAGTAGTGTAGAATAACATGAGCATGCATGTAGTATTTATGAGGGTACTTATGTACCAAGTCTCTGGCCAGTAGACAGTGTAGCCTTCGGGTAGTTCGGACTTCCACTGGATAGGTCTCCGAGAGGGAGTTCCAGTTGACCTAGGATCGTGGTGTGTGATCCAGATAGGAGCACACTAGGAATGTCTCGGGTGTATATGGATGGGAGGGGTACCTTG